TCCACCTCGCAGCTCAGACCGCCACCGGCGGATCGGAGTTGCTGGAGAGCATTCGGCTGGACTAGGCAACTAGGTCGGCAGTGCGAATTAGCCACCGCACAGTACTGGGCGCAACAGCGACTGCCATCCAAGGCCGCCTGCCGCAGCCACAACAGCGAGCAATGTCATTGGCACGCGAGAAGGGCGGGTCCAGTACCCTGACCACCGTCCCTATGCCTGGGCTATGGCTGAACACGGTTTCAGCTTTGATGTGAAAGGTGATTTTCACGATCATATCCGGCTCCGGTACTGTTGGCCTCTGGACAACCTGCCAGCATCCTGTCCCTGTGGCTCAAGGTTCTCAGTTGACCATGCCCAAATTTGCAAGCTGTCGGGATTCATCAGCATGCGACACAATGATCCCACGCGTCGTGCATGAAGGAGATGATCTGATCCATCATGATGTGGAGGTGGAGCCATCATTGCAGCCCCTAACTGGTGAAACCTTTCACGATCGGTCAGCCAACACTGATCCTGATGCCCGTGCCGACCTGCGGGTGAAGGGATTCTGGACCGATAGCCGCAACGCATTCTTTGATACAATGGTGTTTTGTTTTACCCCCACGCGTCGAGCTATCGGTCCAAGTCTCTCCCCTCCCTCTACCGAAGGTTCGAAGGAGAGAAGAAGCGTGCTTACGCAAGTTACGGTGAACGCGTCAATGAAGTCGAGCATGGCTCCTTCACACCGTTAGTCTTCTTCTCCTGTGGTGGGATGGGCTCTGAAGCAGCCGTAGTAGTCAAGAGGCTGGCGCATGGCTTGGCCACCAAACGCAACGCTGCCTATAGCCGGGTTGTAGCTTGGCTGCGGTGCTGCTTGGCATTTTCTCTTGCCAGGTCTGCCATCCGTTGTGTCCGTGGATCACGCTCTGCTCGCCGTCGTCGCTTCAACCTGGTCCAGGCTGTGGCGCATCTAGCTCGACATTAGACTGTATTTGCAGCCATTTATCTCCTTTCTTCCTGTTGTATAATTACTGTCCGGCGTGTATTTACCGCCATTTTGCCAGGTGAGTGTTTACCACCATAATTATGAATAAAATACTCTGAAATACGCAGCTGACAATACCAAACAAAAAACAAACAAGAACTCCCTAGTCCCTATCTCAATGAGCATGATGAGGGTCAGAGCCAGGGCTAACCCCCATACGGTTCAAATGGTAGCAAGACTGGGGCTCTGCCAACCGTGGATGGTTGTACATGTACTAAGTCTTGTAGTACAGTAAGGGGACCCCACAGACACAGTGCGTCCTCCGCGATAGCGCTCTGCCTTGTAACATGCTGTCAACCAGGGAATAGTAAAATACGAAGCCAGGACACATTACTCACTCAAGGAAGTCACCGCCGTTCTCCTTGTCCATATCGTCGATAGGGGCGATTTTTTCTGTGATGTTGTTTCTCCCCACAATGATTACCGGTAGGCACCGGCGGATTCTGCTCGAAAAGCAGTGAAATAGGCAGAACCATACAAACCTTATGGCGGGCAATTCCTCCATTTCTTTATCCACATACCAAACATGCATGAAACTTACCAGAAAAAGTGTTAGTTTTCGTTGGTTGAGCGTAGCGAATGAAACGAAAAAAGTTTTTTGCCAGCATTTTCACCATAGTTGCGGCACCAGGATTGCGTCAGCTGTTTTTTTGTCAGTGTTCTCAAACCTTTCTCTTCATCGTGGTCTTTCTCTTTTCGTTGTAGTTTCCCACCCGCCCTCCCTTTATTCTCACTTCTGGATAAGTCCTGCAGGTTACGTTTTTTTCATTTATCTGATGGGGATATTCTAACCGGTTTTTCCTCAGGGATGTGCCTCCGTCGGGGTCCTGGGTTTTTTCCCGCCAGCTTCGGGGTGGTTAATTATCCGGCGGCCCCATTCACCACAGTGGTTCACTTTTTGCATCAGGTCGGTCTTGTACATGTACTGTACATGTGTGAGGTGGCATGCCCTTCTTCTTGCTCATGACGTCATGTATACACTACGCTAAGCTCTTCCACCGTGAGTGAACAAAGACCACACTACTACTGTGATCTGTATCTTTCTGTTGTGTGTGGGTGTGTCTGCGGTGTCTGGCAAAAAGTACCGAATTCTGCCAATTTTTCTGCTCGCATTATCCGCCGGTGCCTGACAATGATCATTGACGTGCAATAGCAGCATGCATGCGAAAGTCAAAAAGAAGACTGTTCTTCCAGATGTGTGGGTTTCTTTATGGAGTTAGGCATTCGACAATAATTCAAGATAGGATTCTACGATTGTTTGTTTTTTTGCCAAAAAAAACAATCTCGAGGCAACCATCAAAAATCACGATTAGTGGCGTGTCTAGCTGGCCGCCTCCTCAGCTCCCTGCCTGCTGTCAACCAAACAACGTGACGCGCGCGGTATGCGCTAGCTGCTAGCTCTGAGTCTGACTCTGAGCTGCAGGTGCATTATTTTTTGTTTATTATTATTATTATTATTTTTTTTTCTTCAGAACTTTCCCGTTTGTCTCTTTCCCTCAAACCAGTTAATATTTTATGACTTGGGGCTCCCCGCGTGCTAGTTTGTACGTGAAGTGTGTGGGTTACAGTGAGGGCTGCGTCCCACCCGCCTGCGTGGATTCACAGGAAGTGTGAGTTACGAAGTCTGAAGAAAATGTTGAACGGCCTCTGCTGGGATGACGACTACACCATAGCTCAGTGGTTAGAGCATCGCTGGCTACAAGCGAGGGTCCCTGGTTCGAGTCCTGGTGGTGACAGTCAATTTTTTCTTCAGAACTTTCCCGTTTGTCTCTTTCCCTCAAACCAGTTAATATTATTATTATTATTATTAAATGTTTGATAGGGCAATCCCCACAGGCCTAAGGCCTTTTGACAGGGTACCCTAAAAAATGAAGAACAGAATTACGGAAGGTATGCAAGGAAGAACTTGAGCGGACCTCCGCTGGGAGGGCATTCCAGCGGTCAGAGCCAAGGAAAGTGACAGAAAATAAACCATAGCGACGTTTGGCTGTCGGAAGAGCAAGGGAAGAGGACACTTGAGAGCGGGTGCGAGAACTAGTGCAGGTAGAATTAGAGCGGAGACAGAAACAGTTAGCAACAAAGACACTAGCCAGATCATGAAGCGCACGGTACGTTAGAACGTACAGCTTGAATTGGTACCTGACAGACAAGGGAATGATATGGTAGCGGGCAAGAACAAGGGAGACATAAGATAGGCGGGGCATGCAAAATACAATACGCAGCGCTCTATTACTAAGTCGGACAACACGGTCATGGAGGGAGGCAGAAAGGCAGTGAGCAAAGGAATTAGACCCATACTCAAGTATGGACTGAATGGAACAGATGTAGAAAGCCCTCTTAGCATCGATCGTTAAATGGTCTCGGACCTTTCTCAACATTCCTAACTTACAGCCTATTTTACGTTCTAATTGTGCAATGTGAACTCCAAAGGAGAGATGTTCGTCAAGAACTATACCGAGGTATTTCACGTGTGCACTAGGGGTGATGGTGACATCTTCAATCTGAACGTTGACATCGGGGTCAAGAGGTTTCGACTTTGGCCTGAACACAACAAGCTGGGTTTTCGAGGAGTTCAACATAAGACCTCTCGTTGCCAAGAATTCCTTTACTTTGATGATGTCCTCTGTGAGGTCTTTTCATAAGTTCTGGACATTCTTCCCCGCCCTGTATAAAGACACATCATCTGCGTATTGACGGTTTGACTAGGCCTTGACGGATTATGCTAATATTTTCGTGAAATTATGCTTTTCGCATTGCTGAAAAAATTGCAGAATTATGCTATTTTTATGCTAAAAGTTATCATATTATGCCGCATTATGCTCACATATGCTGCTAATGCATAATGGGTCTGGTCAAAATAACAGAGGAATTTTTTTGTAGAGGGCGTTGTACTGTAGTAGCAAAAGTTCAACAGGGTCAACGCACCGTCCGACCTACCTACGACCATCACTGATTGTAGTGGACTGGACATGTTATCAAGGGAGTCGTAAACCTACAACTTCCTAGTGCATCTACTTGTACTTGTACTTGTAGAACATGTACAACTGTATGGAATTTGATGCGAACAGGCGGATTATTACAATTTTATGCGATTCGTATGCAATTTGCCTCGAATTATGCGATTATTCGATTTTGGTAGGAATTATGCGAAAAATTATGCTAGCATAATCCGTCAAGGCCTAGGTTTGACAGCATTATTTTTGTGAACTCAGCTCATCGATCAGTGCAGTGATGACACTGACAGTGACATCAGCAGGCTGGGGGACTGCAGCTCACTCTACCTACACTACATGTATACACTACAGTACAGCACTGTCAGCACTCAGTAGCTATTTTTCATTATACAATCATGTCTTTACAGCTGTACTTACAAGTCAGCTCAGATGGTCGTAGATCTACGTTGTCAGTACGACAGATATAGATAAGAGTATAAAAACTATTTTCGCACATTCCGATTCATTCCTTCGATTCTAAAAATTAATTAATTAGCGTGAAATGAGCGGACCAAGAACCTCTGTATAGTGTACTGTGTATTTCGCTAGCTCCGCGATCGATATCGATCCGGAGGTTGTAGGCGAGCGTATCTAGATGAGTATAAACATTTTGCAGTCTTGTACTTGTAAGCTGTAGGTTTCCGCTGCAGCCTCCGGACGTGTATCCTGTGTCACCATCTGTTTGTGAGAAACGACGGCCTTCACACACCCCATCGGCCGCTCTGTTCTTCCCCCTGTGAGACCTGGTGAGTCCTACTCTGTACTGCTGCCGCGCAGCGGTCGCAGATGCTTCTGCAGGCGAGTGTGGCGTGACTTTGCCAGTATCACAACAGCGTTGCGGGTGAGTTCCTGTCAGGGAATGCGAAGAAACTAGAAAGGGACTGCATGGGACGTACATGTCGTCTTATCAGTGCGGCTCGCAGCACTACATTGCGTCTACAAGAAGTGTAGCACTGCAGGTTTTCTTTCTTGTTGTTTTGCTTCAAACATTGCGCACATAACAGTTTCATTGTACCGCCGAGCGCACTGTGACGTATCCTGCACCGGGCTGTAGCGCATGCAGCGCCTGAGCAGATCTCGAATCGGAATGTCAACCAACACTACTGACTGAGGATGCGTAGATTGCCTGTACTAGCTACATGCTCCGCTCTTTACATCTTGGACTTGTGACAGAAATTCTGTTGTAATCCAATGATTGGATGCTGAGCTGTGAAAGAGTTCACTGGCGGAGTTGTTTTGTGCAAGCTTCATGACTGCTGGTAGAAGTAGTGCAGGACAATTGGCCACAGTTTTGGGAGAGCCCTGCGTCGACATAATAATAATACTTTTAGTTTTAGTGTACTGGTGCTGCGTCGTTGAGCGAACATTTGCGTGGGTGTAGGTGAGTGAAAGACGGAACTCCGTGGCAGATCCACTACTCGCACTACTGCCACTACAGGCTCCTATCACAGTGTCAGTATCGGTGCGCTGCAATCGAAGTGTTCCACCTCTCTGTATCTTTCTTTCGCTCTCTCCTTCTCTCTCATTCCCGCTCAGTTGTAAAGTGTGCGAGTGTGGCTGTATGTGACGGATGAGCACGCTGATCGGTCATAATGTCACGAGTGGCGAAGCTCTTCCGTCGCTCATCCGGCGATGCTCACTACAGCGTCTCGAAAGCGGGAATCGTTCTGAAGTAAGTGAATAAGAAAACACGTGCTCACATAATTCTGGCACTTGCAAAGCCTATTATTCCCTAGACCCAGCTGAAACCGACGTAATTGTTATGTGATACCGTAGTTCCTGCTGACTAAGGAATCGTATTCCCGCCGCCGTACACGTCGTTGTCCTGCTGTCGTCGGTCCTCCGACAGCGAGTAGTGTTCAATGTCATGTAATGTTTGTATGTGTTGACTGGCGCATGTGACTGGTGTCAAGCTCCAGTGCTGCTATAAATATGGCCAATAAAATAATAAAAATAATTGGTCTTCAATGGTGGTTTGATGCAGCTCTGATAGTGTAAGTTATATTTGTGGAACAATGGCATATACCTCATTGACCCCGCTCGTTCCTCAGTCTTCATTACATTTGGCCTAAGCAGAGACTAGACAAGCTTGCTTGGCGATGTCAATGTGAAAAGGCTGATAATAATAATGTTTTGAAGTAATAATGGCATATACGCACTAGGCTGCTATGGGGGCAATGGGCAGCATGCTAGCGAAAATTGCATCTTCCACAATTGATGACTTTCACAGTAAAATTTTAGGACGTGTCTCCAATGGATATAAAAGTTAGCACTTTATAGCCAAATTCCTCAACGCAGCTCGAATACCCGGCGAAGGATTATGAGAATTGTAAAACCTGGGTCCAGAATGTGTAATGGAAAACGCCCAATGTTTGCTGTGTTCAGTGTGAACAGGAAAAACACAGTACATGACAGACAAATCCATGAGCACAGATCATCAGAGTGCGTTGTGGGGCGCTGATGACTCTGTTCTAACGCCTCCTCATAGCAGGCCTGGTGGAAGCAGTCCGGTTGGTCAGGCCATGGCTGTATCAACTGTTTTGGCTACCGATGTATGCGTACAATATTGGTGAGAGGTCATGTGTATACCCTCCATATCATACACAAACTGTATGAAAGGCTAGGGTATGGCCTGACCAATCAAGAACTGCTTCCACCAGTCCTGCATAATCATGGTTCTGGTTGCCTATACGCCAATATAATCTTCCGCTACACCATGGCTGACAACTCAACAAGTTACAACGAGATCTGTACACCAGAACTCAATCTGCAAGGCAATGAGCGAAATTTCATTTTGAAAGCGTGTCTCACGAAAGGTATGCAGGGTACATCGCAGCAAAATCTCTGCGTTGCGCAAGTAGTCGAACTCTGCATACAAGCCGGAGGTGAGGAGCCGTGTGCGCCTGCTATGCACATACTGACGCGCATAGAACAAGTTTTGAGCACACGGCCATTTGTGGGAAATATTGCTTGCTGCTTGTTGCAGAAGTTCGTTGGGATTGGCTCAACTGCCCGTGCTGTGGCGGCCTACAGTGGAGCTGCGACAATGAAATTCAGTATGATCGAGTCTCACACAATGAGTGAGATTTATTGGTCACTTGCGACTTGACATTGACCAGCCTCACACACAAACCTTGACATCGACCCACCTCACACACACAAACCTCTCTTTTAAGTCACCCAATCTGTCGAACACCTTCTGCTGTGCTGAAGTGCTGAATTGAGCACTTTCAAGTTTGTCCATTCATGATTGGTATTTTTCTGCATGACTAAAGGTACCCAGTGCCTTGCCAGTTGGCTTATGCTTCCATTGCTTGATATGGAGAATAACCAGCCACTTGCGCCTTTGCATTGACACGGTTTTCAGGTTTGCCCCAGACTGATGGACGGGTCGTGAAAAGTCCTAGCTTCAAACCCCCTTGGAATGGGTGTTACGTGCGCTCACCCGATAACATGCACATTTGTATTTGAACATGACGCATGTGGTCTGAAAAGTGATGCTATCAATTTACAGAAAACATCAGCAGCTTTTAAGACTGCTGTCTTTCGGTGACGTAAAATGGCATTGCTTGCTGAAGAACGGAGGTCTCCGCGCTTCAGGCTAGTGAATCAGAGATCAACTAACAGATTCCAGTAACTTTGTTCCTAATTGGCGCTCGGAGAGCTATAGACTTGTCGTTATGTCTGTGTGGTGAAAGTTCATTCAAGATACGACGGGGCCGGGCGGAACCGGTCCGGTTGGTCAGGCCATGGCTGAACTGACGCTCCGGCCACCAACGTGTGTGTGTGCTCTTGAGGAGGTTATGCGTATACTTTCCGTATCAAACACACAAATCTGTATGAAAGGCTATGGGATGGCCAGACCAATCGAAAAACTGCTTCCACTGCCGGTCCTGTACAGTAACGGTACGATGTCAGGGACACTAAAGTCCCAACGGATGCGGCATGGGTTGGATTGCCATACCGCGTCGGTTGGATAGCCATACCGCGTCGGTTGGATTACCATACCGCGTCGGTTGGATTGCCATACCGCGTCGGTTGGATTGCCATACAGCGTCGGTTGGATTACCATACCGCGTCGGTTGGATTGCCATACCGCGTCGGTTGGATTGCCATACAGCGTCGGTTGGATTGCCATACAGCGTCGGTTGGATTACCATACCGCGTCGGTTGGATTACCATACCGCGTCGGTTGGATTGCCATACAGCGTCGGTTGGATTGCCATACGGCATGGGTTAGATTGCCATACAGCGTCGGTTGGTCTTGAACACTGACACACACGTGTGATCAACGTCGTTCCTTGGTGGGGTAATGCATTGCTTACATGTGTGGCAATGGAGTAGGAGAACATACTAGTGTCTACACTCACTGTTACCAACAGTAAATAGCCCCGATATCAATTTATCCTGGCATAAATTGAAATACCGGAAGGGCAATAGCATACTCATGTTGCCTGCATGATTGCGTAAAGGCACTGTGCATAGGCTGAACTACCTTGGTTCAGTGATTTGAAGTCGTTACAAACTGTTCTTGACTTGTTCTAAGCGTTTTCTTATCCATCAAAATCCATCACGAAGTTTTTTTAACGTAAGTGTGAAACTCTGAGTAGCGACTAATTAGCCTTGATTGCGCTTGCCGTTCTGTATTACGCTCTGCCTCCGCGTTGTGTTGAGTTCTCTCAGTACACTGGCTACATCCTCCCATAGCCCCAGGGTGTGTTACTGCGTGCACAGCCTCTATCCTGTGCTGCGACGGCTGAACTTCACACCGCGTGACATGGTTCAATAGGTTACGCTGCCCCCAGACACCGTTAGTTAAGTCACCACACAGCGAGTTGAAACCACAGAAGGGTTAAGTACAACCCGGTAGCCATCATGCAAATAATGTGTACGGGGGGTTTATCACGTGATGTGAAGTTCTGCCGTGGCAAGACCCAATAGCTGGTGGAGTTGCACACTCTTATTGGTTGTGCATTCTTAGTGTTACTGTTCAATCTCTAATGTACGGTGTTGCTGCTGGTTGTTCTGTTCTTGATTTCCCAGGATTCACTTGCTAGATAACACGACACTGGAGTTCACGCTCAGCCCGTCCGACACCGGGCAGGCGGTATTGGAGAAGGTCGGAAAGGTCATCTCTGTGAGTGAGGTAAGTACTCTGCCCGGGTGTGTGTGTGTGTGTGTATGTGTGTGTGTGTGTGTGTGTGTGTGTGTGTGTGTGTGTGTGTGTGTGTGTGTGTGTATGTGTGTGTGTGTGCGTGTGTGTTCCATATGGTGCAGTGGTATGTGCAGCGATTTCCAATCGATAGGTTGCGGGTTCGATTCCCGACGATTATGGTCACACACGTCTTTCTTCTCTTTCTCAGACTCTTCCTGACTTTTCTTTCATTCTCCTGGGTGGTTACCAACAGCTAGTGCATGCCGGAGTATGTGGTGTGATGTGTGTGCGGGGGAAAAAAAAGAAAAAGAAAAAAGAAAAATGACCAAAAAGTAGGGATTCACTGGCCAGAAAAGCCACTTCATAGCTGTGTGGTGTAGACCAGGCTGAATAGTGGCGGTCAATTCTTCAGCCTTGCAAGCTGTTGAATGGTGCAATCCCAGCACAAGCTGCTATGGCTTCTGCTGTAGCATCGCTATCATCGCCTCCGGCGATGGGCGTCCAATGGTCCAATGGTGTGCGTGTGTGTGTGTGTGTGTGTGCGCGTGCGCGCGCGCGCGTGTGTGTGTGTGTGTGTGTGTGTGTGTGTGTGTGTGTGTGTGTGGTCCTACCAGGGCCGCTGTTACGGCTGGTATGGCCATAGCTGCACGGTTTTTTTTTCTTGAAAAAAACAAAACAATACTCTATGTGTAAAAGAGAAAGGACCGATAAGTTACTAGTTATGACTAACAGTCCACCAAGGTAACCAAGGTAACAGTCCACCAAGGTAACGTTATCTTACATGATGTCCTCACCTTGGTGGACTGTAAGTCATAACAAGTAACTTATTGGTTCTTTCTCCTTTTACACATAATATTGGCTCACCATCCGAGTTTTAGTATGCTACCTACGTGTACTAACCTGTGATACTCGTACTGGAGTCTTTGCCCCCCCCCCCCAGACTGTTCACCTAATAGAGTGATGACTAATGTGCTATCTCCATAATTATCAATTTCTAACGGAAAGCGTACTACACTGTAGCTGAAACAACCATATCTGGTGCAGCATAGAGCTAAAGACAAATCTTTCCAAAAAGGCTGAAATTGGTGCATCGGGAAATGGTCGGCCCTGTAGCCGACCTTGGGCCTAACCCCCCCCCAGGAACTGACTCTGGGCCTGGTCCCTGAATGTTCTTACAATAGCATCAGGTACCCAAAAACAGGGGAGGGGGGGGGGGAGCAATTTTGGCGAGTCGTGTTTTTATCTGAAAAAACCTCCAGCAATGAGCATCTTTCTTGCACTCCTAAATAGATGATATGCCAAATAACGTACAACTAGACTTGGGAGGGCATTGCACACCAGTTGCATACAAATTCTACTACGGTGGGTACACTGTAGTCCCTAGGCCCTGAGCTTTGCAGGAGCACAAGTCACAGGTAACCGTACAACATTGGTCTGTGTATGCAACTATTGTGCACTGCCCTCCCAAGTCTAGTTGCATGTTATTTGGAATACTAAGTATCAACTACAGTGAAGCCTGTCTACGACGACCGCTCAAGGGACCTTCAAAGTGTGATCACCTGTAACCAGGTGCTCTCCTTATCCAGTGCCATTTGACTGGAACTAGCATCCCCTGGTCCTGGCTGCAGTGGTCTTCTGGGACAGGTGACCACCTTATCCGAGTGGTCGCCTTGACAAGTTTTACTCTATTCACACGGTATAGGCACACTGTATATGAAGCGTTACATTATTATTTTTATTATTATTATGAAATGTCCCAAAGGCATTATGGCTATCGAGGGGTTCATTTGATTGAAAGAACAGTACTACTTATACTAGTACATGTATGTACAAGGACAGGTCGGGCTTTATGAGGAGAGAAATGAAATAAACACTGGGCCTCTGTGTGTTTCTCTGAATGTTCAGATGCAGTTTTATGGTCTGAAGTTTCGAACCGGCTTGAACCACTATCGCTGGCTAGACAGGGAGAAGCCGGTGCGCGAGCAGTTGAAGCGTCATGCCGACCGTAGCTATGCCGACCTTCTCTACTTCTGCGTGCAGTATTACGTGCATGACATCAATTTGCTTCCGGATGATGCGTCACGGTAAGAATGCTCCTGGTTAATAATCCCTTTTCGGCCCTCTCTCTCTCTCTCTCTCTCACACACACACACCTTGACCTTTGACCTTGATACACATTGCCATGATAGGTTAGACGGTCCCCGTTAGGGGAGAGGGGTGGAAGAGGCTGAGGAGCAGCACTTCTGATGGCGCACTAGATGGTGACGCAGTCGGAACTTCCTTTGGCAAGGGCACTCAAACGGGAAGTCAGCCCTTTCCGACACTGTCCTTCGTTTCGTGCGGTCGCACTTGTGTCTGGCCAAGCTGCTGCTGGACTTGAAGCTCCGGTGGCAGGTGCTGCACTGCGGAGTGACCGGGTTGCCGGGGTGCTCAATGTTGGGAACACACACACTCATTGTGTCTATATCGCCAGCTCCAACTCTCTTTGACTATTTCTCGACTCACGATAATCACTTCTCCATGAAGAAAACCTGGAACACGTCCATGGTCGCATGCCCGTGGGCAAACATACACACACTCACAAACTCCTGTTTACGGTATGGCGGGAGTGTACCAAAGAAACAGACATATTCCCATTGGCCTGGCCATTGGGATTTTAGCAACCCGTCGCAGTTTGACTAAACTTGGTCCTAACACTCACACATTGCCTATTTGCTGCAACCCTCACGTTAGCTTCACAACATGTTTGGGCATAGTCCAGTAAAGCCTGTTGCCCTAACCGGGTGTCCTGTAGTTGCAGTAGAACATTGCCCTGAAATTACAGGATTCAGCTTTTCCGTGCCTGTATTGGAGGAACCGGAGTTCGCGACGAATTGTGGTTTACAGCATGGTTGGAAAAAGGTTTCCGCGTCTGAGCACATTAGACACTCTGGTGCCCTTTGTTACTCAGTCATTGTATGAGACAATCCCATGGATAGCTCTCTGCTGATAAATAGTACGGGTGGATGCAGGTGTGTGTGTGTGTGTGTGTGTGTGTGTGTGTGTGTGTGTGCGTGTGTATGTATGCGTGTGTGCGTGTGTGTGTGTATGCGTGTGTGCACGAATGGATTGACATGTTTGCATGTACATCCATGCGCATGCGTACACTAATCTACATGTGCCTGAGTATTTTGTCCACATCTGTGTGTTGCCTCTGCTCTGTGTTTAGGTATCTGTACTACCTGCAGCTGAAGAAGCTGGTTCTGTCACGCAGGCTGCTGTGCGGTCTGGACCAAGCCATCATTCTAGCGTCCTATGCTATCCAAGGTATGCAATGAGCAAGGATATGACCTTTACGAAGAAGAGTACATGAAACCCAGAATGTGCAGCTCTCTGACTTTCTGCATGTTTGTCTGTTACGGCGAAATTCCGGAATTACATCATATTTGGTGCAGATCTGAGACGGGAAGTGGTGTAGTGCGTACAACTGAGCTACAGTTGTGCAGAAAGAGACCTGCTTGAATCCTGATCGTACGTACTACATCACTAAGAACGGGTGTATTCACAGAATTTCGCCGTCACAGCAACCCATCAGAGCTGCTCGGTGGGTTTCATGTGCTCTTGCCTCTATAATACATTATTACGCGTCATATTACTGTATCCGTTGGAACAGCAAGTCAACGGCCTTAGCCATGGGGTATTTACCCAGCGCTGTGCCAAATGATAACCGCTCAGTTGTATCGGACAGCCATTAGTTACTCAACCGGAATCAAAGTTTGTTGCATGCACAACCTGGTCATAACTTCGCACTCAGATGCAGTGCCGTATTTCCAGGAGTATAATCCGTAGTTTAACCCTTTGGGGGTCCAACTATTTTCAGAGAATATGCAATTTTCGAAGTGTTTTCATAAAAAAAGGGTTTGCTCCCCACACCGGAGCTCGCGCTATTCCGCCGACTTTACTTGACACTTGACTGACTCACGACTGCCATCCAGAGCACACGAGAAGTCCATCGAACCTTCGACTCGGCAAACTTGCAAGAAAGCACCACTCCCTGCTCAATACACAGTGTTTCGGGGAATTCACCCCTCATCAGTTGAGCTTGAGTAGGCTGAGGAAGATTGTGCCTGAAGAGCACCACTTATATAGTGCTCTCCAGGCACAAACATCATCAGGGATACAAACTTACAGAGACGCTCCGTTTCCAGCGCGACAAACACATCGCTCTAGTTCTTTACCTACAGGCAGGTCAAAACATACTGAAGCTTCTAGACATAATGATTTTGATGCTCTGTAGGTAAAGAACTAGAGCGATGTGTTTGTCGCGCTGGAAACGGAGCTCTGTGCTGAGGAAGGTGCATGGCTTGTAGCGGTGCAGCAGTATCTGCAATTGGTCCATGGATCCTGGATGGTGGAGGTTCATCAACAGCGATACCACCCAGCTGACGGATGAGTTGCGCACGGAAATCGGCATGGCGCTGGTGGCTGCAGCGCACAATCGCACCCGGGTTGGCTGCATGCTTGCCACAGTTCAAAGAAACGAAAGGCATTGACAGCAGCCACATCAACAAAATCTAAAAAAATACTCTTCCAGTACTTCCTCCTAGTACGGCGCAGAACTTGGTAGACGGCGATATGCTGGTCGTCTACATGTAGATCCACGCCTCCCATACTGCGATTGTAGTCTGCTATACACTTGGGCTGGTTGATCTGCACAGGCTGGTACACACCATCCACTTTGGCCTTCCTTGTGACCTCGACGTTCTCGTTGCTTTTGTGAACGGTGGACAATACAGACACACAGCGCTTGTCCTTCCATTGTTGGTACAGTACACAGTCGTTACGGATATATCGGGTTGCCCTTCACTCTGCTTTTTAAAACAGCTTTAGGCCACACGTTTTTATTTCTATGTTTCTCGTCACCTGAAAATCTAAAAACGTATGCGAGAGGTGGAAAAAAAATAAAAAATGACCGAAAAATAATAAAGTTTATTAGACCTTTGTTCACACTAAAATCCACCAATACACCATGCAAAATAGCATCCATAGTTAGCAACTACATGTGGTAGGAGCTTCTGTCACAATCTGTGCATGTGCAGCTAGATTGCGCACAAAATATGCCATCCTTGCATCATGTGTCGCGCAGGCCAGGCCACATTATGTACATGTGCATGAGTGTGCTGGTCCCCACATGCACAGTCAGTGCAGCACAGTTTTTTTTCTTTTTTTCTTCCAGACTCCTGAATCGTATGCGCGCGGGTGACGAGAAACATAGAAATAAAAACGTGTGGCCTTATGTCATCTTTCAGTCTAGCAGGATAGCCGCGATGATTCGTCCTAACGGTCCCTACCAGGTGGGTGCCATTGTCCTGAAGAGAGTTGGCCAACAGCTCAGACGTGTAGAAGTTATCTGTGCATACGACATGGTTTTGCTGGAAGAGTGGTGCGCACAGCCTCATAACGACGTTGTGCGCCAGGCCACCATCAGGGTCCTGCTGGCCAGTATACACTTCAAAATTGAATAATAAAGATGATGCTCACCACGGGTAGCAGCAGTTGGCATAGCAGCAACTACCTCTGCTTCTAAATCTCCGTCATCGCCGTCACTTTCGCTCTCGGACCCGTCGCCAATTATTCTGATCTAAAATATCATGTCAAGGTCGTCTTCCTTTTCCGGGGAGAGACATGGATCATCAGACGATTCACTTTCATCCGTATCGTTCACTGGATCGCCATCAGCGTCCATTTGCAGGAGCAACTGAGCAGCAGCAGCCCCGTCCATGATCCTTGCGGAAGCGAATTTTCTTCTTAGTTCGCTACGTACATAGGTACACTCCAAGCGCTCCGCACTGCATTTGTTTGTGTGGGCAACCCCCACATATGTGATACCTACGTCATGGTCACGATCTCCGCAAGCTGTCTGTGACGTGTGAGACCTGTGTGACGATGTTTGCCAGCTAACATCGGTGTTTGACCGCGCGCAGTGAAATATCGTTAGAATTAGAACGATGGACCCTCAAAGGATTAAACACTCGTCATTCTCCCCAAATATCGGTGCGCCTGATACCACGGTGGTAATTATGAATAGTAATATTATACAGGGTAGATGCCTGTATTTGGTGACCAAGATGTTGGGTACGGCTTATACTGCAGTGCGGCTTATACTGCAGTGCGGCTTATACCCAGGAAAGTACGATACTTCTACCGCAGGCATGCATGGCTTGTCTGCATCTCATGCCGTTGTTTAATGTTTCCTTGTTTCTGGGTTTCTGTTGCTTGCAGCTGAGTTTGGGGATCATGATCGCGAGGTTCATACTGTTGATTTCCTCTCCGACTTTGACCTAATACCTAGCGTAAGTTACACCACAAAATGGCATTGTGTGTTGTGAAGACCCTCCAAGTGCACTCTTGCATCTACCAGCCTGTTTCTTTTTCTGTGCATTTGTGTGTGTGTGTGTGTGTGTGTGTGTGTGTGTGTGTGTGTGTTTGCCTCTCTCTCTCTCGCTCTCTCTCTCTCTCTCTCTCTCTCTCTCTCTCTCTCTCTCTCTCTCTCTCTCTCTCTCTCTCTCTCTCTCTCTCTCTCTCTCTCTCTCTCTCTCTCTCTCTCTCTCTCTCTCTCTCTCTCTCTCTCTCTCTCTCTCTCTCTCTCTCTCTCTCTCTCTCTCTCTCATCATGCTCCATCCATATGCCTCTCCGAGTGCTGCAGAGTAGACCTTGGCCGATAATACCAGTCGAATAATTGGCAGAAGTTGGTAATTTATCTGGTATGTTTCATGCATGTTCTGTATGTGGATATAGAAATGGAGCAGAATTCAAGGAAGTGCCTGCTGTAAGGTTTGTATGGTTCTCCAAAATTCAGGGCCTTTCGAGCAGGAGCTGTCAGTGTTTGCGGCATTACATGTGTCCACTAAGGGCTAGCTCAGAGTGTGTTTGTACTCCTCTGTCCCCTGCAGGACATTCTGGTGGAACTCGACCATGAGGCAATCATGCGCAAGGTGACGGAGCTGCATCAGAAGAACCACGGACTGTCGCCGGAAAAAGCCGAAATCTGCTACATCAAGCAGGCACAGCTGCTACCTACGTATGGCATAGAGTTCTTCCCTGCCAAGGTACGCTCTTACCGTATTTCCCCGATTGTAGGTCACACCCCCATTTCCAGGTCCATGTCATTATCGTTTTGATATTATTTACTTCAGTAGTAAGTCATGCTCGATTGTAAGTCGCACCCCCTTTGTTGGCCCTGAAGTTAGGTGTAAAGAGGTGTGACTTATATTCGGGGAAGTACGGTACTCCATTGGGTTGATTCAGCTGTTTGCTGACAGCAGCTTGAGATCTATCTCCTCTCATCAATGTTGTCTGGTTCATTACGTACGCTCTGGGAGAGTTGCGGTTGCTCGTGAAAGTGCTCAATGCGCCTACATATAGGTACAAAGTCTAGTTCACACACTTGGAAGTAGGAGTGACCAGAGCGTTGCTGCTGTAACTCTTGAGTTTCACGGTTTCTGGCCGATGATCGGTAAAACCGTGAAACTCACGAGTTACAGCGAGTGCATTTCGATTCCTTCTTTCAAGTGTGTGTAGTTTATAGCCTATGTCCTCTTCCTGGAATGCATGGTCTCTCAAAGCTATTGGGGGTAAAGAAGTTTGTATGGTTTGACGGGTGTGCTTGGTTTCCAACTGTACAGGATATCAACAATCTTGGTCTTTTGCTCGGCGCAAGCTTTGTGGGTATTGTCGTACGGCATGCCAATGGTCTTCCACCAGTTTCATTCAGGCAAGCAGTGTGGGTGTGTGTGTGGGTGTGTATTGTTGGGGGGGGGGGGGGGGGAGCATGCCTGGTGTGGTGTATGTGTGTGGGTGTACCTTTGTACCTGTGTGGGTGTGTGGGTGTGTGTGTGGGTGTGTGGGGGGGGGGGGGGGGTACATAGGGTACCATCTGACTGGGCTACTACATTTTAACGTTATCATGGAGACATCATTATGTGGTTGCTATGGCAGTTTCTCCCCTGTGCCTTTAGTGTTAATGCCAAGGTGTCTGTCTTGATCTAGTGTGATCCTGCCCACACTGTTAGGCTCTTGGTAACCATTGCAAATGCCACATAGTTGCTCAAGTATGCCCGCAGCCGTTCAGTGTTCCTCTATTTATATTGTTATGACCGAAGTTTTGCAACTTAACGTGTTACATGTAGTCCAAGCATCAGTAAAACTCTTGCTGACTTTGTTTCTTTCCTTGGATATGATGATGTTTGTGCTTGTGTATCCTGCTTTACAGGTGGGCAGACATTCTCAACCTGCGGCCCAAGTCGGGAAAGAGCTGCGGCCAGCTGCAGATTGAGACGCCCAGCGAATACATCTTCTTCAAGATGGTAAGCGTTGATGCACTGCTGGCTGCTTGGGTTGATATAGAACAAATTTTGGCAGCTACCGTATTTTCCCCACTGAACGTACACGTCTCCAACACTAGTACACTCAAACGTCTCTTATCCGGACGCCTCAGGCACGGGCACGTCTCTCTACTGGGCACCTTCAGCTTGAGGTCCTATTGCAATAATGCTTTGAATTGGGGGGGGGGGGGGTTGGACTTCTTTTTGTATGCGCAAGTGCTTATTTGTCACTGCCAACCTGTGAGATCCACACCTTTTTATCAATGGATTCTTTCTGTGACCTGAACATGTGCAATACGTGCCAAACAAACTTCTTCAAAAATTACATAATACATGGTAGATGAGTTATCCTGAGATACGGGCAAATCTGAGATACGGGCAGTGCCCGGCCCCAAGGTGCCCGGATAAGTGACATCCGAGTGTATTTCTCCGATTTTAGTACATGTTGAGTATGGATCACACATATAAAAGGACATGTCTCTAACAATAGTACATGCAGGAAAAATGTGATGGGCATTACTGGCGTGCAGGTACCAGGGTCCATCTTACTTCGTTTTTCTTACCTATTTGCAATCTTTGTGTCTTTGTACACTGTTTATGACCATGGTTGGATGTATTTACAGCCTTACAGTACGATTATCACGAGTTCTTCGACACCCAACCCAGGCGATCAATCTTTCCAAAAACAATAAGAGTACACGTCTCCAATACTAGTACAGTCTCCTATAGCAGTACAGGTCTGACAACCTTTGAAAAATAAAAGTACTGTACATTTGTTGGGGATGCGTACAGGTTCCTGCATGAGTACGAGGGCAGTACCGCGGAATCCAGCCCGCGCTGCGGTGCCGGCAAGGGCTGGATGAACAGATATGATGCTATAATAAGTAAGCTAACAACTCAGTTGGGCCACGTCGGAGTGGTTGTGGCTCAGAACAAATACACGAAAACGCAAAACTGACATTCAGGTTTGGTAGCTGCTCCCCACAACAATAGAATGAAACTAAAATACTAGTACAGATTGTCCAAGCTATCACGCGTGACATTGTGACTGTTACAGAAATAACTAGTACTGTACTGAAAGAAACTCACCAGCCAGCCAACAAGAAAACAGCTGCAGAGTCAGAGAAGGTACTCGCGTTGGGAAATATGTTACGATCATGTCATGTTGAACACAATGGATGCATTGCCCGGACAGCTCTGAAACGTAGGTGGGAAAGGGACTTCAAGTTGGCGACGGGACCCTTCAGTAGTAGCAGGAGCTGACGAAACATCCGTTGTTGGAGCAGCGGCTGTCGAAGCTGGGTTGGGCGGCGCTTGACTGGACTCCTTTCCAGCGCAGTTCTCCTCGTCAGCTGGTTTCGGTAGCTCCGGCATCGCATCCAGGATCGCGGCATTTGACTTCTTCGGCGCTTCAGCATGTTGATTGTGTGACGAAAACGACTGCACTGATTGGTGCAGTGAAGTCCCCATAATCACATGCGGTGCGACCTCAGCGTCGGTGAGCCTGGTGATGACCGATGCTCGGATGCAGTGGTTAGTGTACCGTTGGCTGAGCTTTGCTGTATCTGAAATGCGGGTCATCATCACTGCCATGGTGTTTATCCCGACAGATTGTCCAGTATACCTTGGCTCACTGTCACTCGTTGGCTTCCTCTTGAACGCCATCTGAAACAGCGGGTCATGTTTATGATTAAGTCTCCATATTAGAAGCTTGACGGTGGCGACATGCTCTGGTGACTGGATTCGTCCGGCAGAAACTGTATCACTGTCACTGCTGCCACCCTGGTAATTTTTCTGAGCGAATGCGATGCTCAGCACAACGTACTCTGATCCATTACCGTCCTTCTTCACCTCCAAATCAGACACACGAAAGAGGGATTGGATCTCTCTGGCGCTCAAGCCGAAAATGAAACGTAACAAGAATCCAGACGGCTTCGGTTAGCACGATAGGATCAGTATCAGACTGCTTGAAATACACGGCCAGCCTGGCCATGTCCTCACTGGTAACGGTGGCTATGTGCGGGACTATAGCTTCACTTGCCCTTGCCGCATCTTTGCCTTCGAATGGCCATCGAGGGTTTCGTTCGCATCCTGAAACTGAGGATCGGTAAATATGTTGACGTTCCGTTTCACAATGTACAGGTGCCTTTGGATTGCTGCGAGCGGCATCCCAATAAGCTCAACCTTGAATACGGCTGCCCGTTCTTCCGGCGCAGCTCTGCACACATTCGGCGCGAGAAAGAGGCCAGCTGCTCGTTGCCGCAGGGTGCCAAGTCCACTGCTATTCCTTTCCTTTTCGTGGCGGCCATAGTCGACTGAAGCGTTCCGCTCATGCGGATTTTTTCTAGATCTTCACCGGAAACCTCGGCAAATCGCACGGGTTCTGCAGGTTGCTGAGCAATTGCACGCTTTGGTTGAGGCTCGCCCGGCTCGTCGAGGATCTCCTTTGCGAGCGACTCCGCAATGAAAAACTCCGGCTCTTCCTCAACTTGTTGGAGGAGCTCATTCACATCGCCATTATCGTCCAGCCCAGGGGATTCTTCCAGATCCTGATCGAAATTTGGGAGCGCCATAATAAAATTAATGACAGTTGTGGTTGTTTACGCTGAAATGGTCGGTCTTCTTCAAGTTCCTGTTGGTTTTCTACTTGGTCGCCCTTTCCATTGTCCTGGTATTTTAGGAAACACATGCCTTAGTTCTTGAACCAATCATGTCAATGAAGGAAAACTCAATTCAGTGGCTACTGCCCGTCGTCAAGTGACGATGGGCAGTAGATTTCGTCCACTGCTCGTCGTCAATTGACGAACCAGTTCCATCACCTTTGAGCAGGCTTGGCCACGCATTCCAGCCCGCGCAGTTTGATCTGTCATTGGTCGACTCCAAGACGACAGTCACGTGGCATACGGGAGTACGGTATTCAATTTCCGCTATATTCGGCACCAACCCTAAATCCCGAAATTGAAATGTTGGTGAAAGATTTCACATCGGCTTTGGCAATGTACTGGTATTAACCCCGTGCCGAAAGGAATTCGGTGCCGAAATGTCGAAAATTGTAAGATGTTGAAATTGTGCAGCCCCGATATTTTGTGTTATTTACAGTGACCAGTCAGTTCTGCTGTTGGGTTACCACTTGACCAGTTAAGATCTGTTCTGCTAGGGTTGCCATAGTTACCATGTAGCCAGCCAAGGTTTGTTCGGTAGGGCAATGGAAAAATTGCTCTGCCAGTCAAGACATTCGGCCTTACAGTGTTTGGATATGAAACACTTACATTTTTAAAAGAAAGGACAAAATGTTACGAGATATGATTAACAATGCGATAAATAGAACAAATGATTCCAACCTAATACCATGTACAAGTAAGAATCATGAAATGCGAACATGTATAAAATGTGATTCGTAAAGTTATCACTTACATTGAACACTGATGTTTTTGTTCCTGTTTGCTTAGGAAAGCCAAGAGATGGCCCACTACGTCTGGCAGTTCTTTGTTCTCCAACACGCTTTCTTCAGACGGGTAGCGACCCTCACCAAAGCTATCGGCCCAAATACCAAGAGCAAGTACGTACCGGCCGCTGTTGCTGATGTTGCTCATGTCTCTGCTGTTGGTGGTGCGGCTGCTGTTGCTGCTGTTGCTGGTGTTGCTCATGTCTCTGCTGTTGATGGTGCGGCTGCTGTTGCTGCTGTTGGTGGTGCAGCTGCTGTTGCTGCTGTTGGTGGTGCGGCTGCTGTTGCTCATGTTGCTGGTGTTGCTCATGTTGCTGCTGTTGCTCATGTTGCTGCTGTGGCTGATGTTGCTCATGTTGCTGCTGTTGGTGGTGCGGGTGCTGTTGCTGGTGGTGGTGGTGGTGGTGGTGTTGCTGCTGGTGGCAGTGCTGTTGCTGGTGAAGGTGGTGCTCTTGCTGTTGCTGCTGGTGGTGCTGGTGGTGCTGATGGTGCTGGTGGTGGCATTGCTGCTGGTGGTGGTGCTGGTGTTACTGCTGCTGTTGTAGCTACTACTTGTGCAGCTGTTGCTTCTGCTTCTGCTGCTGCTAATGTCATTGCTGCAACTACTGAAGGAACTACCGCTACTAAAGCTACAGTGTTTCTTTTCTGTGTGTTCTGATAGCCGACAAGAATTTCTGCTGGATGCACCTGGGTGAGAGAACATTGTTTTAATTGCATTGTTGAGATGTTATGCATTCCACTGCACTTACTGGGCCAGGCGTTTGAAGCGGAGAGCAAACAGAAAGAGCCCATGAAAAAAACCCCAGAGAGACTTGTCAGAGTGGGTGGAATGCCATGAGTTTGCATTGACTTGATCAGGGTGGCAAAGCATGGTCGTATCAAAGGAATGAAACTCGTCACTGTGTCTGGTTTTGAAACTTTTATCTATGCTGTGCATGCATATCGTCACACGTATCACAGTGGGAGTTGCTCACTGCACATTTTGTGTCCAAAATGATTTCGGTTCTGTCTCTCTTTTTCTCTCGGTCTTTCTCCCGGCCTCCTCCCCCCCCCCCCCCCTCTCTTTATCTCTCTCTGTCTCTCTTCTCCTGTTCTCTCTGCCTCTCTCAGTGACTGACAGATACTGTATGAATTGAGTACACAGCATGAGTAAACGAGTATGAAGGACCTGCCACCGTTAGCATCATCAGACATGACAATGACTCGTGATGTTCTTCCTTTCTTCGTCTGTGTCTTGTGCCCCATCACTGTCATGCAGAACGTATCAGAATGGACACGATCAGTCGTCACGGAAAATCAAGCGCAAGCTCACCATCACTCGCATCCACGGCGGAAAGGTAACCAAGAGAACTCCACAATATCCACTGGCTGATTATCCCCCCCCCCCCCCTCCCCCCCCCCCCCCCCCCCCCGAGCATTGTCTTATGCATGATATGTGCTCTGGTTGCATAGTACGCACGTTTGCACGCTAAGACCCGATGTTCTGATAATTATAACTGAATTTTCCGGAGTATAACCGGCACCACATTTTTTCTTCTCACAAAATACGGCCATCTACCCTGTTTATGACGGTAAATTTGGCCATCGTAGAATGAGCTACATCGATTTTTTGGGGTGAATTTCTGCGGTTTGAAGTGCGGCTTCTACTCCGGAAATATGTTATAACTCTTATCGCCATCCGAAGACTGGCTCGCAACGCTAAAAAGATAGGAGTTCGAAGAAGTATATTCATGCAGACCGATGTGTGGCATCGTATTTCATTCTCATGCTGAGCTATGCCCATGTGAATTTTGTGATGCTACAGCACCGCAAAGATGAACATGATGGAAGTCAATTACGCTATACAGGACACAAGGAAGGCCAGCAAGGCGAGTACTTCACTCGATACGTATGCGTGGGCATGTTATCCTTGACGTCACATTCTCAGGCTTGGCGGACTGAGAGTTTAGGTGTATGTGCATGCGTGCGTGAGTGCATGTGTGTGCGCTTACATACGCGTGTATATATGCTAACATGTATATATCTGTGTGTACATGAATGTGTGTATGTATGCATGCGCGTGGGAATGTATATACATGCACGTTTTCGTGTTCAGTGTCAGTCGAGGATTTGAGCCAGGAAACACCACTGGACATGAGCCATCTGCACAAGCTGAGAGTGATGCCGAAACTAGAGACACAGACCGTCGGTGCCGCATCCTCCGAAACTTCACTGGACAACAACGGAGATAGCAACGCACCGCACCAACCCCGAGCCGGCCAACATGATGACTGGGTCAGAGGTGCGTCGCAGGTGAAGCACGTCCGGGCCAGCGGCGGAAGCGAGTACGCCATTGTGTCAAAGTCCAATCGTGGACAAGCCGGCGAGGACGCGCACAGTCGAGACAAGAGCCGCTCGACGAGTCCTGGCAGTCTGAACTCTACCGAAGGAGAACGGCTGCCACCACCATGTAAGCGTCGTGTGAACATGTTGGGATAAACATAATGTTTCTTGTTTTCTCTTCAGGGTGTGCACACTCTCCACTGTAGCAACTTCATTTTCACACAAGTCCACACCAGGCCCCAAAAATGTTCTCCCAATGCTCCAACCGTCTGAGCAATAGCACCAGGCCGAACCGCGTTCGAGTCATGGTGGGTCTGGTACTTTTTTCTCTTTTCAGGCAGTTCACTTCCCCGACTGATTCTTTGAAATTTGAAGTTCTACCCATCCTTAGAAAATCTCAAGTTTTATTCAAATTTCCAGGCTGGGCCCCATCTTTTTGAAATTGAAATTTGAAATTTCTTCTTTTCTTTATGGACTTGGGGTCGACATAGTGTTCTCTGTGCGTCTATTGGGATCAATGTAAAGTCTCCCGTGCTTGTTCGAAAATGGGATCAGTTCTTGAGTGTAACTCTGGGGTACGGTTAGGCTGTTCTTACGCTTCTTCGTAGGTGGTTACCTCTCAGGCCGAATTTTATTAAATTTGTCGCCAAAGTCACCTACAATCCCTTCATTTGATCAATGTGCTTCGTTGAGCATCGTATTCTTAATCCAGATGGTGTTGATCAATGTCAAGTGTGCACCATGTTGTCCAGGGAAGCATCAGTGTACATGCTACTAATGCTGCTGGAGGAAAAACACCCCTTTCAAGATCGTATCTGCACTAGAATGTATGTTAGGAGGATTTCTGGCTGATTTTCAGCAATATCAGTATTTATAATATTATTCATAATGGATACGGTATGTGCGTAGTTTCTCCCCTTGATTTATGTGTGTATTTGTGTTTACCCAATGCTGTACACAGCAAACTGTTTCGGCCCTAAAGGCCTCATCAATACAGCTACGAGCAAAATATCCCGAGCTACCAGCCATGGTGCAAAGGATGCACTACGGACATTTTAAGATAGCTCGCGCTGTAGCGCCAGAGTGCTCAAACTACTGTATTTGTGTTTATGTATGTTTGTGTGTGTGTGTGTGTGTGTGTGCGTGTGCGTGTGCGTGCGCGTGTGCGTGCGCATGCGCGTGCGCGTGCGCGTGCGCGTGCGCGTGCGCGTGTGCGTGCGCGTGCGTGTGTGTGCGTGTGTGTGTATGTGCGTGTGCGTGTGTGCATAATGTGTGTGTGTATGCGCGTGCACTCGCGTGTGTACTTGCATGCATGCGTATGAATTCTTTTGCTTTCCGTAGTAATTGCACGTACAAACACAGGCAGCATGAGCACTTCAAGCCGTGATGGCACATCCGTCACGTCCACTGGAACCGGCAATGCTGCATCAGCCGAGAACGGTGCTCCTGGTATGTACCATATGCATTTATCTGGTGCGTCCAGAGCGTAACGATGACCAGTTGATCGACGGAACGCCTGCCCCCCCCCCCCCCCCCCACCACCACCATGGCTGCTGCATGTTCCCGTTGCGTGCACCACATGGGTTTTAGAAAAGAAAAAATAGGCAATTTGCACGCCTGGAGCTACTTGTTTGTTTGTTTGTTTTCGTTTTACTTCACCAGATACACAGGCTTTCTGCCTTCCCACCTAACCATACGGCTAGGCTCTCAATAAAAGATGAAGAATTGGATTAGCCACAGACCCAATGTTTGTTATGCCCTGATAAAGAAGTAAAGTAAATTATCGTGTCCGTTCCCTAAGGGAACTCACGACGGCCACTAACACCCGGTAAACCCTAGCGGCAGATGCAGCGCCTAGCGGTAGGGGTGACGGGATAAGTCTCACAACCACTGGCACAAGTGCCGAGAAACCCCATTGGCTGCATCCATGTACCCCTTGTGCCTGGCCACAAGTTCTCAGTTGACTGTGGGTAGCAGCACGGCTGGAAATACCGCTCTCAGCCAGGACTTGAACCAGGTACAGGTACCTCTCGTATCTCAATCATGGTCTTTGACCAAGCCACTGTGCCTGCTTTATATGCCATGATAAAACCTGCTGAAGGCAAGGCTTGACGGTGCTACTCGTGGATACCCTTCAAAACATTGCTGTTAAAAAACCTGACCTGTGTCCTACTTCCACGTGTGATTGTGTTCTTCTTGGAAACTTAAAGGGGAAGTTAAGGCAAAAATTAAAATTTCACCAGTTGTAGTCTTCGGGGTGCTGAGTCGAATGGTCTTGGTCCGAGAAAGCTGAGACGCTCCCTTCCTACTTGAATCCCAATCGAACTCGCGCACTTCCACCGAAACTGGGTGACTGCGCCCTACGAGATGGGGATTTGTATGCAAAATGTCACTAAAAGCGCCATTTCGTTCTTATAAAAGCACGGATGACCGCGATTGGCCCATATGTTGTAGTCTTTTGGACGCTGAGTCGACTGGTTTTGGTCCGAAAAGGCTGCGATGCAGCGTTCCTCCTTTATTCCCAATCGAACATGGTTGAACAAGCGGTCACGTGCTCCTGCGTACACCAGTCACCTGGTCACCGTGCCTGCAGGGTACAACTTACAGCCTGTTTTGACCTTTTTTGGGTGCAGTCCTGTCACTCGAGTTGAACCTTGGTGTGAAAGTTGTCGCCTGCTGGCATGGTGACCAGGTGATTTTGGCACCCAGGAGCACGTGACCGCTTCTTCAATCATGTTCGATTGGGAATAAAGGAGGAACGCTGCATCGCAGCCTTTTCGGACCAAAACCAGTCGACTCAGCGTCCAAAAGACTACAACATATGGGCCAATCGCGGTCATCCGTGCTTTTATAAGAACGAAATGGCGCTTTTAGTGACATTTTGCATACAAATCCCCATCTCGTAGGGCGCAGTCACCCAGTTTCGGTGGAAGTGCGCGAGTTCGATTGGGATTCAAGTAGGAAGGGAGCGTCTCAGCTTTCTCGGACCAAGACCATTCGACTCAGCACCCCGAAGACTACAACTGGTGAAATTTTAATTTTTGCCTTAACTTCCCCTTTAAAAACGTTGGGAAAGAGTATGATTAGGATACGAAGTGCCGTCGAGCCCGGCCACGCATGAAACGAGGTGATTACGATGTACGTTTTTGGTTTTGTTTCGGCACTGAGAGCCCCACAGGATTCCACTGGCAGTGATCATTGTATGCTCTGGATTGATCGCTACAGTCCATTTCAAAACTATAGACGCGTACCTAGGCAAAATCGTTATGCCAGCATCTATACCACATAAAATCTGTGATCACTTTGTGCATAAAATTTTCCAAATTGGGCGTCTGTTATCCAATACTTTAGAAACTATATGAGAGTAATTGTGGAGCGATCCTGAGCAATATTCCGAAAACTATTCTCAAAAAGTTCCAGCCAAATTTGAAATATTTCAAAAACCCTACGCGTCTATAGTTTTGAAATGCACTGTAGAGCAGTTTGTTGTTGTTGGGCATTGCTGATCTACATTGTTGCCCACTGGCTGGATGTCTGTTACGTCTGTGCAGCAGAGATCTCCACGGAAAGGCATCGCAAGCTTCGTGAGTTCAGAGAAGAAGACAAAGTCAAGCGTCACTCAGCTGCAGGTAAGTTTCATGTCAGAACTTCTCTTCTAGCCCTGCATTGCTGGAATGGCTAATGTAGTCCGGAATTGGTCAGGTTATTTATTTATCATTTAGACAAAATGGATGTAGCGAATGGGATTTTCGGTCTTTGATCACTTTGTGATGGTCTGATGTACTTACCTCCCACTGCTTAGGAATTGCATCTGTGCCTTCATCCATAGAGGGTGCTGGCTTTCCTACGGTTGCGTAAAACTCACGCGAACCGTGACATTTAATTTGTTTATCATATAGACAACAACTGGCACGTCAAAGGACGACCAAAAAGCCGATTGCGCAATGACGTAATTTGTACCACGAACACCCCACACAGCCACCTGGGTATGGTCGTCTGGGGTGTACCGTGTTGAACAGTGCATTCTTGATCCCAGCGTACTCCCATGCATCACTCATACCTTCCATATTTGGCAATGTGCAATGGGCTTATTACTCAGTTGAGGTAAAGAGTGTGAGCCAACAATGGCATTTGTCTACCAAAATCATTCATGGTGTCACTTTCGACTTGTCCTACATCTGAAGTTTTTGGTTTTGGATTTCTGTCTCTTCTTTGCTGTTGCTAGCTGTAACGGCGCACGGCTTGTGGAACCAGGTGCTGTCCGCTAGTACTGAACGCTTGTTTGATGGCGATGAGAACGGGGATAATCCGCCAAAGGCCGACCCACCATCCATATCACCATCAAGTCCACGTAGTGAACAGGTACAGCTATAGTATTGTTTAGTCATGTCACAATTCTGATGTTCATGCCACGGGAAGTCTTGGCTCTGTGCGAGTATGTTTTGCGCTCTTTGTTGAGCCGATTACGGTTACCGTTGCTACTGCTACTGCTGTTGCTGTTGCTCCTGCTACTGCTGCTGCTGTTGCTACTGCTACTGGTACTGCTACTGGTGCTGCTGTTACTGTTGTTGCTCCTGCTGCTTTTGATGCTTTTGCTACTGCTGCTACAGCTGTGGCTGCTGCTCATGCTGCTACTGAAAAACATGTTTTATTGAAAGCACAAACCAATGTATGAATGCAGGACAACCATAGGATGGATAGGAGAGGAACAAAATTGATAAAGAAATTACAACAAAAATGTTTATAAAAGAGAGAGAAACCACTACAATAGAGCACAATGATGCTGCTACTGTTGAAGGCTCTACTGTTGATCCTGCTGCTGCTGCTGCTGCTGCTGCTGCTGCTGCTGCTGCTGCTGCTGCTGCTGCTGCTGCTGGTGGTGCTGCTCCTGCTGCTGCTGCTCCTGGTGCCGGTGGTGGTGGTGCTGCTGCTGCTCCTGGTGCCGGTGGTGGTGGTCCTGCTGCTGCTGCTGCTCCTGGTGCCGGTGGTGGTGATGCTGCTGCTGCTCCTGGTGGCGGTGGTGGTGGTGCTGCTGCTGCTGCTGCTCCTGGTGCCGGTGGTGGTGGTGTTGCCACTGCTGCTGCTCCTGGTGCCGGTGGTGGTGGTGTTGCTCCTGCTGCTGCTCCTGGTGCCGGTGGTGGTGGTGTTGCTACTGCTGCTGCTCCTGGTGCCGGTGGTGGTGGTGTTGCTCCTGCTGCTGCTCCTGGTGCCGGTGGTGGTGGTGGTGGTGGTGGTGCTGCTGCTCCTGGTGCCGGTGGTGGTGGTGCTGCTGCTGCTCCTGGTGCCGGTGGTGGTGGTGGTGGTGGTGCTGCTGCTGCTACTGTTGAAGGTTTGAGTGCTGCTGCTACTGTTTGTTGGTTCTTTGCTGCTGTAGCTGGGGTGCAGAGGCTAGTATTTTAAGTCTGATGTTTTTATTTCTGTGCATTGTGTTGTCACCAGTGTAATCTGCTGCTGAATCACATGAGAAATGGCAACATTTACGAAGAGTTCGATGACATCTACCGCAAGAAAGAGGTATGTAATATAGCTAACAATTGTCATCATACAGTTTCCTCTGAGACAAAAATGCGATAATACTCATAAAAAGGACACACTTCAGGCTCATTACAAACATCTTGAAAGTTTTTGTCTTCACAAGTATACTTTCAAGCCTTCTCATCAGGTGAAATACAGGCAAGGGAAAAGGAACAGGAACAGTGGATTAAATACAGTAAGAAGGTGGTAAAACAGCGCAAAAAGAAAGAAAGAAAGAAAGAAAGAAGATAGCTAAAGTAAACAGCGAAAATTGCAATAATGACACAAAGGTGCAAATGCGAGAAAACTCAATAAGCGCAACATGTAGTGCGACAACAAGAGACAACCACTGGACATACATGTAACTAACGAGGTTTTGACGACCTACCTAACAGCCTAAGTGTGAATTTGATTTGTTTCTGCTTGCAAAGTAATTGCACCACATGCACTCTCTGGCCAACCTCATCACACCAGCAACAAGACTCCCAAGTTGTAGATACGGACAAATACATAATATAAGTCGTGTTGCTGGTGTGATGAGGTTGGCCAAAGAGCGCATGTGGTGGAGGCGGAAAGAGGTCATTTATAAACAGGCCGAAAGCTGCTGCTTCCCCTTTTGCCTCTTTGTCCACAATTGTCATCATTCCTGGTTTCCTTTTGTCACCACACGCATACCTGTGGAAATCAGGAAGAGTAATGTGTGCGCAGAGCGATAAGAGGTGTATTACACGGGTGTCTTGTCGGAGTATGAAGTTGAAGACATCAGTGACATCACTGCAGCTGTACCATATTTCTCTTGTCGGAGTATGAAGTTGAAGACATCAGTAGGCTTGTCCACATTATGTTTTGCATCTTTTTTGCAACTTTGGGGTAAAAATGCATCCCCGGGGAAAAATTGCAACTTGGGGTATATTTTGCCCTTTTCCATGCCCAAAGCAGGAATTCACTCCTCACGACCCCAGTCGAAAACATGAGGGTGTGTCAAACAGCCAGATCTCAAAACTACCGAGTTCAGGCGCCGAAGATTCACTGATTTTATAGTGGAACTACAAGTTACTTCAGGACAATGTTATGTGTCCATAACACCCTATCAATGTTACATGCTTTATAAACCAATACCACAGTACTGAATGTACTAAGACTATTGCTGTTGCCCGGGCTGTTGCCGTTGTGTAAGGAAGCTGGACAGGATCAGTGTTGACAAAGCGCGCCAGGCTGCTGATCTCCTCGTACGCCTTCAAGCAAAGAGGACCATCACCCTCCAACCGGTACGTGGCTTTCACAAACCGCTCGCCGAACTCGACCGTTGCTGCCAGTTGCATTTGGATGCGAGCGCTTGTCTTCAGACAATCAATACAAGCTGTCAGGCGCCGCAGCGTGATGGAGGCATCCTCAGCATTGGTAATGAACCTTGCAACGTCACCAAACAAGTCGTGCATCTGTTGCATGACTTCCCATCGAGACCACCAGCGAGTCTTACAATGGGAACGGATCCCGACGTTGGTCTGGCTCTTCCAACGTAGGCGCGACTTCGGGCTATGGGCAAACGGAGTGATCCAATCTGAGACGAATCCTTTCAGAGTGTCTGCTTCGATCGCTCGGCCAACATTATCAAGTGTATGACTGAAACACCCAACATCCGTAAATGACATGTACAGCGCCCTGATTGTGCGAATGGCCACGTCGTTCATTGATGCCCTATCGCGCATCACAGCAACAAGGCTCCGAGCGTCCACTTGGTACGTCACAGCCAGGGTTTGAAGCAAACGCTGTGCCACCTGCTCTCCAGTCATACTCTCGGCTGCCAACTTTAGAGAGATTAAGTACTGGTGGATGGTCAGATCCTCATCCACACAGCGTGCTATGATGGCCATGGCCTCGCAGACTGCAGTAGTCCCATCAAAGATCAGTTCGATGCATTTGCATTTCCTGTCCGAAATGGCTTTCTTTGCAGCTGAGATTTCTGCATCTCTTATCACCGGGATGAGGTCAGCCATATGCTGCCTTCCAGTGAGCCGCTGTCCATGCTGTGTCAGCAGCGGTGCGAAGTGGTCAATTTTGTTGAGAGGAACGCCTCCACTCATGAACGTCTTCACACACTCCACGCGGAAGGCAAGTACATCGTCAGGCATGGCAAAGTGGAGCCTTTCGCCTTCGTCTCATTGAGGTAGTCACGGCAGTCGATCAGTGTTTGAACGCGCTTTGCCGCAGAAGCGGCTTTGTCCTTCTTGGCGTCCACGTGTTTGGCAGAAGAAATGTGCTTTTCGATTGTGCTTTTAACAGGGGCCAAGTCACCCAGTGACGGCATGCCTCGCAAAACAACTTCCCAGACTTCACAGAGAAACACTCATTTGGAAACTGTTTCACCCTGACAGCTGGCCCCTTTGTTTTAGGAGCTCTCTTCAGAGACGGCCGCTTGTATGAGCCCTTCTTCTTTGATCCAGAATTTCTTTGCACTTTTCTGTTTCGACTAAGCTCCGACACACTCGGAGGGCGAAATCGGTCGAACAGCGATGGCGGTCTCGCGCTTACAGCTTTACTCTCGGGCTCAGAATCTCCCTCTGACGAAGACGAAGTCGAAGAGTCAACAGTGTCAAGGGCAATAGGAGCATTGCTCGCCATACTTCCACATCACTTCATCACCGTGTACTAATAGGTAGCCGAGTGGTATTAGGAGGCACACACAAGAAGACTGACTAATATTATGTTCTTCGGCTCAATCTGCCTGAAGTTATGTATACAACTGCTCCGGCTGTATCTGCCTGGAGGGACTCTGAAAGGAATACAATTGCTCCGGCTCAATCTGCCAGGAGGGACTCTCTTCTCTTCTGCTCTATTCTGTTCTGTTCTCTTATGAAGAAATGAGTAAAGCATGGCAGCTTTTATAGGGCGAAAAGGAAGGAGATCAACATAGAGTCTGCATGAGCCACGAGTCATGAAAAAGGGCAGAAGTCTGTTGTGTTAGTCCAAACAGAACTTGGGAAGGCATAGCAACAGTATCTAAATGTATAAGGATGAAAGAAACAAACGGAACTTTGGAGGAGAACAGAGGCCAGGGAGGGCATTAGCAAATGGATGCAAACCGGATCTAGAAAGGGGCATGTCTGTCCGCATGACCTCAGTCAGGGTCAGGGAGGTACAGTACAACATGTGGGTGTTAGTTCTACATGTACCGTATTTTCCGGGGTATAAGCCGCGCTTTTTTTCGCTAAAAATCGGACCAAAATCGCCCCTGCGGCTTATACACCGAGTATGCTTGCGCGAATGAATGCTCAGCATACATCAGTATGCATGCTGACGTCATGTGACATGTCATTCGACTCAGCTTCGCGCCTGTGTTGCTGATCAACATCAGTGGCAGCGAGACTGAAGATAGTGCAGATGACATGGAGTGATCTGTAGTCAACACAGCAATACACCAACATCTCTGCAGCAACCTGTGGTGCACTAACACTTCATAATCTGATCTAACATGGTATTTAGCTCCATAACCATAATAAATTTGTAGAAAGGCCATTTGTCAAAGAGTGTGAAAAATCTTGGTTTGTGGGTGCGGCTTATACTCCGAATACCAACTTTTAGTCATAATTTTGCCTCAAAAAGGGGGGTGCGGCTTATACCCCGGTGCAGCTTGTACCCCGGAAAATACGGTACATACAGGTGTGATCTAAACTAGCAAATAGTATGTAGTATGCAAGCGCAAGGGAAACACAAGTGGTGAGAAGTGATATACAGTACATGTAATTAGCTTTGCAGGCTTGTCAGCAAAGGAGTGACAAGAGTCATGCAGTGCGTGTACGTGTTCATGTGACATGATTAGAGGTCAGTAGAATGATTTAGATGTAGTAGTCAGCTACAGTCCAGTACGAGTACTAGCAAGGCAGGGATACTACAACCGCTACAGTAGCTGTCAAAAGGTAAAAAGCCACTATGGATGCAGCACGAGGAAATTGGAATTTTCCAGCGATAGACTAGTCGACTCTCACATGAGTCACGGTAACCATGCACACACAGAGGCGGCCATTTTTTTGTTGGTGGCCATGACAACGGTCGCATAATTTTCGCGAATTGGGTTGATTTTTTTGAATTTTTAGAATTTCTTCTTATTTTCCTGAAAATCCTGCTGAATTTATGGAATGCATAATGCCCCAACAAGACTGCATTTTGCTTCCGCAACTTGGCAAAAATATTTCGAACAACGTGGACAACCCTAGACATCAGTGACATCACTGCAGCTGTACCATATTACTCTTGTCGGAGTATGAAGTTGAAGACATCAGTGACATCACTGCAGCTGTACCATATTACTCTTGTCGGAGTATGAAGTTGAAGACATCAGTGATATCACTGCAGCTGTACCATATTACTCTTGTCGGAGTGATTGATATTTCCTCTCAGTTGTTGAAGGTTTGGCTGGAGAGCAGGTAGAGTTCTGGAATTTCATAAAGTTATGGTGTTTCTTCTATTTTCGGTACCTTTTGGTGCATCTCTTTCATACCCACAGCACAGAGCACCACGCATCATTCGTTGTATCTAATAGCTTCATGCCCATAGGCAATCATCCAACAACCAAGCCAAGTTATCTGATGATTGTCTATGGGCATGAAGCTATTAGTTACAAGGAATGATGCGTGGTGCTCTGTGCCGTGTGTAAGATAGCTCTATTCAAATGAATGTTGAGCACTCTACCGAGCCGGAAGGCTCTCATTTGTGGTCTCTTTCATACCTAAAGTTTCACAAAGAGAAAAAACACATCATCCTATACAGAATGGCTTCTCTGTACCGGACATTTCTGTTCACACAACCTGCTCTTTGCTATCATACCTTGAATATTCAGCACCTAAACTTTCTGGAATTGGAGTACTCGTTTATTGCAGCCACTAAAATCGGCTTTGTTTTCCAATTTGTGTGGTGCCGACATTGACGACGTGCATCGCGATTCGTCTGTGTGTGACCTTTCTGCGCAGGTGTCGTGCCAGCATGCACGCAAGGCGGAGAACATTCCCCGCAACCGCTTCAGGGACATCTCACCGTACGATGTGAGTAGGTGAAGGATGTGTGTACGTGTGTGTTGGGGGGGGGGGGGGGGGGGGTGGGTAGGTATTGGCCGTTTGATAGAGGCAGCTTTGTCTATGCACGAGTAAAAAGCCTACAGTACAGCTGTTATACCGTACACACTGTGCATTGAATGGGCTCCCCTTACCCATTGTGTATAGCATGAGCGCTGCGTACAATCTGTGAAATATAGCTACCGTATTTTACCGGTAGCTATCATGTCGACCCCGGTTTTAAGCCGACCTCCAAACTTGGGGCCTAAATTTACCGTTTTTTCATTTTTCTACAAAAGCTACAATTATATCTGACCTATATCTCCACTCGCAGGCAGTGCATAATGCAGGCGATGGGACTATCTAGCTCTGCCGATCAATGGTCTCAGCATCATAGCTAGATGGATGCGCCAAGTATATTGATATACCTTCTTTTTTTGGAGTATAAGCCGCACGTTAAACACCAGCAGTCCCCCCCCCCCCCCCCCAAAAGGTCGGTGCGGCTTCTACTACGATGGTCAAATTAACAATGGTGAATGGACTAGATGTCTGTATTTCGTGGCGAAACATCTGGGTCCGGCTTATACTCCAGAAAGTACTGCACCAGTTGTGCTAGCTGTGTTTCAAGATGCTAACTTAGCGTTAGCAAGTTGCAAATATTACTCGCGAGCAGATGTTGACTTCAACTGATTTCAAGCCGACATCAGGCTAGTTTGTGGCATTCAATGAGCGTGCTTTTGTTCTTTCTTCGTGCAGGAAAGTCGTGTTGTCCTCGATAAGCGGGGCAACGAGCAAGGCAATGACTACGTAAATGCATCGCACGTTCAGGTTTGTTGTTTTTTCCTCTTTTCACCCCACAAACTTACTCTGATCACCTCCCCCCCCCCCCCCCCCCTCTCTCTTTCCCTCACAAGCTTGCATACTCCAACCCCCCCCCCCCCCCCCCCTCTATTGACCCCACAAACTTTCATACTCCAATCCCCCCGCCCTCTCTTTCCCCCACAAACTTGCATACTCCAACCCCCCCCCCCCCCTCTATTGACCCCACAAACTTGCATACTCCAATCAGCTTGTAATAATCACAATGACAGGGGAGTGTCATGGTGGTGGGGCTGAACACACATAGTCAACCTGAGGCCTCGACTGTGATGTCCGCCCAGTGCCGATTACAAGTTCACTGAACACATCCGTATGTTATCTGCTGTGTTTGATGAATCGCCCTCCTTTGAAAATGCTATTTCCAATCTGAAGCAGGTTTCAGGTGAATCATTTCCATAATTCCTTCTGATTTGAGTTTAGCAGTTACCATTCTGGATTTTCCATTTTCCCATTCCCTTCTGAATTCCCTCAACTAATGTATGTTCTCAATTGTCCTTTCCCTTTCCTTTCTCCCAAACTAGTGGATATTCTGCATTTTGTTTCCAATTTGTCTCATCGCTCATCATTCTCTAGCAATGCTGCATAGATTTGCGTTCTCCTATTTATTTTAGAATTGCAATCGACAGAACACTTGTTCTCTCATTTATTCACTATCACTTTCTGCTTGTCAATCTTCATGCAGGTGGAAGTTGGCCAGCATGAGCTGCACTATATTGCAGCACAAGCGCCTCTGTCCGATACCTGTCCGGACTTCTGGCAGATGATCTGGGAACAGGACATCTCCATCATCTCCATGGTCACTATGAAAGTGGTGAGCATGTTCACTGCTCTTGTTTGCTGCGTAACTACCACACTCTTGCTCTCGCATACTCTATGCCGTTATCACCAGTTCTGCCCCGCTTTCACATGCGCCATCCCGCTATGACTCGCCCTATCTTGCTGTCACACTCTTTAGCCCGTTCTCACATGCAAAGTTCTATAACGCAATCACATGCTCTACACCGCTGTTTGCGACGAGATAGAACGTGTGGTGCTACGCTTGTTTTGACTCCCAGTTGACGGATCATATACTAAGAGAACTGCATGCATTCCTTTAAATCATCAGGATACACAAAACTTCCAAGATACCTGATGATTGCACTGTGCAAGACACTCGAAGTTGCGACATACTCTCCTTTGTGCCGTTTGTGTGTAGCTTCCAAGTATAACTAGCGATGTTGGATGTCATGCTATTGGAGCTTTCTAAGCTTGCTCCTTTCTCTTGTATGTTCTGGCTGTTCAGGAGAGCAAGCGTGAAAAGTGTGCAGCCTACTGGCCGGACCCAGAGGATGACATGGAAGAGGAGATGATGTTTGGACCGGTATGTATTGGTAGCACTACAGTCCATTCATTGGAAACTGGCACCCTAACTTTTTGGTGTCTCTCTCACATAGTTGTAGATATTGTGAAAACAACAGTACATCCTGCATTGTGTGACCCGTGCAACATTTGAGGCCAGAAAAGTCGAAGAACAGGGAAATAGAAATTCAGCCAGGTTTTACAAAATTGGGACAGGTATGCCATAGGAAAATGTATGGAAGAGCAGATCCACAACCCAGATTTTTGAGATTTAAAGTGGGTTTTGATCCTCAATTCGGCCCAAATCGGACTTTCAAAAGCCAGCGGGACAGTTTCTGATGAATGGACTGTAGCTGGTGTGAATACTTATGGCTGACCAATGGAGTTTTTTCTGTGCTCGAATGGCTTAAAAAATTCTCGGCTAGAGGCCGAGTATTCCACAGCCGAGTATTCCGCATCCATTGCAACACTACCACGCTCTATGGATCAAATAGCTTGTGTAGTGTGATATTCTCGTTATCTTCCGCCTTAGTTGTGTGCTAAGTTTTGGGGATTATAATCACCCATTCATCTTGTAAATTCAAGTTGGAGACAAGAAGGCAATATTGAAAACAACAGCACCAATTCACAACCAACGAACACCTATCCGTTTTGACAGGAACATGTTTCTCGAGAATTCATTACTGACTACTTCTGAAGAATGAGATGTCTGCTCTCGTTTTCTGTTCATCCGCCCAGCTGACCATTGTGTTTGTCTGTCCATTCAACTGGTGTGCTTACTGGCTACCTTGCAGTGGTTCTCTCAGTCTCTCAGTTCTTTCCGATCTGCATCTTTCCCTGTCTTTCTCAGTTCTTCAAAGTCACCTATCTGTCGGCAATCACCGAAGGCAAAACGGTCACAAGGAATCTAGAGCTGGTACATATGCCATCGCGAAAGGTGAGGGCCGAACGGATTAGATAGGACAAGAGATCCCAGTACTTCTGGGCGTTGAGTAGCGATGCGCTTAAGAATAATCAGGCTAGAATTTTACCAGGCACATGCACATTGCGGTTGAACGATATAGACAGTTTAAAACAGTTCTTCATAGGCTATGACTCCGAGGCTGAGCCCACCGTTCCCCGCCAACAGACGATACTGTTCGGACTTGCCTCGCACTGCAGCCGCGTCGGAAGGTATTCTACATAGGTGCGGCTATGAAAGTGGGGTAGCGGGGTACTCCCCCCCCCCCCCCCCTGGTGCGGCTATGAAATTGGGGTAGCAGGGCCCTCCCCCCCCCCCCCTCCGGAAATATTAGGGTGAATTGGGCCCAAATAGCCCATATTTCACTTCTTCAAAAACCACTGGGCAAAAATAGTTGCTGCGGCTTTGGCCACACCTGCCTCACATGTTCTCAAGCACCTGCATTGCAACACTGATGTGTACTAGCATTGCAACACTGGCTCTTAGATATGCACAAGGTACACATCACAATAATGATTAGCGGGAAGAAATATATCCTAAAAATCTCAAGCAGAGCGAATAGGATTGATGACCTGCTAACATTATATACATTTTGTGGCATTCCTGACCGTTTCAGACGCGACATATCAAGCATTTACAGTTCCAGGGCTGGCCAGATCATGGTGTGCCGGAGCATGCACAGGATTTCTTAGGTATGTTCGCTGTCTGTTTGTCACCTCACCTCCAATGTATGTACATGTTCAACCAACAACCTTACGGCTGCACGCACATGCACACACACACACACACATGCACACACACACACACACACACACACACACACACACACACACGCAGACTGCTGCTGTAGTCTTCGCCTTGGAGTAGCACAGCAGGGAGATAACCAGTTCTTGACAGAGTGTTAGCACAGTGCTATCAAAGCTATAAGAACACACAGTGACGTTCTGAATGAACCTGTGTACTTCATCAGTTAGACTAACTTGTCTTCCTGTCTCTCACTTCCCTCCCCCCAACCCCTCTCTCTCTCTCTCTCATCTCTCCCCCCCCCCCCCTCCCCCTCTCTCATCTCCCTCCCCCCCTCTCTCTCATCTCTGTTTCTCTCGCTCCCATCCATCTACCTCTCTGTCTCTCAGATTACTTGCACACTCTTCGACAGCTCCGCAGCTCCTCTAGTAGCTCACCGTCGCTGTCTCGCTCAGCCACAGCCACTGCCACTGGTGCTGGTGCTGGTAGTACTGCTGGTGTACGGGGCAGTAGCAGTCCCCGCGGTGGCCACACTTCACCTATGCTGGTACACTGCAGCGCTGGCATTGGCAGGACCGGCGTCACCATACTGCTGGATCTGCTCGTGACGGCTTTCGAAGAGTCACAGGTGAGATTACTGTGAACTACGCACCGTATGACATGTGGTTTTTAAAAGTGTATTTTATTTTCGGTGCCAGGGACCTACCTGGTTTCTGGTCTAATCTTTTTGTTTCCCTCCGTGTTATTTATTTCGCCGTGGTTGGCTACCACCTGACTTCTCATAAATATTGGCAGTCTTACGACAAGCCAGGAAATGTTGAATAAATAAATAAATAATTTAAAAAAATGTAGAATTAGGTGACCAGCGCCTCCTTCTCATAATGTGCGTATTCGAGTGCCTATTAGGTATAATTTAATTTAAGCACCTGGTTTCCCTACTGAAATTAATACCGAAATTAAAGTTCCACTGAAAATCATGTGTTACACAGGACATGCACATATCGCTTATCCAGGCGGTCCATAACCGGGCACAGCCTATAACATTGAAATGTTCCTAGCTCTGAATCGTGTGCATTTCCATTAGGGTGGACCAGAGATGTGGCAGATAACATGCTGACCAATTGGCGAAAGAGTAGTAATATCCCCCCCCCCCCCCCCCCCCCTACCACCACAGGGTGCCCTGTAGACCGAGGTGCTTGTAACTTCAATGTCAGGTTAATAGAGATGTGACCTGTGTTCTCATGTAGTGCCTGATTTCTGTTCTCTACTGTGTGTCCATGTGTGTGCATGTGTGTGCATGTGTGTGTGTGTGTGTGTGTGTGTACGTACGCATATACATGTATGTTTGTGTGCGTGCGCATGTGTACACATACGTGTGTGTGTGCGTACACGTACATGTACGTGTGTGTGTTTGCGCGTGTGCGTGTGTACGTGCACATGTGTGTGTGTGTGTGTGTGTCTGTGTGTTTGTGTACATGTGTGCGCGTGCGTGCGACTGCGTGCGTATGTTTCCCCACTCTGCAGCCAATCGACATACCGGGTTCGCTGCGTGGACTACGTGATCAGCGAGCGCACTTCGTTCAGAACGCTGGTCAGTACAAGATGGTCTACGAGACGCTTATCAAGTACCTGGGTGACGACAGATTGGTGTAGCCCCGACGTGCCTCATTGACTACCACAGCAACACACACATGCGCTGAAGCACTGACTAAAGCACTGACTAAAGCACTGTTGACCTCATCAGCACTAGTGACTGCTATTGTAGACATCTGTAACTCTCTGTTTTGTGCCGGGAGAGCACTGAGACAATGTGTGAGCCTAACTGGATCAGGACCATTAACTCCATCATCACTTCAGACTCCGACAGCTGACTTCCGCCGTTCCTTGATTGATGGCAGAGGAGAGGTGCACCGTAGTGTAGTTTGACGACTGTGTCATGTAGGCGCCAGCATATGCCTAACACATTGTTAGTTTGTGTAGCTAGTAGACCGTGACGTGATGCATTGGATCCTGAAACGCTCAGTGCGCTGGTCTCCTTTCACCAGGAGCGGTACACGACGTTGTATATTCATGGCTGACCATAACTATAAGAACGTTGGCGCACCCCAGTTGATCAACGAGTATAATGCGCAGGCACGGTGGGTCGTCTGTATTGTGCGCATTGCAACGCGGGCTTAGTTCTCGCATTTGAAAATCTGTAATTTCCGAGGTACTACTGAACAGCTGCACACTAGAATGAGTTCCTGACCGAGAATATATCAAAGTTCCATTCAACATCGCTAGAAGTTTATTTCAGTCTGCCCGTAATAATGATGATCAATTGTTTGTGTCAGAGGGTGATGCAAATGTGTGCACAAAAATGAAAATAATGATCCGGTATTATTTGTATCTAAAACTAATGAACCCGCTGGCTGTGGATTTATGTGGCGAATAAGTTTCTTCTGAGAGCTGATTTCATTCTCCGTATCATCATGTCGCCGGTATTATCGTGAGACCAACCAGTTGGTGTAAGTGAACTTTAGCAAGCGTGTTGTTGTGTGTAGTTGTCGCGTAGGTGATCTGCACCACTTCACATCCGCTATGCGAGTGTGTCATTCGTTGTTATCAAACCCATAATACCCACAGATGATCTTTCCCTCTTTCTCCCCCTTGATCGAATCAGGCCTGTTCTGATTTAGACCGTTGTGTGTTCGCATACTTCTTCTGATGTTGATCTCACTAGACTACTCATAACCAGAACCAGAATGTTTCTACTTGACACGTGCACTGGCCTTTATGTATCAATAAATTTTAATTTTTTTCTTCTCCCAGAGTTACTGTTTTGAAAGGGCACTACTTTGAAGGACACTACGTTGCTCTGGTCATCAGAGTCACGTGTCTGCAGGGACCATGCTTCCACATTCCCATAGCAGGGAATTGCTAATGGAAGTGAGGGAAAGCGTTTTCTCTGAACCTTCGCTTCCGGCCATGGGGAAATGAAATGGGACGCACACTCACGGTGGGTCCTGAATATTCTGATGTCGCTGTTGCTTCGGCTGTGTCTTCTATTCCATGCATGGTAGTGGTCATAATTGCTGAACTTCACACGTGCACAAACACCAAACTGCACTCAGAGATTTATCACAGTGCTCAATGAAGATTCACTCTTGGCAGCTGGCCAGCAGCAAAGCAGAGAAAAAAACTCACGGAGTTAGACTGTGCAGTGATGAGTGTGATAATGTGTACGGAGAAAAGAAAACAGAAAGGAAAAGAAGAAAAGATTGACAAAGGGAGTGCTCGGTGCAAAAGTTTAAAAACTATTGACATTGTCTTGTTGTAAAAGGACAACTGACCAGCAGTTTTCCTAAACATCAGAGAGATATAGCAGTGGCGATGATCCCTCTTCGGGGTAGTGTCAAACTAGGGTATAGAGCAGGGAGATTGTATCGAGAAAGGCTAAGTGCAGGAAAACCAGTCACAGACTGGTCTTTTTTTCTGAAAAGTGCACACGGACAGCGCGGGCAATGAAAATGTGTGAGTTGTGTGCTTGTGTGCACATGGTGCGGGCCATTTTCAATTAAGAGGATGGCCCCAGTGGAGAGGACAAGTGTCAGGGTGAAAGAAAGAGATGGTGACCGCATTAGCTGGTGCATTGCCATCGCAATTCTATTGCGTTAGGCGCGGTGCAAAGAACACACTCCAGGCAGAGTGCAGAGAAAGAGGAGTGCAGTCATGCAGACTCAGTCCGGCAGGCGTGCACAGATAATGGGTTGCAGTGGTGCGGGCCAAAATCTAGTTTGACGTGAAATTTAAGAGTTTAGATTGGGTGAAGTGCAGGCCATATCTACAGATCAATACAGAGACATTGTAGAGGAGACATGACAACATACTTATAGCAACACTATCCTATCTAAAGACTAGGAACAAACGGGTACAAACATGTAACGTGCATGACTAAGTGACGCACCAGACAAGGACATACGAAAACAGAAGTTGGACATCTTTCATGAGCAGAAATCCGTCGTCAGGATTGCCTTCCTGCCGGGTTGGAGCATGGCTGCTACGGTGGGTGGTGATGGCATGCGTGCAATCAAAAATCTCAGTACCAGTTAGCGATAGGCAAGCCAGTGTAGACAGGTGCCTGCTGATACCGTGTTGGCTGGACTTGGTAGACCTGTACATGAGGTAAGCAAAGAAAGATACACACACACACATTAACCATTTGACGCCGATGATAGCGATGCCACAGCAGAAGCCATAGCAGCTTGTGCTGGGATTGCACCATTCAACAGCTTGCAAGGCTGAAGAATTGACCGCCACTATTCAGCCCGGTCTACACCACACAGCTATGAAGTAGATCAGAAAAAGCCATACACACGCATACAAACGCATACACACACTCGCACGCACCCACCCAGGCTCATCATGCCTCCGTTTTTCATCCAGATGTACCGAGACGTTTAAATGGTTAGAATTGCATGCTGAGTACTACTTCCCGTACTACCGGTACCTTTTTTAGTACTCACATATTGTACAACTTTATATTACCGCACACCAAGATAAAATAACAAGGATGACAGCCCTTCAGGGTTAGTTGTCGGTTAGCCGAACGAGAGTGAGTTGTTGGTTTGTCCTCTCCTTCATATGGTGTCAGAAGTGGGATTCGAACCCACGCCTACACTAACAATACGCAAACTTTCAGCAACGACGGAGGCACGCAGTACTGACACACAGTGACTGGATCACTTCTGATATGTAACGGAATAATGGGATAAAGACATGAATTATAGAGATGCATAGACCAACCTGTGCTGGCGAGGTGTAGTAAACTGGACTAGCGTAGTGTGATGGCGGGTAGAAGACGACGGCACCAGGTTGATTGTAGGCAAACTGGCCTCCCACGTACGGTCGTGTGGCACTTGTCGGCAAGGTGGGAGCGCTGGGCTCCTCGTTGCGGGGACTCGGGGCGCGCGAGTTGGCCTTGGATGAATCTGCACTGTTGACGACTAGCTGGGAAAAGTCATTGGAGATGGCGTCGATGTCAGAGCAGCTGCCGGATGAAGCACCGGACTCTGACGGACAGGGTGACGATGAATCCTCCTCTCCGTCCTTCTTCTGTTTTATGATCCAACATGGACGTCCGCCGTCGCGACACTTCTCGCACGCCATCGTGTTGTGCGGAGGGTTGCGCCGCTGTGACGACCGGAGAACAAACGTCCCTGCATCGGACAATCATGATACACAGTCAGAGGGAGAGAGAGAGGGAGAGAGAGAGAGAGACAGTCAGAGAGACAGTGAGAGAGACAGTGAGAGAGAGACCGAGAGAGAGACAGTGAGAGAGAGAGAGAGAGAGAGAGAGAGAGAGAGATAGATAGAGAGAGATAGATAGATAGAGAGAGAGAGAGACAGTGAGAGAGAGAGACAGTGAGAGAGAGAGAGTGAGAGAGAGAGAGAGAGTGTGTGTGTGTGTGTGTGTGTGTGTGTGTGTGTGTGTGTGTGTGTGTGTGTGAGAGAGAGAGAGAGAGAGAGAGAGAGAGAGAGAGAGAGAGAGAGAGAGAGAGAGAGAGAGAGAGAGAGAGAGAGAGAGAGAGAGAGAGAGAGAGAGAGAGAGAGGGAGAGAAAGAGAAGAGAAAGCCCAAAAATTGAACCATTATCTCGGATCTGTGCTGTGAAATTGGGGCTTAACTGAGTATTTGCCAGTGTTGGCAACAAGCTACATTTGCCTGAACAAGGCCGCCGGGAGCAGTTTTTGATTTGTCCGGCCATAACAAAACCTTCCATACTTTGTTCATGATATAGCGTGTATACGAGTCTGCTAGACAGTGTAATCAGCACACCAGCTAATAACCGTCATAGGTACTGCACAGTCAAAATAGCAGCAATGAAGTTGCCGGTGGTACATGGTCAACACACCACAGATGTGCGATCTACGAACACAACCTCCTCAGCAGAATCCCGTAAGTCTACAAATTTTCAGCCTAGCCAAATGTCGGCCGCCCAGGGCTAAAACCCATTTCGGCCGCATCGAATTTTCGCCCTGTACTGCTACCTGCATACACTGTCAAACTGAACCTTGCAAAACAAAATGTTGGGCTGCAATTTCAATTTTTTCGGCCAAACATGACCAGACCGAAAATAACCGAAAATAAATATGCGCCGAATATTAGTTGACTTACAGTACAGACATTAATGGCCAAAAGGTTGGTCCGATGATGACATGACCAACCGGACAGGTTCCTGCAGGCCTACCGTATTTCCCCGATTATAGGTGGCAGTCGACTGCAAGTCGCACCCCGATTTCAAGGTCACATGATGTCATTATCGCTTTTGATATATTCACTTCAGTAGTATGTCATGCTCGATTGTAAGTCGCACCCCTTTTTTACCCTGAATTTTAGTGTAAAAAGGTGCGACTTATATTCGGGGAAATACGGCAGTAAATGGAAAAGCAGAAGATAATCATCAGACTAACCGCTTGTCAGTGCCACACAGCGCTCCACTGCCAGTCTCGCCATACGCTCCAGCTCCTCGCTGTTGATGTAGGGGTTGACCGTGGAGCTGCAGACCATGCACAGCTGCTTCCAGTTCTTCAGGATGCGCTGGCTACGCAGGTCAAACTTCACCCAGGTCATGTGCGACGTCCACACGCGGCTGCAGCGGGCGCAGAAGCAGCGGCTGGTGCCAAACACATCCTGGATGCGGTACATGTTCGGCACGCACTCCGTGAACAGGCTCTCCTGCACACAGCAGAGTACAGCACACATTCACACGCACACACACGCACACACACACACACACGCACACACACACACACACATCAGTACTCTTATTCACCATCTCTATCTCTTCAACACTTCGTTGATCATCTGTATACCTGCTTATCCGCTTGGCCTTTCTAGCGTCCAGTCTCCCTGGCTCAATCATTGTCAGTTTCCCTCCAAATGAATGAATTCGTCCATTTTGGCCAATGACCCGGAATCCAACTAAACCAACCAGCCAACCATGTAACGTTGCAAGTGCATTTGCACTTGCAACGTTACATGGTAATACCGGTGAAATGTGTGTATGGGTGTAGGAATGGGAGAGGAAAATCTTGGGATAATCCAACTGTCACAGTGAATCATGTTTTATGCGAGGGGAAAGTGCATCATTACACAGATACAAAGAATGTGGTAGTTGCGGGACTAGGCCTTTCAGGGCCATAGACTGGACCTCAAATTTGGAACTAAGATGTTGCAACATCCGCCGTGTTTTGCGAAGGGAGTGGTGTTTTCTTGCAGGTCTTCGCAACATACAGTCCCGCATTCGTCTCTTGTGCTCTGGATGGCGTTTGTGCATCAGTCAGGTGTCGGTTAGTCGGCAAGAAAGACTAGCTCAAACATTGACTAGCCACTGTAACAAGGCCCTGCCTGTTGGGACTCCCCTAGTCAAATAATAAATACTACTACTACTATTCATGAATTCTGCCAGGTGGCAATAATCTTATCAACGTTGCAGATTTGCCCAAGGTTCACATCGAGAGATATCCATTATAATATACTGGAGAATACAGGTATCAGCAGGAACAAACACTGCTTCACCATTGGCACAAAACAATCGCCAAAATTGACAACCCCAATCGCAATCACTGGGGAGCGTTTTCTGCTGAACGATGCAACTCTGAAACACACCCCAAGCGCATATTCACTCACCTCAGCCATCACTCCGCGAACAATATCCGTCATGTTGCTGCTGTGTGTTGGGAAGAACCTGGACAGTGACAATCCACAAACGCAAGCACGCACGCACACACACACATACACACACACGCACACACACACACGCACACACACACACACACACACACACACACACACACACACACACAGACAAATACAAACACACACACACACACACACACACACACACACACACACACACACACACAGACAAATACAAACACACACACACGCTTAGTATGGACACTGTCTGGAGGACAGGAGGAGAATTTTATTCATAGTGACGTACGTTGGGATAATATCTAGCTCGGATAACGTAGGCACACTAGCCTGCTGCCCACGGAGATACGTCTTACCAGGACTCTTCTGATCTACATACTTACGGGCCATTTCAAAAATATAGACGCAGGGTATTTTTGAAATATTTCGAATTTGGCGGGAGCTTCTTCAGATTTTTTCGGAGTATTGCTGAGATCCGTCCCCAATTACTCTCATAATTTTCATGCACAAAGTGATCACAGATTTTATGTGGTGTAGATGCTGGCCTAACGGCTTTTGGAAATCACGCGTCTATATTTTTGAAACGGACTGTAGGATAGACTTCACTGTGTAGCAACACAATCGGACAAACTTTCATATCCACCACATCAGCTTGCCCGATCCCTACTTTTCCTAGTTATAAAACACTGGCGCTAGAGCGACGAGCTGTCTTTTATCTGTGGTGCGTCCTTTGCACTATGGCTGGTAGTTCGGCTTGCTTAAAGCTTGTAGCTGTACTGATGAGGCCTTTATTGCCGAAACAGCTTGCTGTCTACAGCATTGGGTAATCTTGCGCACATAATATTTTGACTCGGGACAGGTATGATCATGCATCAGTCTCTGTAAGCAGCTACTCTTGATTGGTTAAGGTGGTGCTTTGGTGCCTTCTCTTGCTCTGTGTCGCTGAGATGTTGTCTTGGTTACAGGCAAGAGTGCATAAACAAGAGTATGCAACTGTGGTTATGGGTCAGTGCACGGCGCGCTGCCTTCATTACGTAACTTGCCTCCATCATGCTCTGAAAGCATGCACTCAAACCCTCAATTTCTCGTACGAGCCCATCCATTTTTGCTCGATTCATTCCAGTACCTACGCAATCTCTAATTTTTGGTGCGTGAACTCCAGTTCCGTACGAAAGTTCATTTCAAACCAGAGGGAAAGTGCGGTGTTTGCTTTTTCGCAGTGCGCGGACTGCAGCTGAATGATTTAATGAAGGCAGCGCGCCGCGCCGCGCATCTGGCCCATAGAAAAGAGCTCACAGTTGCATACTCTTTTTTATGGACTCCTGATACAGGCTGATGACGATGTGGTAGTAACAATGCACGCAAATAACAAGCCTGAGGACTTTGTACACGCGTTGGCATTCCTGCACTCAAAGATGGAGTGTCTTGGTAGCGTAACGTACTGCCGCGGACAAAGAAACTCTCCCTGGGAGACGAAAGCAGCACCAAGGCTCATGCAACCGCTGCAGCCTTCGGGTGAGGTTAGCGATGGGTTTTTAAAACACCATACCGCATCTAGCTGAAATGGAAACCCGGCGCTACTTGACCTGTGGCTCCGAATTCTTTGGCCACGATTTTGCTTTGAATGGCTTCTGTATACAATCATGTACATGTACATATGTTGTTACAAGGTTTAGCTACTATTAGTATTGTACATGTGCTAGTGTGTGCTACACAGGAATTTCAGTAAGCAATGATATCTACGACATTGGTCAGACTTTGAAGAGAGGTTGCGCCCAGCTTGCATAGGGCATGGGGGCACGTGCATTGCTAAACATGTCGACCTAGGTTTAGCATGCACATGAAGACCTAGGTTTATCATGCACATGAAGACCTAGGTTTAGCATGCACAAGAAGACCTAGGTTTAGCATGCACATGAAGACCTAGGTTTAGCATGCACATGAAGACTATGACGGACATGCACCAGCCATCCTACACATATGCGGCCATGCACCCCCCTAGAAAGGGGATCAGCTATATGTACGTCCCTGGTGCTACCTCTGGAGATCTCACATACGTGACAGTGCATGTATTCAGAGCAGCGACTCGCACACAAGGGCTATGCGGAGCGTTCTGGCTTGGGGGAGCTGCTTCGGAACTGCTGCAAGTCATGTTTGCTCCTGGCGCGTAGTCAATCCGCGCGGGTTACGCCCACTGGCATGGAAACAGCCTGATCCTTTTGTACAGTACTATCTACCATAAGTACAGTCCGGCTCTATGATATCCAGTCGCGTCACTCAAGTCTGCGCCTTGCACCATCTCGCAGCCCAGAGTTTGCAGGTCTAGAGCTGCACAACGCCCGGCGCGTACTTGAGTGACGGGACTGGATTTCATTGAGCAACACTGTACATCTTGTTTACGCCTGCGTGTGTTGACCAGTGCTATCAACAGTAAACACTTGCAGTCCAGCCTGCACAACAAAACAGACATGCCAAACACAACCCAGGCCGGAATGGATTGCCCTGATGGCGGACATGTCCAGGATTCCATCAGATAAGTTTCGATCTCACGCTCCAGTATTGACAGCCGTGCTGGAATGACAGTGGGAGCATGCGTCCGCTTCATGCGCTCCATTCATGCTGCGCTTATCAGCTGCACGGGGAGCACGTGAGAACTCGCTCCAGATCATGCACAGGCTGACACTGTGAAGGCAGCTACCCTGCTGGAGTTGGCGGCGTTTCAAAAAATGCACTTGCTCCCGCCACAGCATGTAAAACTGTTCTAGCCTGGTCAGTGCAAGTTTATGACAACCTCTGTCCCAAGTGTCAGAAGTTTTCGCTGGCGAATTGCCATTTTAGGTCAGGGCTCGCAGGGTCTATGCAGAGATGCTGTGCATCACGTGTTGGCACGGTCACATGCAACGCATACTAAGCTCACAATTCCAGATGATGCCAGTGACAGCATGTAGGGACAGGTGCTTCAGCAATCACTGCTCTAACCTTCGTTGGTGATAGAACATAGTGATGCACAGATATGAACGTGATCACCGAGCATCTTGTCTAAAATGTGTGCAGATCGAAAGGCGGGTCGTGGGCATACCAGCAAAATTCAGAAGCCACAGTCAAGAATTCTACTCGGCTGAGTGAATGCAACCCATTGCGACCGTTTGAAATTCAGGGCACGGTGGAAATACCCCTTTGACTTTCGCTCGGTGTACTTACAAATCCGGACCCCTTTTGTCTTGTATCAACCAAACGGCAGTTCTGTATGCCAGTCTATGTGATACTGATCAGGTAACAAGGCTAAAATAGTAGTTAGTTACATACAGAGATAGAAGTCATATCCAAGGAATAACGGCTCGCCAATTTTCGTGGCCAAGAGAAAACTGTCCACATTCTTACGCAAAGAGCAACTGCATGGCGCATAATGATTACAGCACTAACACGGTTTCAGGCTTACCGTTGTGCTGAGAGTCGAAGAGAAACCTCGCCGATGTATCTTACGAAGCGATCACCGAGCGGCAAAGACTGCGTTTGCGATCGACCAGCGCACAAGTGCAAGAAAGTATTGCCTATTGGGGAAAGTTCGAACACCGACCAGCGGTTGTCCGAACAGGAGCGAAAGAGAAAACAACTGGGGAAACAGGAAGACGAAAATGCAAAGGTGCGAGCGAACTGCCAGCAGTTGCCGCAAAGAAAAAAGGGGAGAGAAAAAGTGGACAAGACAAGGCCCACTAGACTAACAATGCACTGAAGATGTGAACATCAGATGTTTACTTATTTATGCGCTTGAATCCCGTGCGGCGTGCAAGCCGTCCGTGCTGCGTAAACCATGATGGCATGAAGCTGACAGCAGCCACGAAGCCAAGTCATCTGTCGAGTACGAGTTCACTTGTCAGTTCACATGGTTCAGTGTCGACGGGCGTTGGTTGAAAATCTAGGGCTGAAACGATCGTGGATTTTCACGTATCGATTACTCTTAGCGATCGAGAATCGATTATAATCGTTAGCAAGAGTCATAATTCTGTGCAAACATTACTCTGTTTCCACAACTTATGCCTTCACATATAGGTGTTGGCGGATAATGCTCGGAAATATGGGATATAATGCTCTCAGTAATGCTCCACAAAAGGCCATAATAATGCTCCAAATAATGCTGATAATGCTCCGCCGGATGGAATATAAACACCTGAAAACGCTATATCACCCATGCTATGATAAACACACAATACAATACCAGGTTAACATGTACGCCACTAGGTACAAACACACATACAGTCATACCGGTGTCAGCTAGCCTTCCCAAGTGGTTTCTGATACATGTACGCCAAGAAGGACTCCTCGACCAGTTTCTGACTCTGAGTTTCCCTCTCCAAACGGGACTTTCCTTGCTTGTGTCTCGCGGTAGCAATATGGGACATGATCATACTGAGTCTCTTCTTCCCTGACAATGTTGTATGGCATGCCAGGCACACTAACTTGCCACAGTCGCTTTTGAGCGGCTCATCTGGGAACTCCCGCACCCGTGTTTCGGCACTGATGCCACTGATGGCGACTTCAGTGCTCAGCTACTCGCGTCCTTTTGGAAACATTTTCAGACTTGGTAATAGCTGTTTTCAGAAAAGACCGCTTCCTCGCTATCGCGACAGGATCTGCATGCAGTTTCCAACTCGACGACGTCACTATCATCAGAGGACTCCGCCAAAAGCTCATCTGGAGAAAGCCCAGCTTCCTCCCAATCCGAAGAACGGCATCGCGGCGAGTCAGCCATCAGCGTTGGCTGCTAGTTAGCTAGTCTTACACAATGGTCAATGTCCGGTGAAAGTCCAGCGTTACTCTTCGACAAAGACGTGGACTCTTGCTTCGATGAAGAATGTTTTTTGTAACAATGATGTGGACGATAACCGGGTAAGGTCTGGAATGTGTGCGTGTGCGCACCTCTTTTGTACCTCCACCGTTCCATGCTGACTCATTTTGTTTCGTTGGTTCGGCGTTGTTACCTGGATCTTCAAAACGAGTTACGTCGTTGCTGGCCGAAGATAGACTTCCTGGACCGGAAGTTTCTGCGAGAGTCTCCACACTGTACTGGACCACAGCTAGCTAGCACTACTGCATGCAGTGTATTACTGGTCCTGGCACTGCGTGCCACAATCTGTTTGGTAGATCTACCATGCATGATGTGTACTGGTCGGTGGTCTATCGCTTGAAGTAATACATCGCGTATAGTACATGTAATACATGTTGCCAATCAAAGTCAAAGACCAACGCTATAGCCGATACGATTACGAGTCTGTACATGACGAATTGACGATGTGTGTAGATCTACTATGCAGTCTTGTAGAACGTCGTATAATGCCATTTTCGGCCTCGTAATGCTTTATAATGCTCGTAATGCTCCGGGTGGTGTATAATGCTCGATATAATGCCGGCATTATCCGCCAACACCTATTCACATACCCCTGGCAACTGCATACTCCCAGCGGAAACTGATTCAAATTTCACAAAACGAGGGTTTACAGTACTTTCTGGACACAAATTTAAAAAACGCAAAATAATCGTAATCGGTAATCTAAACGATTGCTCGATCGTTAGAGTTATCAAACGAGTACTCGATTATTCGGTATAATGTTGTTGTTGTTGTTGTTGTTGTTCGTTTATTTAGAATCGAAGAAAATGGTACCACCACTTCGTAGACTGCCCCCCATTCATTTCTGTGCTCCTGTCTTTATTCTCGTCAGCTGTGTACTTCAGCAGTTCAATTCTGTGCTCCAGTCCTCTATATTCTCGTGAGCTGTGTACTTGTTTTGCTGTTTGTTTGGTTTATTTGAATTCGCACAGTACCCGTGTACTTCAGCTATTCTCTCCTCCCTCTTCTGAATTTGACTCTCCGCTGGCCTTCTCTCCTCCCATCCTCTTACATTGTATTGGGCCTCCGCAACTCCCCCCCCCCCCCCCCCCCCACCACCACCCCTAGCCCTTTCCCAAAGGTGCTCGCCCTTTTTTTCGCCCTTTTTGGAAAAGCCCGTTTCTTTCGCCCTTTATTGCGGTTTTGGGTGAATATCGCCCTTTTTGAGCTTTTTGAGCTGATAAAGTGCTAAAATCTGTTTGCTCATGCATGCGGTCACGTGATCACATGTGCACAGTTTCCGAGTGCTCGATGTGGATGGGCCTTGGCACGCCGCATTTTCGGTGGGGGGGGGGGGGCAACAAGTTGGTGAAGCTTGTACCCGGTGTACAGAATCCTGTAAAAAGTGGTTTTTTTTACTTTACTTCCTGATTTGCCTTTCGTGGACCCACAAATGGAAGAGCGCGTATTCATTTCTCAGCTTGGGTTCATATCTGAACATGGCTAGGGCCTAGGGGTGAAACAATTATACCGAATACTCGAGTACTCGCTCGGGTTTTTCATAAATAATTCTACTCAGAATATATCAGAGTACTCGTTCATACATGGTACATGCATTTACCACAGAAATATGCAGTTTCAGAGCAGCCGTCGACAGATATTGATGTGCAGACCGTGTGGTGAACATCTGTTTATTCGTAGAGAGAGCCCAAATGACCCACCAACCAATATACCCGAGAAAAATGACTTGCCATGAGCAGCATCGGTTAAAGCTTCCTCCCGAGGCTCCAGACTAGACTGTTTTCATAGGCATTTTGCTCGCTCGTCTGTTTTCACAGCCATTTTTGCTCTCTCGACTGTTTTCACAGCCATTTTTGCTCTCTCGACTGTTTTCAGAGCCATTTTTGCTCGTTTTCTTCCGGTGCTGTTGAGGCCGAGGTTGCACTCGTAATTGTGTTTATTTTGCCCGTACAAGAGGAGTTTTTGGCCAGTGCAGTATCGAACCGTCTGGTCTACTCTACATACCGTACTTCCACAAATAGAAAAATGACTGCTACTCGGTTCAATCAGGGTTGTATCATGTGATTTTGAGACCATTGGTGTGCATTTTTTAGGAGATGAAGAATACTCGAATACTAGAATATTCGATCGGAGAAAATCAGAGTACATGTACTCGAACTCGGGATATCAATGCCAACTTTCACCCCTAATCATGGCTATCCTTCACTGAAAAAAGAGCACTTTTTGCCTGTTTTCACTGAAAAAGAGCACTTTTTCAGCATATTTTGAAAAGAGCACTTTTTCAGCATATTTTGAGGGACGCGAAAAGCACTAAGTGCTAATTAAAAGAGCACCTTTGGGAAAGGGCTAACCACCCCACGCACAAACTACATTGTCAAATAGCACAACTCAACCATTCGCTATTGAGCACTCCTGCTCGTTTGGTCTCGCGAATCCAAATAAAATCAATCAATCAATCAATCAAGAACAAACAGGCAAATTTGCCTAATTACATGATATCGACTAAAAAGGAGAATAAAGTCTAAAAGGCCAATGAAGGTAATGATACTGAGTAGAGTGGGTAATAAAGTATTAAAAGCCAGTTAGGCCAGTATAGGAAATGATAATACAGCGGGCAGTGGCATTACTGAAAAGCAGCATGTGCTGGGAGGGATCGCATGAATCGGTGGTACTGTGGGATTTTCCTGATGTCGGGCTGGAGCCTGTTCCATAGTGATACACATTGGAATGAGGCAGAATGTGTGCCAGCGGATGTCTTAGTGACTGGAAATTTAAGTGCTCGATTTCCCTGACTACGCGTGGCACGGCCGGCATTAAGAGGACTGAACATATCGGTAAGCAATGTGCTGCATTTACCCTGAAGGCAGCGCCAAGTGTAGCCAAGGTTTAGTCGTTTCAGCCCTAGTAAAAACACTACACCTCTCGGTCTTCACCTAGTCTTTGCAACGATGTACACGTACATGTTTGACTATGGCCCTGTAGTGTGTATGGGCGGCCGGTATGCATGGGAAGTGTCCTGTCGCACCTGACAGGTATGCAGTACAGTAGTATACCGTATTATCTCTAATAGGCCTTGACAGATTATGCTAATATTTTCGTGAAATTATGCTTTTCGCATTGCTGAAAAAATTGCAGAATTATGCTATTATTATGCGAAAAGTTATCATAGTATGCGGCATTATGCTCACATATGCTGCTAATGCATATGATGGTTCTGTGCAAAATAACAGGTGAATTTTTTGTAGAGGGCGTTGTACTGTAGTAGCAAAAGTTCAACGGGGTCAACGCACCGTCCGACCTAGCTATGACCGGCACCCTGGTCACTGATTGTAGTGGACTGGACATGTTATCAAGGGAGTCGTAAACCTACGCCTTCCTGGTGTGTCTACTTGTACTTGTACTTGTAGAACATGTACAACGTATGGAATTTGATGCGAACAGGCGGATTAGTCCTATTTTATGCGATTCGTATGCAATTTGCCTCGAATAATGCGATTATTCGATTTTGGTAGGAATTATGCGAAAAATTATGCTAGCATAATCTGTCAAGGCCTAATCTCTAATATAACGCGGCACGGTCCTTTATTTTTCAATGTACCTCCGCCCCGTGCTATTAGTATTATTGGAGACGTTCCTTCATTGGAGACTGCTCCATTATTATTTCAAACTCATTTCAGAGGCTTGTTGCCATGCCAAATTCATGTCAGACGCACACATTTCAGGGTTTTTTTTCGCCGGTACAGATAATGAATTTACACAGTGTGCTTATAATGGAGACTGAGCACTTTATTTTTTGAATGCCGCCCCAAGGTGTTCTATTATTGGAGACGTGGAGACTGTGCTTTTACATGTCTTAGAGATAATACGGTAATAATATATATAATGGTATTAGTACTCAATCTGCGGACAGCATGCTGTTTCGTTCTTTGTGAACTCATCAGCGCAGCACAGAGGAAATGAGGCCGAACCTGATAGCAATGTATTAGTAGATCGTCGACGGGTCACGTCGCACACCTTTCCACAGACAGTAGGCTCCGACATGCAGATTATACTGGCATTATACCGGCATTATACCGGCATTATCATTATACCGGCATTATACCGGCATTATACCGGCATTATCATTATACCGGCATTATCATTACTTTGGAGACGAGATTGGTGCGGCGATAGTTGGGGAAGTGTGTTGCTCCCTACATGGGAGCTCGCGGTTTTCCTGCCAACTATTACTTGAATTCTCACTTGACTGACTCACGACTGCCATCCAGAGCACACGAGAAGCCCGTCAAACCGTCCACTCCGCAAACCTGCTAGAACGCACCACTCAAAGGTTGCCAACATCGCAACTTGAAATGAAGGAGTTCATGTGCATACATGTACATGTACATGACATTGTACAATGATGCCAAATCAAGGAAAAAAATGAGCAGAAATACATGCAGCAGAAGTGCATAGACAGCAAACTCCCTTTCCTGCTGTGTACCTCCCCCCCCCCCCCCCCCTCCCGTGTTCTGTCTTTGCCGCATCACTGGCATCCTTAATATGTATTATGCCTAGGCAATTGTCATACAGCAGTGTGTTACGCACAGCATACAGACAATGTACATGTACACAACTCAATCAGACTGTCAGACTGTACAGGATAGAATCCTGGTTGGAATGAAGTGTCAGATAATGATTACTCGACACAATAGCATTCAGTACACCAGGGTTGTGGATTCCAATCAGCGTCCAAGCGCAATCTCAGAAATACCCTCAGGATTTCTCTGAGCAACAGCAGAGATAGCAGTGAGCACCAAGCGGAGTTGCACCGGCATCTACCGTTATCTTCATGGCTAAGTTCGGTGTCATGGAGAATTCCCCAACATATCATGTCCGTATTGCCATCGTTTTGCTTCTGATGTGTGCGACGGAGCTGGCGATTGGTGCAGGTAAGGGGACATGATCTGAGAATTGCGCAGTATTTGCACTTGTAATCTGACGAAAAGGAATACTATGTAACTATTACTGGCGATGTCAGACGTGGTTACCGTACGCTGCGAAACAACATTATGTCTTGCCTATTACGGAGAACTGCTGCGTCCGACACAGCAAAGTAAATTGGGCGCTATTATTCTCAGAATGTGAAGTCTCCATATTTGCATTCGGCCCTCATACTCCTATCCAGACATTCTCCTGTCTTCCTGGCCAACACATGGCCATGTTTACGTGTATCTCTTCATCACTCACTCGTCATCGCCCTCTTTGTTTCAGTCGTATCGTTTTCCCATTCAAATGTCTGGTGTTTAGTGTTCACTCTGTGTGCATGTGTCGAACGTAAACTGTTCCTCAGGCCAGTCAGAGGCCATGCCTGAGACCTGTATGACCAGGTGGTTGCGATTGGCACGTCCCAGCGATGGTAGCGCAGCCATACAAGCACGCGAAGACTTGATGTCGCGTGCAACACCTGCCTTGGACGAAAGCACCATTCCCAGCACAGATCCTTTGACTGTAAAGCTGTATCAAGGTGGCAGCACTGCAGCAGCGCGATACCTCGCCCAGTGCATGAGTAAGTAGTAAAGTACTGTACAATTATAACACTCAACACGACTAATCACACATAGGGTCCTGCGGATTCTGCCGGCCGAAAAAGTAGCAGAATTCGGTACTTGTTCTGTTAAGTTTCATGCATGTTTGGTATGTGGATAGAGAAATGGAGCAGAATACGAGGAATTGCCCGCCATAAGATTTGTATGGTTCTGCCAATTTTACTGCTTTTCGAGCAGAATCTGCCACCTTTTCGAGCAGAATCCACCGGTCCCTAATCACACAGCATGGGGCTGTGTTCCCAAAAGCAAGCAAAACAAAATGGACAAAACAAATTCCATACAAACATGAACACGATAAGCAACAAACTGCAACTTTACAGTCATGTATATGGCTGAATGTTCTTCAAATCACCATGGCTACAAGCTCAATTGAATGTCATGCCGTGTGAGCAAGTGCGACTGATGTGTGTTACGGATGTAAGGCGAAGGGTCAGAAAGGGTCAGAATCGGAATTCCTTGTACACTGTGTGATTCTCGACGAATATGATCAGTATGGTGTGGTATTCCTGATGATGGCTCCTGGCCGAAAATTTGATTGAGATATTGCATTTTGCGGCGAAGGTATCTGTGGTGCAAATTTTCACTTGATCTGGGGATGGGGTGTGTAGAATGTGTCATGTAATGATGTGGCTGCAGTGGAGCTTGCTCACATTAAGAAATGGTATGGTATTGGCACAAAGAATGTCATGGCTCAGTCATGCCCCTGACATCGGACTGGGGAGAGTTTTGAACAGCCTCGTGTGGCCTTCGGCCTGACAGTGTACACTGTATGTTGCAGCAGTTACATAGCTACATAATTGTACATGTATGTTTTCATGGTTATGTGGCTGTGCTGTGGCTATGCTGTGGCTATGCTGTGGCTATGCTGTGGCTATGCTGTGGCTATGCTGTGGCTATGCTGTGGCTATGCTGTGGCTATGCTGTGGCTATGCTGTGGCTGTGCTGTGGCTGTGCTGTGGCTATGCTGTGGCTATGCTGTGGCTATGCTGTGGCTATGCTGTGGCTATGCTGTGGCTATGCTGTGGCTATGCTGTGGCTATGCTGTGGCTATGCTGTGGCTATGCTGTGGCTATGCTGTGGCTATGCTGTGGCTATGCTGTGGCTATGCTGTGGCTATGCTGTGGCTATGCTGTGGCTATGCTGTGGCTATGCTGTGGCTATGCTGTGGCTATGCTGTGGCTATGCTGTGGCTATGCTGTGGCTATGCTGTGGCTATGCTGTGGCTATGCTGTGGCTATGCTGTGGCTATGCTGTGGCTAGGCTGTGGCTATGCTGTGGCTATGCTGTGGCTATGCTGTGGCTATGCTGTGGCTATGCTGTGGCTATGCTGTGGCTATGCTGTGGCTATGCTGTGGCTATGCTGTGGCTATGCTGTGGCTATGCTGTGACTATGCTGTGGCTATGCTGTGGCTATGCTGTGGCTATGCTGTGGCTATGCTGTGGCTATGCTGTGGCTATGCTGTGGCTATGCTGTGGCTATGCTGTGGCTATGCTGTGGCTATGCTGTGGCTATGCTGTGGCTATGCTGTGGCTATGCTGTGGCTATGCTGTGGCTGTGCTGTGGCTGTGCTGTGGCTGTGCTGTGGCTGTGCTGTGGCTGTGCTGTGGCTGTGCTGTGGCTGTGCTGTGGCTGTGCTGTGGCTGTGCTGTGGCTGTGCTGTGGCTGTGCTGTGGCTGTGCTGTGGCTGTGCTGTGGCTGTGCTGTGGCTGTGCTGTGGCTGTGCTGTGGCTGTGCTGTGGCTGTGCTGTGGCTGTGCCGTGGCTGTGCCGTGGCTGTGCCGTGGCTGTGCTGTGGCTGTGCTGTGGCTGTGCTGTGGCTGTGCTGTGGCTGTGCTGTGGCTGTGCTGTGGCTGTGCTGTGGCTGTGCTGTGGCTGTGCTGTGGCTGTGCTGTGGCTGTGCTGTGCTGTGGCTGTGCTGTGGCTGTGCTGTGGCTGTGCTGTGGCTGTGCTGTGGCTGTGCTGTGGCTGTGCTGTGGCTGTGCTGTGGCTGTGCTGTGGCTGTGCTGTGGCTGTGCTGTGGCTGTGCTGTGGCTGTGCTGTGGCTGTGCTGTGGCTGTGCTGTGGCTGTGCTGTGGCTGTGCTGTGGCTGTGCTGTGGCTGTGCTGTGGCTGTGCTGTGGCTGTGCTGTGGCTGTGCTGTGGCTGTGCTGTGGCTGTGCTGTGGCTGTGCTGTGGCTGTGCTGTGGCTGTGCTGTGGCTGTGCTGTGGCTGTGCTGTGGCTGTGCTGTGGCTGTGCTGTGGCTGTGCTGTGGCTGTGCTGTGGCTGTGCTGTGGCTGTGCTGTGGCTGTGCTGTGGCTGTGCTGTGGCTGTGCTGTGGCTGTGCTGTGGCTGTGCTGTGGCTGTGCTGTGGCTGTGCTGTGGCTGTGCTGCGGCTATGCTGTGGCTATGCTGTGGCTATGCTGTGGTGGTGGCTATGCTGTGGCTATGCTGTGGCTATGCTGTGGCTGTGCTGTGGCTGTGCTGTGGCTATGCTGTGGCTGTGCTGTGGCTGTGCTGTGGCTATGCTGTGGCTATGCTGTGGCTATGCTGTGGCTATGCTGTGGCTATGCTGTGGCTATGCTGTGGCTATGCTGTGGCTGTGCTGTGGCTGTGCTGTGGCTGTGCTGTGGCTGTGCTGTGGCTATGCTGTGGCTATGCTGTGGCTATGCTGTGGCTATGCTGTGGCTATGCTGTGGCTGTGCTGTGGCTGTGCTGTGGCTGTGCTGTGGCTATGCCGTGGCTATGCTGTGGCTATGCTGTGGCTATGCTGTGGCTATGCTGTGGCTATGCTGTGGCTATGCTGTGGCTGTGCTGTGGCTATGCTGTGGCTATGCTGTGGCTGTGCTGTGGATATGCTGTGGCTATGCTGTGGCTATGCTGTGGCTATGCTGTGGCTATGCTGTGGCTGTGCTGTGGCTATGCTGTGGCTGTGCTGTGGATATGCTGTGGCTATGCTGTGGCTATGCTGTGGCTATGCTGTGGCTGTGCTGTGGCTATGCTGCCGTAACACCGTAGTCATGGTTCATATCAATTTTATCATTTTATTTTTTATTTCAACATCTCAAGACTCAGGGGAAACATCGGCCAATGTGAAGAGAATGGAAAAATACAAATGCCGATACTCGAAGTACATGTGCATGTTTTAGTGACAATTTTAGTTACATGTATGTTGCGGGATGGAGCATTGTCCGGCACCGCAGCACAAGCTAGGATCTTGGGTCATCTCACGCAGTTCAGTCAACGGTTTGATTGCTGCGTGTTGTGTTCTAACCCAGGTGACGGTGGTCCCCGCTGCCCGGCCGACAGGCCCTGCCTAAACGCTGGCAAATGTCTGTATCAGCGCACACCCACGGCTGGATATACGTGCCAGTGCAGGCCAGGGTTCACAGGGCAGTTCTGCTCAACAGGTAATAGTACTGTAGACTGTAGTCCTACTAAAGTCCAGAAGCAAGCTTGTGTTCTCACACCAATGTGCATGTAAGGTGGCACCTATTGATCCGCCAGTCATCTACATGACTGTATAAAAACAATAGGAGGACAGAGAAAGTGTTTTAACTCTGTTTTCTGATGATTGCTTAGTGCGTGAAACTCAGAGTTAAAACACTTTCTCTGTCCTTCTATTATTTGAACCAGCTCTACCACTCGGTATTGAGCACTCTCTTGGACCGCCTGGAACCTCTCTGGTTTAGATGACTGTATATGTAGGACCACGTACTATACCTCGATAATAATAATACTTTCTCATGAGAGGAGAATTCTGCTGAGAGACAACTATATGTTTTACATGTAATGTTCGTTCACGACATGAAGCACAGAAGCCACATGGAAGTTTGGACGAGGCCTTTCAAAGTAGTGAAAACGGTGCCGGGTGATAAGAGCAGCTGCCAACAAGTTTTTGTATCTGACGTTTTGAAGGTCAGTGTAGTGACAAAAATAGCACCTTGGAGAGCAATCGTGGTAGATCAGATCTACATGTACTGTACATAGTGAAGAAAGCAACACAAACTCGTTAGTCTTTACAGACCACTGTACCAAGCAGCAGCGCTCTCTTAGGGCTCACGAAATTGTCCAGGCGATTATGTGCTTGGTAAGTGAATTTTGTTTACAAAGTTGAAACTTTGTTTCCCTCCAACCAATAATCTAAGCATTCCATGTACTTCGGTGATTGTGTAGTAGTAAGCCATGGATGACAGGTATCAAGCAGATTTATGCTGACACCTAATGAGGACTTTTTTTTATTGAGGAGAGATTGTGCACAGCAGGTCTCTGTCGCGGTGCGATAAAATTCATTTCGCTATTGCCTAATGCTAATAATTATGTGTTCTTCTCTAGCTGTTGTGGTTGTGTGTGTGTGTGTGTGTGTGTGTGTGTGTGTGTGTGTGTGTGTGTGTGCGTGTGTGTGTGTGTGTGTGTGTGTGTGTGCGTGTGTGTGTGTGTGTGCACATGTGAATGTGCATTGTTGTGTTTTCGGTATGTATGTTTCGTATGTGTGTGTCTGTATACGTTGTGTGGGTATATTAATATAATATATTTTTTCAGCTGTATCGCGTTGCACTCCTGGCCGTTGCCATAACGATGGAACGTGCATCCCGTCGCACAACGGATACAGGTGTCTCTGCAGAACCCTATTCAATGGACGCCGTTGCGAAAAACGTAAACTATAATCCATTACATCTGACATTAGAATATCGTACATTGTTGACATAGAGTGACTTTCTTTTAATTGCAGTATTTTGATACACGAAGTAGAAGTGGTGCAATAATCACGCACCCCCACAAACACACACGCATAATTATACATAAAACGCAGTAACAAAATATGCACATACATTTTCACGAGCAAACATGCACACACACCGCCATACACACACTAATACGCACACGTGCACATACACACACACTCCCATACACACACTAACACACCCAAACACTCATGTTCACACAAATGCACGTACACATCGTTTGACTGGCTACAAAGCCAGTACCCTGGGTCGGTGGAGTTCATCAGACCTCATCATGCATCATCGCGTTTAAAAGGGTTGAGGCTGGAAAGGGTTTCCATCAATACTCTCCTTGAAACAGTACTGCTGACAAGGCGTTTGCTTCTTGATCTTTCGTAAATTTCCCAAGACACATAAGAGATTTTTTAAATGACCACGGACTTGCAAAGCACATAACCACCAGTGAAATTGAGCGGAAAAAGAAGACATTCATCAGTTGATTGATTATAGGGACCCTGAATAATAACGTAAATATAATTATGTGCTCGACTATGTTCGATCACATTGTCATTTGTTTGTGCTACGTATACCGTTTGAACTCAAACAGGTTGGCTTTCAGCATCCATATTCACAAACCTCACCTCCACCCTACATCAGATCACCCGCGACGTGGCCAGAAACGGTCGCAACGACGCACTTGTGAAGCAGGACGTGGCTGATCAGGTTTCAAAGTTTCTGTCCAATGTGGGCAGGCAGTTCAACGCATCTCTCCTGAAAGTACAGCGAGAGCAGGTAAGATATAGGTGCACACAGTACTAATACATTCATGAAGAACCCGCGCCGGACGATCTCGCCCTGCCTCCCAAGGTAGTGCCCTTTGGAACGTCCTACCGGATGCAGTCAGAGGACTGGCGTCTCTCAGCAGCTTCAAAGCTGACATCGTACCGTATACCCTCCGATCCTCCTGAGGTTATGATTATAAACTTGCCCTGAGACAGCTTCCTATCTGTGATTGATTAAATTTTTCACTGTTACCATTATTATTTGCCATGGCGACCCCGTAAATCCGTAACTGGCAGGGCAGGGTTGGGCCTTTTCCAAAATAATAATCCTCCCGATTTTAGTTAGCAAGTACTCTCGTTAAGTAGAGTAAGTAAATTATCGTGTTCGTTCACGAAGGGAACTCACGACGGCCGCTAACACCCGGTAAACCCTTGCGGCAAATGCAGCGCCTAACGGTGGGGGTGAGTGGATAAGTCTCACAACCACTGGCACAAGTGCCGAGAACGACCCCATTAGCTGCATCCATGTACCCCTTGTGCCTGGCCACAAGTTCCCAGTTGACTGTGGGTACCAGCACGGCTGGAAAAACCGCTCCCAGGCAGGACTTGAACCAGGTACCTCTCGTATCTCAATCATGGTCTTTGACCAACCCACTGTGCCTGCCTGGTCACTCACCTTAGCAGTTAGTAATTAGTTTTTTCTTTTCTCTATTAATATTTTATTCTCTTACCAGGCGTGGGCCATCCCCTGGACTACCAAAATAGGTGCCTTAGTATTATTTTTCTGTTTCTGCTTTAATGACAGTCCATTGTACGCCTGAAAAAAAGTACTTAGTTTATTAGGCGGGTTACAGAACTATCGTTCACCGGCTTACTTGTAGTTTTGATAACGCTTCGCTCTTCATTGAGATATCTATTATTATACCTCACTCCATATTCACCCACATACAATTGGCCATCTACATAAGTGGTGAATATTGCTGAATATTCACCGCTTATATTCACCACTTACCTCATATTCACCACTCATATTCACCACATACCTTATATTCACCACTTATAATATATTCACCACTTTTCCATACTTACATTGTACTGTAAAGAGAGCAGTACTCGGTGCTGCGCTTGATTCCTCTTCAGTCAGCGCACCGGAGCTGTCGAGTGCCCTAGAAAATGTCTACGCTAACTTCCGTAGACAGGACTTTTCTGAGTACAATCGAAATTCCTTGCTTGCCATTGCCGCTGGATCCGCATGTGACCAGGTGCTGACAGTGAGCATCTTCACAGACGGAGCGTTCCAGCGAGCAAACAAGGTTTTGGACGCTCAACATGTCAATGGCCCGATGATTGCGGATCAAGCGGCAAGCCAGGAATTTCGTTTGTACTCAGAACAGCCCTGTTCAAGGACGTTAGCGTAGAATTTTCCTAGGGCACACAACAGCTCCGAAGCGCTGCCTAAAAAGAAAAGAAGTGAGGGTAGAACCGCTTGGCTCGCTGTTATAAACCGACTCCCGAATTGGCGAGATGATCGCGGATTGGTCAAATCTTCACGTGAAACGAAACCTCTCTCTGATTGGTCAAATCTTCGCGTGAAACGAAACCTCTCTCTGATTGGTCAAATCTTCGCGTGAAACGAAACCTCTCTAATGATTGGCTCCCGCCACAAAGCTGCACGAGCGTGTTCTCCATGGTGATTGGCACGAGCGTGTTCTCCAAGGTCTTCACCTCCCATGCTACATGCACCAGTAGTACGTGTACACGATCGATTGAACAAGATTCTGAACACGCCGCCCTCCGATTCAGGCAAGAACACGCCAGTCGGTCTGAAGGCTCAGTGAAGCAACAACGACTTACGTTAGTTCTGCGTACATGTACATGTATGACCAACAGGACTCGTTTGTTGGGTTTTAGGGACGAGAGGGTGAATATGGAGAGGTATAAGTCTAATATTACCTTCAGCCTTGTGAATATGGGCGAATATTCACTAGTTATACAAACCTCGGCTTCGCCTTGGATTGTTTACTAGTGAATATTCGCCCATATTCACTCGGCTTCAGGAAATATTATATACTTCTCTCTTTTTTCTCCTTATCTTCTCCCCAACCCTCCTTCCCTGTAACATAATAACATATTCGCTGCCTTGTCATTGAGCATTTGTGCTCGTTTGGATTAGCGAATCCAAATAAAGTATACAAACAAACAAACACACAAATGAAGTAGCAGATTATGTTTTCCTCTGACATTTTTGAAAGAAGGAATTGGCCTTGAGGTTTGTGCACATCCTGAGCTTCCATGAAGAGACCCCGCAACCTCCTGTTATAGGATAATGGTGGAAGGTACCAGCGCATAAACTGCTTAGAGCCTGAGTAGAGGTCCCGTAGTGTACTATTGCTTGTGCATGTGTACTTGCTTTGATTTCGACCGCTGCTTCTGTTCTGGTGTGCGCTGAACAACGGTGATTGTTCTGTTTCCTGTTCCCTATCCTCAGACTGCTGCTCTGCAAAGCGTTCAGAGGAATGTAGAGGTAAGACTTAGTGCACCTTACAAGCAATAAAACAAAATGGTGGGCCCACTCAATCGTACTTTTTTAAGTAAGCTATTATGCTTTAAAAAGCATAATAGCAGTGGTGAGGCTTTCTGCAGCTTCATTTATAGGAAAAAAGGTTTCAGAGCAAACCCGCTCTCTTCCCATTCACTCTTTGCATACCTGATGAAGGCAAGTTTGCCGAGACGTTGTAATAATTGATTGAGAAACAAGTTCGAGTTTGCAGCCGTGAGTGAATGGGAAAAGAACGGGTCTGCTCCCAAACCCTTTCCCTATAAGTATAACAATTGGTTAAAGCACACCTGCTTGGCCCATGAGTCTACACTGGTGTTCACCGCCTTTTCACTCTCTAAAGTTGCAAAACTCTGGAGCAGGGGCATTGCCAAGCAAAACTCTGGAGCAGGGGCATTGCCAAGACACGGCAGGGGCATTGCCAAGACACGGCAGAGGCATTGCCAAGACACGACAGGGGCAGAACATACAATGTAAGACATATCACACCATGCTGGAGGCCAATACTGGAAATCATTGGTCGTGGAACACGTGGAGCGACACAGAAGCAGCTAGTTCATCCACCTGCCACGGGCTCTTTTGGTCTGAAGCATCTATCATTCTCATTTGCAGGTTCATGGAAGTGCAGCCATATTCTGCTCGCTTGTGTGTATCTATGAATGATGTTATTACCATATGGAGCGAATTGCTTGGCCACCCTGTAAGACGACGACAGTTGGTTGGGTCCCCAAGTAAAATAAAATATCAACACAAACAACCACAGCATTCATCAACCTGATATTAGGCTGCAATACATTTTGGATGCGCTGACCAACCGACTTACAGCTTTCTGGTTTAGAGAGTGGGAGATGAGTGAGAAAGGCACGGTATGCGAATAGGCGACCTGGAGACAATGGTTTTATCAACTCGTTGAGTAGAACTAGGGATAAAGAACTACTGAAATAGGTAGTCAATCTGCGGACAGAACTTTTTCGTCCTTTGTGGACTCATCAGCGCAGCACAGAGGAAATGAGGCCGAATCTGATAAAGTTAGCAATGAAAAGTAAATCTTTCAAAGCCAAATTAAAACGAGGCCCGAACGTACTTTGCCAGAGGGCTCAAAATAACAAGTCAGTGAGCTCTGCATAACGCAAACAGAAATGGCACTACCCCACACAAGAGTCCTCAACTGCTACAAGAGCAGGAGCGAAATACTCGAAATAGGTAGTCAGCAAGTTTGATAGCAAAATTGGGGGGGGGGGGCGGGGGGTAAAAGATGATATACAGGTAAACGTGACTAGCACACGATAGCAATAATTATCTGGGGGAGAATGGGAGAGGGGTGGGAGGGGAATTCAGCTGCCTCACGATGGAAGAAGTTCTCAGACTATCATAGTTTAGGAATGAACTCGGATGGAGGGCCAAGGATTAATTTATAAGAAAAAAGGGCCAAGGAACTGCAAGTTACGCTATAATGTCCTCTAACATCACCAGTTACTAAACAATCAGCTCATGCGATAACATTGCACGACACTGACCGACGGTACTGACGTTCCACAACTAACTGGCTAACAGCTCTAGCACATCTTGGATGCGCACTCCAACAGCCTTCCAACTTGGAAGGTTCTAAGTTATAGAAATAACATAAGGAGGGGAAGTGTTATCCCATGAGCTGATTGTTTAGTAACTGGTGGTGTTAGTGGACATTATAGTGTAACTTGTAGTTTCTTGGTCCTTTGTCTTTCTTATCATAGTGAATTTGAGCATTTTTTCGATTGCTCTTGTACATTGTAGTTGGTATCTACTTGTAGTCCTATTATTGGTTCTTTATGTGGTTTTCTCAAGGAGTTACAACGATGTAATCCCGCATCACTTGGCTTCGCTTATACAACCCATACCAGAATATCGCTTGCTGTTGAGCAAGTGGCTAGCGTCCAGGTCACCAAGACGCGTGAATCCACAATTCTGAGGATCACTTACTCAACCTCCATTAGGGCTCTTGGAAGTGCAAAAGGTTCAACGTGGTTTGCCAAAATTGACGGTAAAGAGTGTACTCAGCCATCACGTATCAATATCGCCCACTACCGACGAGACGAAGATGACGTACAACTTCCTGGATATCTGGAAGGTCTTTGCAGAGCGACAAGCTCGGGACCAATCGCACAAGGCCGTCACGTGATCACAATTCACTCCGGAAAACTTTCTTCGTACAATCATGGCGCTCATTCAGGGTGGGCGGCACCATCTCTTCTGCAAGTCAGGGAGATCTGTGACCAATAAAAATGTTTCCTCGCACAGGGGACGCTGGACATCATCAGAGTGTTCTCTAGATTGTCATGCTTTTGATGACGCTCTCACACGGTTTGCTTGCCGACTCCTCAATTTATTTCTATGTATGTAGATTCTGGTGTTCAGCTATGACTTGTACTATCTAACTTAACCACAAGAGGTTCTCTTTGGGATTTGTATTCTATCTCTTTTTAACACGTAGAATCAGTACTCTTGCTGCCTATTATGCCTGCACACATGAATGATTCCTATTGTTTCCCTGATCCAATCCATACGTTGGGTAGAGCTGCATTGTTGTCAATCAGTGGGAAGAAACCTTTGGTGGAGAATGGCGGGAGAAACTCAAGCAGACTTTGGCACTTTCTTCGCATTCTTTCATTACGTTTCATAAATATATTCTTCATACAGAGTATATCAGAATTCTCGGACATTTGGCCATAGGTTTTGCATTGTTCGTCAGTAAAACTGCTTTGTGTGCAAAACCTGCCATTATTTCGAGCATTTTCACTAATTCTGACGAAGTAATCTACAGCGTTGTGCTGTTGTAGTGTAGGATAATGTCAGGGTTCTACTTTGTTCCAATTAACATCTAGGGCAGGATGAATTCATGACAGCAAAGCCACAAACGATCAAAAACATTCTACAATGTAGTTTTCTGAAGTCCAAACAGACCACAGAGTGTTGTTCGGTAATAAAAACCAAACCAAACCAAACCAAACATGAAGGAAATACTTGGAATTTCCGGCTAATCTGATGCAAAAATCGATTCAATCCAAACTCCAATGAGAACATACTGAAGCTATAATAAAATAAAATAAATTATCGTGTCCGTTCCCAAAGGGAGCTCACGACGGCCGCTAACACCCGGTAAACCCTAGCGGTAGATGCAGCGCCTAATGGTGAAACTATAATAGTACAAGTCTTTTGTATCCAAGGGGTATCTACGCGTACCTATATAGAAAATAGAAATACTCTATGTACGGACTGCATACTGTTTTCCCCTCTGAGGATTCTTCAGCGCAGCACAGAGAAAATGAAGCCGAATCTACAGTCCATTTCAAAACTTTAGACGCGTACCTAGGCAAAAACCGTTATGCCAGGATCTATACCACATAAAATCTGTGATCACTTTGTGCATAAACTTTTCCAAATTAGGCGTCTGTTATCCAATCGTTTAGAAACTATTATCAGAGTAATTGTGGAGCGGACCTGAGCAATATTCCGAAAACTATTCCCAAAAAGCTCCAGCCAAATTTGAAATAATTATTTCAAAAACCCTACGCGTCTATAGTTTTGAAATGGACTGTAATCGCAATGAAAATAAATTAATAATAATAATAATAATAGTTACAGTTCGCATGTCACTCATGGAAGGATCCATGGGCTTAACGCATCTGTCAACGAAATCCAGGCAGAAGAGCCGACAAAAGGCATCTCATTATTGTTAGAACGTATCGCAGTAAGAACAACTACGCAAGCGCAGCACATTTTTCCACAAGCATCAGCCATTCTTTCTTGTCTAGAGCCAGTTCAAAACAGTCAGAAATATCAATATTGGCGTGCTTTAGATCACTTTTAATATTGTCAATCCATCTGAGATGGGGTCGGCCACAGTGGGCGCTTGATGTCCCGGGTATTAATTGCCATCTCCAGTGCTTGGTAGGACGCTGAGTTACGTCCTTCGCGAACAACATGGCCCAGCCAGAGCAGCCGACGTCTGCGACAGGTAGTGCTGACTAATAAATTAATCTTCGAACAAAATAAAAAATTTCACGGTTCGCGTGAGACTCGGCTGGTTGGTTGGCTGGTTGTTTGGTTTTTATTATTTCAGTTCGTTGCCTCAACAGTACAAATTACAAATATCAAGAGGGACGAACGAAAAGAGAAAATAAAACAGAGCAGAGAGGAAGATGCAACTGAAAGGAAAGAAAAACGGAGAGAAACGGAGAAGGAATGTGGACTGGGCGGATTCATGAACCATTACTAGAGAGAAACGGAGAAGGAATGTGGACTGGGCGGATTCATGAACCATTACTAGAGCAGGGCAATGCATGAACAGAAGGGGCAAGTCCGTCGATATTCATGTTTAAAAAATTCCAAGCCTTATTTTATTACAAAAAATGTATTATCTACGCATGCATCTACGCAAGAGTCACCACCAGCCAATTAGGACATGTGTCAAAGTATTGAACGTTTTCGTTCCCTTCTTGTCAAAACACTACAGGGAATGATGGAAATGAGCTAAAAGACTACAACTATAAGGAAAAGAAGTTCAGAAACATATCACTCCAATTATGTGTAGAAGTGACACGAAAAAATAGATGTGACAGGGAAACGGTACCTCGCCAATCAAGTGTCACCTGTCGGGCAGTGCTAGTTGTCGTGAGTGGTATTCCGATGATGTATTCTCTGTTTTGTCGCGTGGTAGGTCTTTGTTACATCTTGCCGTGTTGGAAGCTTTGTACATACGTAAGTTAGACCCTGAGCTTTGTGATTTGGATTTGCATGCTGTTTTCTTGATTCTTCACATCTATTTTTTCGTGTCACTTCTACACATAATTGGAGTGATATGTTTCTGAACTTCTTTTCCTTATAGTTGTAGTCTTTTAGCTCATTTCCATCATTCCCTGTAGTATTTTGACAAGAAGGGAACGAAAACGTTCAATACTTTGACACATGTCCTAATTGGCTGGTGGTGACTCTTGCGTAGATGCATGCGTAGATAATACATTTTTGTAATATTTTCTGCCTCCGTCCTACTTCCGTATTTTATTGGTGAAATATATTTTCAAAGGAGGGAATACAGGGATATAGTCAATTTGTCGTCATTTAGAGCTTGCAAAAGTTCTGTAGAAAATGATCTAATGTCCTCACTTCCTTTCAAGTGAGCAGGGAGGGCATTCCATATAAGGGATGCTCTGGAGGAAAAGGTATTGCACCCTACCATGGATTGATACAAGCAAATTGACAAATTGTTTGTTGTAGTTCCACGAGTTGACCGCTTAGAGGTGGGCAAAGGAAAAAGACTGCGTAAGCATGATGCAGGCTGAACAATATGACAAATAAACGTAAAGGTAAGAAATTGATAAATGTATCGATATTCAAGGTGTTTGCTGGAAGCGGAGTTTCCCGCATCCGCCGTGGGAGCGCCATCGCCCTCTAGTATCAAATTCGCTAATCTTCGAAAAGCAGATTTGAACCTTGCCAGCGTGCTCAAAACTAAGATATAAAATAGAAATCGATTGAGGAGTGTGAGATGGAGCCTTGAACGATTGTTCCCTTTTGGGCACGTTGGCTTAATTAAGGTTAACTTAATTAACTAAAATGTAATGCCACTGGAGAAATTATTTCTGACTATCCATAGTGTCTCTTATGCGACGAAAATAGTTTATTGGTCACAGATCTCCCTGACTTGTAGAAGAGATGGTGATCCAAACCCCGAGTTAGAGTTATGGGTGTACGAAAGTAATTTTCCGGTGTGAATTGTGATCACGTGATGGCCTTGTGTGATTGGTCCCGAGCTTGTCGCTCTGCAAAGACCTTCCAGATAACCAGGAATATTCACGTGATCCGCCTCCCCTCGTTGGTGATTGATAGCGATACGTGATGGCTGAGTACACTCTCGACCGTCAATTTTAGCAAACCACACTGCGGCTCCTCTACTTCCATAGACCGCGATGTTCGTAGAGTAAGTGATTCTCAGCAGTGTGGATGCATGCTTCTTGGTGACCTGGACCCTAGCCAATTGCTTAATTCCACCTACATGTCTGCGATGTGCTGTATAGGCGAACCCGAGTGATGCCGAATTGCATTGTTGTAACGCCTTTAGGAGAGCATGTATAGAAAGAAATTGAGCACGAAAACATAACATGATGAATTTCAAGAAGGATATGGCCAAAAATCAAAATTTCTAAATTCAAACAATGGCTGTTTTTTCTTGTTTTTTTCTACAAAACTGTGACCCCCCCTCCTCACCCTCTCTTGTCTATGTTTGCGGGATGCTCGAACTTCAAACTGGTTCTTACATTCTTCCTGTACGCTTGTAAAACTGTGATATTAACTAGAGGTAAAAGGTACTAGACAAAGCAAACAGACAAAATGTATAAAATAGAGCACGTAGTTCAATGTGCCTCCACGAATGGCAGGTTAGACAACAGTCTCTTGCGCAATATCATACTACTCGTTCCTTGTGTCCGTGCATGCAACGACGGTATGATATCATCCGTGTCTGTACAGTAACAGCTTTTCAACACAAATCCTTCTCTGTTTTTTCTAATACCACACTAACTCCTACTTGAGTAGTCGCACGTCGAACTAATTTCAGTCTAGTTCCATCAATTCATAGTTCATTCTCGATTGCCGTTAATACAAAGATATCAGGCATACAGTGAAGCCCTAACATACCCGCAATGAAGATAGAGGGCCTTCAATTTGCCTTATGCGATCCACGCTGTCCCGAATTGTGTGGTTCGCCTCAGCTAATTGCGACCGAAGCTTTGCATTCTCTTTCGCGTTCTCCAAGATGTTACGGTTCGCCTCAGCTAATTGCGACTGAAGGACGTCGACGTTTGCTTTCTCCGTTGCCAAACCAGCGTTAAGAGTATTAAACAAATCTTGTGTCAGCCAACCTGTAGACATACAAAGTGGCACAAACATTTCCTGGACCCTGGATTTACACATGCTTTTCAAAGATTAATCTCAGTTTGATCACATGGTATTTAAAACTACGTGTATTTGTGGGAACGCTCGTTTGATTTTGCCATCCACCCAATGCGTCCTACCAAGCACTGGAGATGACAATTAATACCCGGGACATCAAGCGCCCACGTGGCCGACCCCATCTCAGATGGATTGACAATATTAAAAATGATCTAAAGCACGCCATATTGATATTTCTGACTGTTTTGAACTGGCTCTAGACAAGAAAGAATGGCTGATGCTTGTGGAAAAATGTGCTGCGCTTGCGTAGTTGTTCTTACTGCGATACGTTCTAAAAATAATGAGATGCCTTTTGTCGGCTCTTCTGCCTAGATTTCGTTGACAGATGCGCTAAGCCCATGGATCCTTCCATGAGTGACATGCGAACTGTAACTATTATTATTATTATTATTATATTATCCACCCAATGTCATTCTCTTACTCCTCACGTGACTGAATCATGTTTTTGATGAGTGCTTATAGCTACATGTCTAAGACTCTCAAAGCCACGGCTGAGAAACAACAGCTTCTGTAACACGTGCGCTCAGTACAGCCGCTTCTAAATGTATGAACACGAAACACCCTCATATGCTGCAGCAATCACATTTTAACTTGCTTGTTTCCCAATTCCTATACTCCAATATGAGTCTGTGGAAAAAGGTGCGAAGATGTAAATTTTACGCCACTCGCAAAGCTAGTCATATAACATAACTTCCATATTCGCATGCAAGCAAGGATAGTGCCGAGTTCAAAGTTCAGCGGATGCTGAATGGATTAAATGAGAGAGTATAAAAGCATGTCGAGTTCATAGCTTGGTTTCCTTAGGCCACATCTAGTAACAACTAATTTCATACTGCCTTACCATTGTTATAGAACTGCCGTGAAATGCACGTATAGGACGGAGACCAACTTGAGGTTTCTTGTTTTCAAAAGTTTCATGCCTTTGACAATCGACAGGCCACAAGTATCTGTTATTCATGTATTTTCAATTGCCAACTAGAATTCCTGATAGTTTGCAGCCCAGTGAACACCAACATACAGGCGTACTGATACACAATGCGAGTGTTCCGCGGCCATGATATTAATCCATGCTTTAAGAGGACTCAGGGAATACCTATACGGGATACATCTAGTGTTTTGGAATCATGGTGTACGTACGTTGTTGACACACGTCTCCCTCGTAGCCCACTGAGCAGTCACACGTGAAATTGTTGAATGCGTCGATGCACCGTCCGCCATTCTGACACGGTTCACTGGCACACTCGTCTATCTCTGCACAGGATGAGTAGACAAATGGGAAGCGTCTTAGAGGAGATCAAAACGGCCAAGGAACTGTAGCGGTGCTATACTCTCCACAATACTGTCCACTAACGCCACCAGTTCCTGGACAATCAGCTCATGCGATAACATTGCACGACACTGACCAACGGTGTCGACATTCTACAACTAACTGACAAACCAGGTCTAGCACATCTTGAATGCGTTACAGATAGTGCTATAACTTAAGACCTTTTAAGTTGGAAGGCTGTTAGAGTGCGCAAAGAGTTATATTTAGGATTTCCACGGTATCTAGCGTTACTGAAAAACGCGATTGCGATGTATAAATTTTAACCATTGCAATTGTTGAGTCTAATAATCCAAAGCGCAACAGTGCATGCAGTGGACTAACCAGTGATACATTCATGACTTCATGACTCCTAAAAGAGAAGTACCACATGATCTGATCAGCACTTGTACAATTGCAGACCGTTTCACAACCTAATGTTCCTGAAGCTGAGTTAACGGGACGAGTAACGACATTCCAAAAGGTAAAGCACGTAGGGCAAGAACATTTTCTTCTGGCTAAGGTAAGTCATGCAATGTAGAAACAGAAATTAATGATTTCTTGTTACAACCTGAACAAGATTTTCCATCGACAACCACACCATAACTGCGCTCTCCAGTGCCAAACTCGATACGTTGCCACAGCACACAACTACCGAAATTCAGTAGCAACGGATGTGTAGCTTTGCTGATGGTATACTATGGTAACGTATGGAGTTCGGCTCGAGGGCGCAGTTATATTGTGGTGGGCGATGAATCTACAGGGCCGAAAACTGGACCTCACACTTTAGTTAGCTTTCAAAATAATATAATTATTATAACAAGGTACCCGTTTTTCGGTAATTTTGTTTATCAGTACCAAGGCAAAAATCGTTGAACTTACCATTCTCGCAATACTGTCCTGTTCTGCCTGGTTGGCATTGGCACATGTATGAACGAGTGTCAGTGTTGAACGCACACTCTCCCTCCGTTTTGCACGGGTCGAACGCATCAGCACATACAGGATTGGTACCATCTGTAACACGCAGCATAGTTGCATACCAGGAGCGAAAGAACATGTTCATCCACATGTTTTAGTCTCTAATAATCTTTTATCAGATTTTTGAAGATACTAAATCAACATAGTCCAGTTCATTTTCGAAAATTGGAAGCATGTTGCGGGCCCACAAGATTGTGACCTGTGACCATACGGGAAAGAGAAGATTAACGCCAGAACGAAAACAAATTGAGCAAGAGTAGTCAGGCCCTCCTGTATCAACAAAATAATTTTTGTAACAGAGAACCGGAGGCTAGAAGATACCGTTTAATTGTAGAGCGACAGTACGCAAGTATTGCATGCATCCAAGCAAGATCACAGATCGGGGAACGAGGTTAGTTTTGACCACCAGACAAGTGCTGGTTTCTCTGCTATATCATATCTTTCTCCAATGCTTGTCCTGCGAACACCTTTATCACGTGTGGTGTACTCATGGTAGTCTCTAAGGAATCTCTCCACTCCCTGAAGTATGCTTGACGAGAAGGGAAACGACGAGGTGTGATGCCTTTTCTCAATTTGCTCCGCATGGCCATTCACATGATCATATCGTGATCAGGGATCATCAGATTATAATATTGTTTTTCTTACCCAGGCAGGACTTGAGCATGGTGGCATGGTCAGCCGTCATTCCCATCAGGAAAGCCAGGACATCAGTGTCTAGCTCAATTAGCTTAGTTTCTGTCATTCCAATGGTCTTGAACACACCTTCGTACTTCTCGGCCATCGCCAGCTCCACGCCGGACTGGAGCATCCAACGAACCATGCAGCTTTCACCGCCTACAATACCAAGCAAAAAAAAAACAGAAATTGCCAGCACCGAATACGGCACTAAATCAATCATAATTTTTCCCAGAATGTAGGTTTGTGTATGCCTGTATTTGATTTCGCAAGTACACACGTGCTATAATCGCACTTACATGAAAGCGAAGGTAAGAGTGGAATGAAAAACATGTAAGAGAGGTGTGGGGGGGGGAGGGAAAAAGTCAATACTGTACACGTATCGCAATCCTAGATTGGCTAGGGTACCCCGTAAGGAGACCATAGGTCTGTGGGGACTGCCCTAGAGAAATATGAATAAATACTTTCCTACACTGTTGTGAATTCCAGCAGAAATTATTTATTTTTTACTATACTATATACTATACATCACATTATACGCTGAAAGACCCCTTTCCCCCGACAATCGCTTCCTACAAATTTCAGCAATTGCCAGGTTTTAATCACCGTGGACATAGTTTTTTAATGTGTTTTTGCTTACCGGTTGACGTCATATTTGCAGAACTTGGCGACGGTGTGATTGGAACTGCCACGCTAAAAGCAGCCGTTGCCAGTAGCAACATGACGGCGGGTATGAAGTCATTTGGCGACATAACGAAACAATGACCTTCTATTGTTTTGCTGGGCGGTTAACTTCAACACGTCCTTTCGGGGATATAGACCCTCTACACACTCCTCCGACTGCACTTGGGGAAAAGTATTTTCACTTCAAAGTAAGTCAACAGTAGTCTGACCCGCAACTGACAGTACAATCTTACTTTTTGAAATCTCACCAGCAAGAAAGTACAAGCAATGGCTTTCAGTCGATTCTGAAAATCAAAAGCAACGAACAGTGCTTTTATAGTGGTAAAACCTCTCACCAATACGCCTACAGAGCGCGACTCCCTTGACGGGTGAATAGTCGGTAGACACATGAAATTATAGCAACGTAATGCGAGTAGCGTCCAAAACATTGTCCAGTTCAGCACCCCTTGGGACTGGAACAATGAGCGTGAGTGTGAATTGTAATTGAGCTGGCTTCGGAGCGGAAGTCATGCGAATAAGAATCAACACTAGAGTGGTTTGATTTGGCGCCTCGTCGCGACTCATTGAAGGTCTCAATTGTGTATGTTGATTGTTGAAACATATTGCAACCCCAGAACTCTGGGGTTGTGAGGGTTTCTCACATTCAAAATACATGTATGTCATAAATATTCAAGCTTGAGATATTCAGACACACACACACACACACACACACACACACACACACACACACACATACACACACACACACACGCAGAACAAATTCATCTATTTCTGCTTGCTTGAGCCTAAATATACACGGGGATTAGACGTCAGCAGTGGGCGTATGCCCTCTTTTGCCACTATCTACAAAAGATCGCCTGATTGATAAATTGTGCACAGTGTTCGACTGTCATCTCCAGCGCCGATGTACACCTGTGCTTGACACATGTCATCTCGAGCGCTGTATGCGAGGGCCTGACATTAATTCAGTGCGGATGGAGTTTGAACATCCCATCAAGAGTTTAAACTGGAAAGTATCGCGATGCTATCTCATTCAAACCGCCAGTCACAAGCTACTAGTTATCACATAGGAACAGATGCAGCTCCTATAGCGGTGGGAGTGTAGTAGATGTGAGCCATGAACAAAGTGGTGAAAGACCGACAATACCATTCGCTGCATCCATGCCAGCCCACGCGATCCTAATTAAATACTTCCGCTTTCAAACAGGACTTCAACATGCAACCCTCTGTTTTTTCAATCACGGGCCAGTCAAAAACTAGTATGGTAATCCCTATCAAAGAGTAAAATATGACTTAGATGGATAGACAAGGATGATTGGATAGGAGAAAAGGGTCGTAATAAGTATCTACAAGTTTCGCTTTTCTGTCCACTAACGCCACCAGTTACTGGAAAATCAGCTCATGAGATAAAATGGCACGACCATGACGAATGGTAGTGACGTTCACCAACTAACATTCATTTCATCTCATCCACCTTACAAAGACAATGGTGTAAAAGGACATTAATGTTTTGCGTGGGCTGGAGTCGCTGACATTGCGACATGAACTGACATCGCTTTGAGTTAGGTACGAAAGTGACAGGCTAGAATGTGTCACCTTGTCTCTGTGACATGAAGTCGTGTTATCGTGCTGAGCCCAGGCAGGGATTCTATTTCTTTTAGCTATCGTTCAGTACTTCATTTTATTTAATGGTGTACTGCAGTATAGTGGCAGTGAGTTGGCGCGGTTTCTCACCATTCACTAACACATCCATATAGATTCCGTTTTTGGAACATGCTCACAGGGCATTGTGACTGTAGTACTGAACCAAAGGGGCTTGGGACTGTCCCTGCAACTCCGTGGATGCATTCATTCACTAATAATAATCTCAATACGTGACTACTAATCTTCAACACCATGGCTATAATTAGCACTGCTTTGTGTCAAATACACATAATAATTATAACCATACAACCATCTTGTGTTCAATTGAGAGCAGAGTAAAGGAGCAATGGACTACAAGTTACAGTATGTATGTCCACTAACACCACCAGTTCCTGGACAATCAGCTCACGCGATAAAATTGCTCGACGCTAACCAATGGTAGTGACGTTCATCAACTAACTGACAATCAGCTCCAGCACGTCTTCGATGAACACGAACAGGGGATGCATGGAATAGAGAACAACAACAACAAACCTGAAAAAGCAGAAGTACTAGCACTCATGTATCCAGATCTTTCCAAAATGGTTGCTCTCTAGAATGTGCATACCGGTAGGAGGAGAGACGGGATAAGGCGGTGGGTGCGGCACTCATCCACGCGAGCAGGCTGTACTCCAGCACGCGTGAGGATTTCCTGCTGAAGCCAAGGCACTGGGCACAACTTTTCGATAGATGAATGATGTGGCCGCTGAATAAAAGCTGCTGGTCGAAAAGGATTCTGATAATGTGTGACTGCGTGTGTATGTGTGCATGGGGGGGGGGGGGTGTGTTTATGAACACATATTCGTAAGTGTGAGTGTCACACGAGAATATACTGGTGACAATCCTTGCCACCAGCATACCCCGGTTTAAATAAACTAACGTTCCTGAATTCGGAGTCCATTTTACCGGCCTTTCTTCAAGTGGTGAGATCAAAATCATTCGAATTCACCAGATACCGGCCATTGTAGAGCATCGTGCTTGGACTATAGGCTATTTAGGTGTAGGCAAAATGCTAAAGCCACAGCTGACTGGTCATGTTAAGCTAGCCCCATGTTTAAATGGAAGTTTGCACCGGTTCGTTAAAGAAAATCACAGATTGAAAATATTCTGAACCAAAATTTGTCCTTCCCGTCTGAACGGAATCAGATCCTATTGCAGTTCAGAAACGCGATAGGGTGTCAAACCTCCATCCGCACTGAATTAATGTTGTCAGGCACTGGCGCACAGCACCGAAGATGACATGTGTCAGGCACAGGAGTACAGATTTGCTGGAGATGACAGTCAAACAAACACATTGCACCATTCAGCAATTTGACGGCCTTTTCATAGATCTGGGCAAAATATAGCATCCACCCACTGATGACTTATTATCACCTGGTGTATTTATGCTCAAGACAAACGTGTTTGTGTGTTCTGAATGTTCTGATTATGTGGGTGCGCGTGTGCGCGTGCACGTTTTTGTGTGTTTGTCTGAATATCTCTAGCTTGAATATTGTATGGCCTCACCCCCACCGTTAGGCGCTGCATCTGCCGCTAGGGTTTACCGGGTGTTAGCGGCCGTCGTGAGTTCCCTTCGGGAACGGACACGATAATTTACTTTTTACTTTATTGTGAATGTGAGAAGCCCTAACAACCCCGGGGTTCTGGGATTGCGGTGTTTGAAATAAACAATTGAGACTGGCAGTGAGTCGCGACTAGGCGCCAAATCGAACCACGCGGGTGCAAAGTTTTATTCGCATGACTTCCGCTCCAACGCCAGCTTAGTTTTAATTCACACTCACACTCACTATTCCAGTCCCACGGGGTGATGAACTGATCATTGATTTGAAAACTGCTTCGAAGTACTCGTAATACGTTGCTCAATTTCATGTGTCTACCCATCGTTGACCCCTCCAGAGAGTTGTGCTCTGCAGGCATATTGAGGAGGAGGTTTCCCGCTATAAAAGAATGGCTTGTTGCTTCGGATTTTTAGAATCCCCTGAAAGCTTTTACTTTCCCTTTTTTACTGGAGCAATTTAAAGTTACGTTTTCTGTACTGTACGCTGCCGGTCAGACAACTTTTGAAATTCACCGCTGAGCAAAATAGAAGGACACCGTTTCGTCATGTCGCCTAATTCCTTCTTACCCGCCATCATGTTGCTATTGGTGACGGCTGCTTTTAGCGGGGCAGATCCAATCCCACCGTCGCCAAGTCCTGCAAATATGGCGTCAGCCGGTAAGTGAACACACATTTAAAAAAGAAGTATAACCTCAGTGATTACAATCTGGCATTTGCTGAAATATGTACTTGAAGTAAGAAGTGAGAGTTGGGGAAAAAGGGGTCTTTCAGTGTCTCGTTCATCCACACTTTCCATATGTCTCATCGCTGCCTTGCTGCTTTGTGCCGTGAAATGGTGTGTGTTGTTTTGTAAAAAAAACTATAAAAAAAATTGACTGCCTCCTTTACTCACACACAGAAACCAAGACACTCTCACGCACACAATGGACACTACGCATGAGTAACTCTTGTCGAGATCTATTCTTGGAGAGATAATAAACTTAGTGCAGTGTTCATTGGCGCAATGTCTGTTTCTTTGCGTGGTGTTGTAGGCGGTGAAAGCTGCATGGTTCGTTGGATGCTCCAGTCAGGTGTAGAGCTGACGATGGCCGAGAAGTACGAAGGTGTGTTCAAGACCATTGGAATGACCGAAGCTAAGCTACTTGAGCTAGACACTGATGTCCTGGCTTTCCTGATGGGTATGACGGGTGACCATGCTACTATGCTCAAGTCCTGCCTGGGTAAGGCCACCATCGTCAAGTTGTGCGGATGATATTCCTATACATGTACATCGGGATAAGTCCGTGGAGTTTCATTTTCGCTGATAACAGCTGTATTGCTCTCTGATGATTATTCGGTATGTGTGTTAAGATTCGGTCACGATTCTACCATGTGGGTATACGCATGTGGGTCTACTCATCTAAATTATATACCAATGATTCATTGTAGTTTCCAAGTTTAAAGTCGTGCGTAAGTATGTTCTATAAAATCATCGGTGTGATCCTATTCCTGCTTTCCTCTTTCCACCATTACTGCATTTTGGGTGGTACAGATGGTACCAATCCTCTATGTGCTGATGCGTTCGACCCGTGCAACACCGAGGGAGAGTGTGCGTTCAACACTGATAGTCGTTCATACATGTGCCAATGCCAACCAGGCAGAACAGGACATTATTGCGAGAATGGTAGGTTCAACAACTTTCTCCTCCACCAATAAAATGAAATAAAAAGTACAAAAATTTCAAATACCGACCCAATGTACGTTAGTATGAATAGAAGTATCTTGAGAATGTGGTGCCAGGAACGCCAATGTTGCTAGTATGGGGTACTGGCCATGCCAGTGTATACATGTATGGCAGGAGAGGGTTGGTCTTGTAGCGCTATATGAAAAGCTGCGTGTGAATGTGTAGTCTGTATAGGTATCAGGTACAGGTAGAGAGAGCCCAAATGCCCCACCAACCAATAATGCTATATACCCGAGTAAAATGACTGTCACTCGGTTCAGTCAGGGTTGTATCATGTGATTTTAAGGACCCTGGTGTGCAATTTTTAGGAGATGAAGAATACTCGAATACATGTATTTGATGGGAGAAAATAAGAGTACTCGAACTCGGGATCTCAGTGCCAACTTTCACCCCTAGTATCAGGGCTAGCTGTGTTATTTTATTCATATACAAGTACATGTATTATAGTTATAGGGCTAGCGGTGTTATTTTAGGCAATTTCACCATGTTATGCAGCTAAGCAGTCAACAACCACTTTGACACCTGTGATCAAAGGTACAATGACAAACACACTATAGGCAAGAAAGGCGCAATTATAGAACTTTGTGATCTTGCAGATAATCAATGCAACTCATGATCATGTTGATATTTCACATTATCTCAGACTCTACAAAGACTGCACTGTACGCGGTCATGAAATGATTAAAACGTGTCTGGAATCGCTTCTCATTTGTCTACTCATCATGTGCAGAGATAGACGAGTGTGCTAGTGAACCGTGTCAGAATGGCGGGCGGTGCATCGACGCACTCAACAGCTTCACGTGTGACTGCTCAGTTGGCCACGAGGGAGACGTATGTCAAAAACGTACGTATGCCAGGATTATAAAACACAGAATTTAACCTGTATAGGTATTCCCTGATTCCTCTTAACGAATGGATTCATACACCAGTCACCTGGTCACCGTGCCTGCAGGGTACAACTTACTAGCCTGTTTGACCTTTTTTGGGTGCAGTCCTGTCACTCGAGTTGAACCTTGGTGTGGAAATTGTCGCCTGCTGGCGTGGTGACCAGGTGATTTGGGCACCCAGGAGCACGTGACCGCTTGTTCAACCATGTTCGATTGGGAATAAAGGAGGAACGCTGCATCGCAGCCTTTTCGGACCAAAACCAGTCGACTCAGCGTCCAAAAGACTACAACACATGGGCCAATCGCGGTCATCCGTGCTTTTATAAGAACGAAATGGCGCTTTTAGTGACATTTTGCATACAAATCCCCATCTAGTAGGGCGCAGTCACCCAGTTTCGGTGGAAGTGCGCGAGTTCGATTGGGATTATAGTAGCAAGGGAGCGTCTCAGCTTTCTCGGACCACGACCATTCGACTCAGCACCCCGAAGACTACAACTGGTGAAATTTTAATTTTTGCCTTAACTTCCCCTTTCCATGTGATGAAACTGATATTATTTTTTGTAACGCAAGTGCAAATCCAGCCTTCAGGATTTTTTGTGCCACTTCATGTCTCTACAGGTTGGCTGACACGGGATTTGTTCAGTGCTCTTAACGCTAGTTTGGCGATGGAGAAAGCAAAGAATGATAAACTTCAGTCGCAGTTAGCTGAGGCGAACCGCACCATCAGGGAGAAGGTGAAAGAGAACGCAAACCGGCTAACTGAGGCGAACCACACCACGGTGAATCGCATAAGGCAAATTGAAGGCCCTTTATCTAATTTGCAGGTATGTTGAAGCTTCACTCTATGCCTGACAACCAGGTCACAAGGGCAATGAAGAGACGATTAGGAAATGATTGAACCTGATTGAAAGTAATTCGAAGTACCAGTTAGTGTGGTATTAGAAACATGGAGTTTGTTGAAAAAGCTCTTACATGTACGGTACTGACAGAATGATATTTTACCGTGGTCGCATGCACGGATACAAGGAACGAATAGTATGATATTGCCCAAGGTTCGAGTCATGCACTAGTTAGAGAAAAGTGATATCTGTGGAGAAGCAGCATACTACATGTACATGTAACAGGACAAGAGTTCTATATCCGTACTGAGAGCTGCAGGATCACTGACTTGCCCATTGCTTTGTGAAAGTGGGAACTAGTGAGACTGCTGGCCAATCAGCCATTCGTGCAGGTACATTGAACTACACGTTCTTTTTCTTTTTGTTCTTTTTGATTTGAATAGTGAACTTTGCCTCTAGCGAGTAGCGTTTTACAAGCGCACAGGAAGAATGTAAGAACCGAGTTGAAATTCGAGCATCGCGCAAACATAGGCAAGAGCGGGGGGGGGGTCTGAATTTTGAAATTTTAATTTTGGCCATATTCGCCCTGAAACTGATTCAACTTGTTCTTGTGCTTAATTTATTCTCTACACGTGCTCTCCTCCAGGAGTTACAACAATGCAATGCGGCATCACTGGGGTTCGCCTATACAGCGCATAACAAAATACTCGGTAGAGATTCACAATTGGCTAGCGTCCAGGTCACCAAGAAGCGTGCATCCACCCTCCTGAGAATCACTTACTCAACCAGTATTTCTACTCGAAGTGGTGGGACAGAGTGGTTTGCTAAAATTGACGGTCAAGAGTGTTCTCAGCCATCACATATCAATTTCTTTCACGAGAGACAAGGACAGGAAACCATCCATATCCCTGGACATCTGGAAGGTCTGTGCAGGGCCACAAGCTCGGGACCAATTATGCAAGGCCGTCACGTGATCACAATTCACGCCAGAGACCTTCTTTCGTACGTCAGTAGGTCTATGCATCATACTCTCGTCGGGTGGAAGTCAACATCTCTCCTGCAAGTCAGGGAAATATGTGACCAATAAACTATTTTCGTCTCACAAGAGGGTATCGAATCAAATCACCATATACATGTACATATATTCTCCAGTGTGATTAACATCTTGACAATTCTCACACGGTCCAACCTCTCACTCCTCAATCTATTTCCATTTCTATGTATTCCTATGTATCTTGAGAGGATTGGGAGACCTTTAAATGCAAAGGATCATCCGGGGAAGTGAACTGCCTGAAAAGAGAAAAAAATGCCTGGCCCACCTGGTGGGTCTGTTCTGGCGCGTCCTGGTGGGTCTTGAATTTTTATCTTTTCAGGCAGTTCACTTCCCCGACTGATCGATGTATTTCTATGCATTTCTGTGTATATCTGTACTAGACCACTTCCCCCTGTATTTATGTCTATGTATTGCTGTGTATGTCTAGACTAGACCACTTCCCCCTGTATTTACATGTATGTCTACGTATTTCTGTGTATTCACTTCTGTGTACATGTATGTCTACAAGGAGGAAATCTTCCTTTCGCCAGCTGAGAGGGGTCAACAATAATGTGAATTGACTCGTTTTGGTACGATAAAATGAACATTATTAGATCTAAAAAAGAGAAGAAACACATGAGAACGAGTTATGCAGCAACTATTCACGACTATACGTAACCATGAACCTTCCAAGTTGGAAGGCTGTTGGTTTGCGCACTGGGGATGTGTTAGAGCTAGGTCTCGGGTCGCTGAATGTCTCAGCAGCCTGTCAGTTTTGTGCCCTATTATCGCACTTTCTGACCGCTTATCATCTTGTTACAGTCGTGGATAGTTGCTGCCTAACTCGTTCTCATGTGTTTCTTCTCTTTTTTACATTTTATTAACTGGCTCAGTATCCGAGTTTAAATTATTAGATCTAAAACTTATACAAGAACCACAAATATTCTAAAGCTAGCACTATTGGAGGCGTGATTACATGAGTAGCGAGCAGTGTGAGAGCAAGACTTAGCGTAGATTGGAGAAGTGCAGGTGAGACTCGTCATCCAGATTAGTGCAATCAGAAAGAATTCGTTACAGCACTCACACTCTTCACTTAACAAACCAACACTCACATACCCACTCACTTGTTTTGTAGTCAACTAGTCCATCACAATGTCATGCATGAGGAGTACTGTAGGAGTTTGGCTTTCGGCTTGTACAATTCGTTTTCGCAAAGCTTCCCTTTCTTTACTTATCTTTGATATTTATGACCCACCCAAGTTGGGTGGTGTGCTGCTTTGCTGCATCGAATTGTAGTTAGACCGCTTTGTCAAATATCGTACTGGTCTCGTCATCGTCCAGTAACAATCGACATTCTTTGTTCCGTTGGGACTGTAGCTTTTGCTCGTTTTCGTTGCGCTTGCCTTCCCCTCTTTGGTCTTTTCCATAACCTTGAACCTTCCAAGTTGGAAGGCTGTCGGTTAGCGCTACGGAGATGTGTTGAAGCTAGGTGTCAGGACGTCGAATGTTTCAGTACTCTGTCAGTTTTGTGCCTAGTTATTGCACTTTCTGACTTTATATAGTATCATGTTACAGTGATGGAGAGTTACTCTTAACTCGTATCCATGTCTTTTTCTCTTCCACATTTATTTATGGCTCAACATCCGAGTCTATAATTATGTACAACAAATAAGCGTCAATGATTATTTCTGACCACATTCCTCACATAAAACAGAAATGCTCACGCTAGTTTGCGGGGAACCACCCGTCATAGTGCGTTCCACGGCCATACCATTTAGGGCCCCGTCACACATGCATCAGGGTTCCGCTTCGGCAGCGCCACTGGTGTCTCTCCAGCGGAACTACGTGTGTATGGTCACACATACAATCAGGGTAAACTCCTACGTTGGCGGAAAATGAGAATGAGAATGAAATGGACTGTGGTGCATACGCTACGGAAAATAGATGAGATCTAGCTTGCACGCACTTTTGTTGCATGGACAATTGGATATCATACACATACACATTTCTCCTACCAAGTCCCATAATACATGAGACCGTGGTGTTTTCGGCTGAAACGAAACCACAGATACTATGCTGTGCTATATGGCAACCACCGTGACGTGCCATAACCATAAAGATAATGATAAAAAAGTTTGATATCAACACATCAACAACATTAATTTAGTCTAAAATAATAGCGTGGTGATAAACTCGCGCAAGCCAGAAGTATACTGTATACTCGTATTACTATTACGTCACTTCGCCATTACATGTATGTACCGTCGGCTGTTATTATTATTATTATTATTATTATTCCACAATCACGATGACATAGTGCCAATAAGCATGTGATGCGGGCGATCTTAACCAGCCATGGTGGGGACAACTGAGAAAATGAAGGAGAAAAAGAGAAAAGAAAACAAAACAAAAGAAGTACTATAGGAACCTGGAGAGAGCAGTATGAACATTAGGCTAGCAATGGAAAACAACGAACTCAATTCAAGTCGACTTAGGCGCGGGCAGAATGGAACAAAATGCAGCGAAGGTGTCACGAGACTTTACCTCCTGCGGAAGCCGAGACCAATGAGAATAGGACTTGAACAGAGGGGATTTTAAAAGGATCGATGATCTGGCAAGTGGGAAATGGAGAGAACATCTAGTACGCGAGCTATTATTGAACCAGCTTAAATGCGCAAGTGCATGAGGAGGAGCAAGTTGAAGCTTAATACGGTGAATGAATTTGCATGCCGAGTGGGGAAAGCGTTCTGAGAGAGGGGAAGAGGAAGCCAAAATGTATAGCGTCTGAGAGGAGGTCAGAGGGGGCATGCGAAGTATTAATCGAAGTAATTTACGGTGGGTGACTTCTAACCGATGCATAAGAGCGGAGGATAGACCGGAGGACCAAACGAGAGAGCAGTAATCAAACAAAGGAAGAACATAAGAGTGATAAATTTGTATTCGACAACCATGGTGTAGATGGGAGATGTGAGGAGAAATGCAGCCTATCGCGCAGCAAACTCGCTTTTCAATATAGGTGACGTGCGAATCCCAGGACAAGTGTTCATCAAGAAATATACCAAGGTGTTTGTGATTTTTAACGATGTTGATAGCAATGGGATCATCAGGGAAAGTAAAAAGCCGAGTCGTAAAGAGGGTGAGGTCACTGGAGGGTCGTGGGGGATACAAAGGATTGCCGTTTTCGACACATTGGGGCGGAGTTTCCACTTCGACATCCAGCGCACAACTTGATTAATGTGATACTGTAGCGAGTCGCAGACTTGTAATAATCCTGGCTCGGTTATATGGAGCGCTGTATCGTCCGCGTAGAGTGAGGTATGATCCAAACCTGCCAAATCATTAACGTACACGATGAACAATAGAGGCCCCAAGATAGAGCCCTGGGGCACTCCAGAGGGGACTGTTAGAGGGGCGGACAGGGCATGTCCAATTCGGACACTCTGTCGACGTTCAGTGAGATAGCTGGTGAGCCACTGCAGACACGTCCCGGCCACGCCAAACGCTGCTAACTTATGGAGGAGACCCCTTGTCCAGACAGTGTCAAATGCTTTGCTCAGGTCAAAAAAACATAGGAGGCTAAATTGCTTCTGATCCTTGCATTCATAGAGCTTCTGAACAAGCCTCAGCAACTGCCAGGCGGTCGAATCGCCTCGCCGAAATCCAGACTGTGACGGATCAAGGACCGGCTTCACATGTTGGTATAAGTGGCCAAACGTTCACAGAGCTTTGAAATAGTGGAAAGGAGTGAAATCGGCCGATAATTGGATGCAGACAGCTTACTACCTTTATTCTTGTAAATTCTGTATTCATCCTTTTCCTGTGTTATTTGTTGAAGAAAATAGTTGATATTTTGTAGTCACCCATTTGCAGTTATATTTAACATGATTGAAGTAAATAGCTGACATTTCGTGTGTTTTTAGCATGGTCCTTGTTATTTTATTCCTTTTTGCCTATCCTGCAGTTAAATGCGTGTGTGCTCCTCATTGGCTTCGCTGGTTCCTCTTTCTTTTCTTTTTTTCATTTGGCTTATGCGAAGGCTAGCCAAGCTTGCTTTGTGATGTCAACGCGAACAAACATAATAATAATAATACTAAGCCAGAAGTGCTTTCACACAGACACACCGACACACAATGCACCAAAAATATAAGGTATTGCCCACAGCGGTGAACGATTTAGCAACATTATCAGGTAGTGTCAGATGTCACCCAAGTCCCCATAATATTATATCAAAGGTGAGTAACGCACTGGAATATTTCAGGTGTTGAGTAACATCGAGAGAGCTACCATACTCACAAAAGCCCCCGCCAGCATTAGTGTTGATTTGTGGTCCCAGGTTTCATATTTCCACAGTTTCTCTCAACTATCTGCCTGCCCTGTCACCCCCTGTAAGCAACCCCATCATGAAGCCCGCGCACATGGCCCAACAGTTCTTATTCGTGAAAGTGACGTCATCGAATCTCTTTACACTCATATTTCACATGTAGATGAAGAGCAGAATTATTATTTAAGCAGCAGCACTCGGCACTTGAAAATTCTGCCTCCACTTCACCACCACCGCATTTGCGCTCTGCGGCCGACCGCCTCCATTCCCCACAACAGCAACGAGAGGTTCGTAGTATTGAAAATATTTTAATTCCTTCCGACAGCTGTTTTGGTCATCAGAGAAGTGCATGGAGTGAATGCCTTTTGGGCCCCTAGCATGACTACTGTAGCTGTGCTGTGCTCCAGTATCCGGCATAACTATCACCTCTATCCTGACGTTCCTTTTATTTTAACAACAGCATCTAGTCCTTGAATTTTACACCTTATTTTTCCCTCGTTGAGTATGAAGCGCGCGCTTATTGACGCTCCATCTTGTTGCAAGAGGCAGGATAAATAGGTAATTTATTTCTTGTTCGAGTCATTCAACATTATACGATGGAAGAGACAGCATAATATGATTCGTTGTCTTTCCAGGAGGTATGGTCGAGGATAACAAAGTCATATAGTGCGCAACATTAGAAAATGGACTTGGGCATATGATAAAGAATGAAGTACCCTCCCTGTGCTTCCCTCCATGTGCTTCCACAATATCATGTCAACACACAACAGGGAAGCACAAAAGAAAACCATGAGGATGAGAGTCCACACAGCAGGGCCGCCGGCACTGGCGGAATGAGCAACGAAACCACCTCGGAGGCTGCATCGAAGGGAATGCAGGCCTTCAAGTCACACATATGTCAGCAATTGATGCGCCAGGATTGGTTGTGGGCGACAGCATTCCAAGGCTAAGTTTCACGGTATTCCATTCTCCTGGCCCACAACGATCACTTTGTCTTCAACCCAACGGAACTGTACCTTGCTCCCTAGAGCTCCCGAAATACCCTAAGTGTTGAATGTTTTCCGCTTGTGTTTCTTTCTTTTCTTCTTTCCTTTTTGCTCCTGTAACGGAATCTCAGCCATTCCGTTCCCCGGCCCCCGGGACGCAGGACACAAAGGACAAGACTTGTTTGCTTTACATTATTTATATTGACATTACGGAAATGGAGACAACACTCAAAGGGACGAACAAGAAGACTGACAAAAGGACTCTCGACTACAAAATCGCGCATGCTCATATCACACATGCACGCGACTAGACGAGACAGTTTGGGGAAAGCCATCACACAGAAAACAACACATCATTTCACAACAAGGCAGAGCCACCATCTCCATCTCCTGATCTCTCACTTCATGCTTGGTCAGTGCTGGCAGTAGACGGCTGCGAATAGCATCCTGTAGAGACTGCATGTGATTACCAACAGTGGGCATAGTGCATTCTCGCTAATCCAGTGCCTGCACGCTACTCTGCCTGGCAGCAGCTCCGATTTGACTTCTCCGTCTTGCCTCTCCCCTCCCCCCCCCTCTCTCCCCCAATGCAAGCAACGCAGCTGCTGGTACATTGGCATAGCTTCACTAATCTCCCCCCCCCCTCTCTCTCTCTCTCTCTCTCTCTCTCTCTCTCTTTCTCTATCATTTTTTCGGCTATGGCTCTCACTTTTCACCCACAGTCTTTCTTCTCTCCCTCTCCCCCATGGTGCGTGATGTGCGCCTTGATCCCGAGACCATTGGTCGGGGGAGCGCACTTCACCTCACCGGCACAGCTTTATGGCACCTACACGCCCTTTGCAGTCCCCTATGGTCTCTTGCTGTCGTTGTTCTCTTCCATTCCATGTTTGGAGTACAAAGGGAGCCTACATTGTTTCCGTAAAAAAAGTTGAAAACAATCATGAGCTGACAATTAAATTTAGATAACCCTGGATATCTAATCAGTGAGACACATTTGGAAGAGAGGAGAAGGACAAAATGATACGAGTTATGACTAACTGTCCCCTACATAACCAGATCATAATCAGTCGGCGAGTGCGACAAAATGGCAGAAAACTATCCTCCTCCTTTATTTTATTATTATATGCTTGTTCGCGTTGACATCACCAAGCAATCTTGGAACGAGCGAGGCCAATGAGGTGAACACATGCGTGCAACTTCAGAATTGGCAAAAGGAATATGCGTGTAATAAAAATAATTTTTTTTAAAGGAATATGCGTGTAATAAGACAGTCCTAAAAACATACGAAATGTCAACTATTTACTTCAACAAATATAACTGGAAACGGATGAACCCAGGTATCATGACAGCTGACGGTACATAGTGGCAAAGCGACATAACACGAGTATACTGTACATGATTAATAAAAGTGGAAGCTATGCGAACAATAAATAATATAGTACAATTCTAATTATAAACTACAGCCGAGAACCACGTGGTCGAAAAATAAACAACTTACCATAATCAATTTGGCTCACCCTCCGAGTTCAAATATTTGGAATATTAGGAAAATGTGACGTACACAACAATTTGTAGAAACTGGAATGAGAACAAACCGAAGGTAAATTGTGTGCACAAGGCATTTGACACACGACCGCATTCGCGGCCCTGTCATCGAGCATTTGTGCTGGTTTGGATTTGCAAATTCAAATAAGTATACAAACCACAAACAAATCAACCTAATATAATATTCATATCAATACAATTATCACACAGCAATGAAGAAAACAAATCTTTTTCCGACGTTATTCCGAGTTTCGTGTGAAAACACTCATTTATTTATTCAACATCTCCTGGCCCGTCCGAAGACTGCCAATAAACATGAGAGGTCAGGTGATAGCCAACCACGGCAAGCTAAAAGGGAAAAAAAAAAGAAAAAAAAAAGATGCTGTCAGAGAGGGAAAGGAGATAGGGAGAGAAAAAGAAAGGGAGGCACATTAATAATACATGGGATCACTTCGGATGAGACAGTGTGGAAAGCTGGACTGTGAATTTCCTGATATCCTGGCATGTCTTAATGCTAGTAGGCAGGTTAGACCAAAGGGAGTATGCTGAGAAGAAAGGGGATTTCAAAAACAGAGAGGAACTAGCTCGGGGCAGTGATAAGGCATTGCGTGTTGGTCTAGTGGTAACAAACCAGTTGTACTTGGCAATATGTTTCGGGACTTGGGCTAGGAAGATCTTTTGCACAAGGATACAAAGATGCTGCTGATGTCGGGCAAGAAGAGGGTGCGTGGAAGCAAGTTTATAAAGACAAAGGGAGGCAAATGTTTGGTCTTTTCGAAACAGAATTTTCAGAAGCAAGCGTTGATGTACCTCCAGTCTGTGGAGTAAAGTCTGAGACAACCCGCACCAAGCTATATCGCAATAGTCAAATATAGGCAAAATGTACGACTTAAAGAACAATTTTCTGCAGTTATCATTCAAGTGTTGGCAGTGGGGTTGTAGCATACCTAAGGACGCACTCGCACGCTTGCACACAGACTGGACTTGTGGAGACCAGGAGAGTTGGCGGTCGAGAATAACGCCCAGGTGCTTGTGCTCGTTAACAACTTTAATAGGTGTACTATTTAGACTAGGAAAATACAGAAGTTGAGTGGGGGGCGAGGGAGAGATCAGACAGCATAATTACAAAGAAGACTAACAATCACTAGAATATACGGAGGGTCTTCAGAAAAGAGGGCAGAGGTGATGGAGGTACAACATTTCAATAGCGTATGAATGAATTGAGGAGTGCGAGAGCGAAACATGTGAGAATGTCAAAATATTATGACAATGGACAATGGATTTTCTGGTCAGATGATCATTGTGTATCTTGTGCGACGAAAATAGTTTATCGGGCACAGATCTCCCTGACTTCCAGAAGAGATGGTGCCAACCACCCCGAGTTAGCACTATGCGGGTACGGTGCAATTGTTCCGGTGTGAATTGTGATCACGTGATGGCCTTGTGCGATTGGTCCCGAGCTTGTCGCTCTGCAAAGACCTACCAGATATCCAGGAATAAATGCGCCATTCACATCTCGTCTGTAGTGAGCGATATGGATAGGTGATGGCTGAGTACACTCTTGACCGTCAATTTTAGCCAACCATCTCGAGGCTGAGCGATCTCCTCGAGTCCAAATTGTGGTGGAGTACGTGATTCTCAGAAGTGTGGATGCACGCCTCTTGGTAATCTGAACGCTAGCCAATTGCCGCCTTCCACTCCCTCCTGCGCTCTGCGACTTATAGGCGAACCCAAGTGACGCCGAATTGCATTGTTGTAACGTCTTGAGGAAAACACGTACAGGTATAGAAACAAATGAAAAACAACGACCAATTTCAGGAACTGCACGGTTAAAACAAATTCAAAATTCAGAATGATCACAGCTGTCAACCCCCCCCCCCCCCCCGTTCGCGCACACCCACCCACACCCAGATCTCGCCTACGATTGGGCAACGGTCGAACTTCAAACTGGTTTTTACATTTTTCACGTGCGCTTGTAAAAACACTACTCATCAAGGCAATATTCAAACAAACAGAAAAAATAAATAAAATAGAACAAGTAGTTCAATGTGCCTCCACGAATGCCTGGTTTGCCAACAGTCTAACTTGTCACCACTTTCCCAAAGCACAGAGCAGGTCAGTGATCCTGCAGCTCTCAGTACTGATATATTAGAACTCTTGTATTCACCAGTTTCATTTCATGTAGATCAACATTGAAATGATTCGCGGAATTTCGTGTGTCCTCGAAATCTCTGTGTTGAACTGGAAACACCTCGATCACCGCCAAGATACTCGAATTTAGAGGTATATATAATTTTACTGTTAGGTAGAGTATGCTGCTTCTCCTCAGATATCACTTTTGTCCAATTATTATATGACTCGAACCTGGCGCAATATTGTGTCCGTGCATGCGATGGTGGTATAATAATATCATCCGTCTCTGAAAGGTAAATGAAATAGCTTTTCAACACAATTCCTTCTCTATTTGTCTAATACAACGTTAACTCGTACTTCGGATTACTTTCAATCAGGTTCCAGCACTTCATAATCCTGTCTTGATTGCCGGCATTACGCATAACTCAGGCATACCGTTAAGCTCTAACATACCTGCAATGTTGATACATGGCCTTCCAATCCGTGTATGCGATCACTGTGCCCGTTCAATCTGGTCTGGATGGTGTGGTTCGCCTCAGCTAATAATTGTGACTGAAGGTTTGCGTTTTCTTTCAGGTTCTCCCGGATGGTGCGGTTCGCCTCAGCTAATTGCGACTGAAGAATGTCGACATTTGCTTTCTCCGTCGCCAAACTAGCGTTGAGAGCGTTAAACAAATCCCTTGTCCACCAACCTGTAGACATAAAAAGTGGCAAAAAACATTTCCCGTACCCTGGATTTACCCTTGCTTTACAAATAATATTGATCAGCGTTCTGATCACGTGGTATTTAACTATTTGTAGGAAAGTTTTTGGCAAGTCCTCAAATGTATGCACACGAAGCACCCTCACACGTTGCAGCAATCCCATTTTACATGGCCTGTTTCACAAATCCTACACTCCAGTATGGGTCTCTGGGATTTGGTGCATAGAGCAAGGAGAATGCTAAGTTCAAAGTTCAGGAGTTGCTGAATGGATTACATAAGAGGGTATGTAAGCATTTCAAGAACGTAGCTAGGCGCTAGGCATTAGGCGACTTCCAGTAACCACAATTTGACATATGTCCTGTGTTCCAACTGTGTAGCTTTGCCATATAGAGCACATTTAGGACGGAAAACAACTTGAGGTTTCTAGCTTCTCAGGGTTTCATGAATTTGGTAATCTTCAGGCCACAGGTATTCATATAATTCTAATTACCAACTACGACTCCTGATAATACACCCTAGTCAACACAAACATACAGGCGTACTCATACACAAAGCGAATGTTCCGCTGTCATGATATACATCCATGAGTCAGGAGGAAACACGCGATACCTATACGGGATACATTTAGTGTAAAATCATGGTATACGTACGTTGTTGACACACGTCTCCCTCGTAGCCCACAGAGCAGTCACACGTGAAATTGTTGAATGCGTCGATGCACCGCCCGCCATTCTGACATGGTTCACTGGCACACTCGTCTATCTCTGAAAATGATGAGTAGACAAATGAGAAGCGATTCCAGACACGTTTTATTCATTCCATTACACCACACAGTGCAGTCTTTGGCAGCATTATCAGTCTGAGGTGATGTGAAATATCAACATAACCATGAGGTGGATTGATTCCTTCAAGATCACAAAATTCTATATAATTGCGTCTTTCTTGCCAATAGTTTGGATACATCGGTCATCCGAATGTGCAAATCCCAACAGAGAGCGGATATTATTGAGCAGAGATCTACCGATGACTCCTAAACCAGAAACACCACATGATCAGATCTGCACTTGGACAATTGGAGGCAGTTCTGCAACCTAATGGTCCCAGTAAACGGTGGTTACTTGATGAAGGACAAAAGTCAGTAAATGGAGTATAAAATGCTAGAACCTTGCCTTCTGGCGAGCACAGGCTAGTGCAGACTAGGACAAATCGCCTTCTTCGCATCGCATTCTCCAGATAATTGTATTCATACTGACGAACATTGTCATTGTATCAATACTTCTTCACATTTTTCATTTTATTAGCGCACAGCAAAGTGGTTAAACTTACCATTCTCGCAATACTGTCCTGTTCGGCCTGGTTGGCATTGGCACATGTATGAACGAGTGTCAGTGTTGAACACACACTCTCCCTCAGTGTTGCACGGGTTGAACGCATCAGCACATAGAGGATTGGTACCATCTGTAACACGCAACAAAGTTGCATACCAGGAGCGAAAGAACATGTTCATCCACATGTTTTAATCTCACCTGTACCACCTATCAAGCCGTGTTATCTCCATTATAAGCTTACAAAAGAGGAAAGGAAGAACAGGCTCACACTGATGACTTCAGTCTCCATCGACCCATTATCCGATTGTCTACATAATGCATGTGGAACATATTGACGTTGACATTATTGAACCTTGGAAACCATATTTTGTGACAAAGTGGCTTGTGACTGTGATGATACATACCAGTGACGGAAAGCACCAGTGAACTGCAAAACAATTTTATAACTTGTAGGGCGTCGGAAACGAATTAACAGTATATAATTTGTGTCAGTGTTTCCACATGATACTTGTAGAATCGTGACCGAATCTTAACACACATACCGAATAATCATCAGAGTGCAATACTGCTGTTATCAGCCAAAATGAAACTTCACGGACTTATCCCGATGTACATGTATAGGAATATCAGCCGCACAACTTGACTATGGGGGCCTTACCCAGGCAGGACTTGAGCATAGTAGCATGGTCACCCGTCATTCCCATCAGGAAAGCCAGGACATCAGTGTCTAGCTCAAGTAGCTTAGCTTTTGTCATTCCAATGGTCTTGAACACACCTTCGTACCTCTCGGCCATCGCCAGTTCTACACCTGACTGGAGTATCCAACGAACCATGCAGCTTTCACCGCCTACGACACCACGCAAAGAAACAGACATGGCGCCAATGAACACAGCACTAAGTTAATTGTCTCTCTAGGAACACACCTCGACAAGAGTTACTCATGCGTAGTGTCCATTGTGTGCGTGAGAGTGTCTTGGTTTCTGTGTGTGAGGAAAGGAGGCAGTCAAGTGTGACAGAACAAAACGCTGAAAGATCCCCTTTTCCCAAACGCTCAATACTATTATGTCAGCAGCACCAGGTTGTAAGCACTGAGGACATACTTTTTTCTAAATGTGTTTTTACTTACCGGCTGACGCCATATTTGCAGGACTTGGCGACGGTGGGATTGGATCTGCTACGCTCAGAGCCGCCGTCGCCAGTAGCAACAGGATGGCGGATAAGAAGGCAATGGACGACATGGCGAACAAGTGAATCTCTATTTTGCTTGACGGTGAATTTCGAAAGTTGTCTGATCCGGAGTTTACAGCACAGAAAACTGAACTTGAAACAGAACCAGCAATATAGGGCAAGTAAAAGCTTTCAGTGGATTCTGAAAAGCCGAAGTAACAAGCCGTGCTTTTATAGCAGTAAAACCCCTCACCAATACGCCTCCAGAGCACATCTCCTTGGAGGGGTCAATAACGGGTAAACACATGGAATTGAGCAACGTATTGCGAGTACTTAGAATTAGCTTCCACATCAATGGACGATCCATCACCCCTTGGGACTGGAACATTGAGTGCGAGTGTGAATTGCAACTAAGCTGGCGTTGGAGCGGAAGTCATGCGAATAAAATGTTGCACCCGCGCGGTTTGATTTGGCGCCTTGTCGCGACTCACTGCCGGTCTCAATTGTGTATTTCAAACACCGCAATCCCAGAACTCCGGAGTTGTTAGGGCCTCTCACATACACAATAGGCCATACAATATTCAAGCTAGAGATATTCAGACAAACACACATACGCGTGCACGCGCACACGTGCACCCCAGAACACACAAACACGTTTGTCTATGAAAACACCTCCTGATTGCTGAATGGTGCAATGTGCCTGGCACATGTCATCTCCAGCAAAGCTGTACTCCTGTGCCTGACACATGTCATCTTCGGCGCTGTGCGCCAGTGCCTGACAACATTAATTCAGTGCGAATGGAGTTTTGACACCATATCGCGTTTTTGAACTGCAATAGGATCTGATACCGTACAGACGGGAAGGAAAAAAAGTGTGGTTCAGAATATTTTCAATCTGTGATCTTTTTGAACGAAACAGTGCAAACTTCCATTTAAACATGTGGCTAGCTTAACATGACCAGTCAGCTGTGGCTTTAGCATTTTGCCTACATCTAGATAGCCTATAGTCCAAGCACGATGCTCTACAGTGCCCGTTATCTGGTGAATTCGAATGATTTTGATCTCACCACTTGAAGAAAGGCCGGCAAAATGGACTCCGAATTCTGGAACGTTAGTTTATTTGAACCTGGGTATGCTGGTGACAAGGAGTGTCACCGGTATAATTATTCTCGTGTGACACTCACACTTACGAACATGTGTTCATAAACACCCCCTCCCCCATACACACATACACGTACACACGCAGTCACAAATTATCAGAATCCTATTCGACCAGGAGCTTTTATTCAGCAGCCACATCATTCATCTATCGAAAGGTTGTGCTCAGCGCCTTGGCTTCAACAGGAAATCCTCACGCGTACTGGATTACAGCCTGCTCGCGTGGATGAGTGTCGCACCCACCGCCTTATCCCGACTCTCCTCCTTTGCACATTCTAGAGAGCACCCATTTCGGAAAGATCTGAAGACATGAGTGCTAGTACTTCTGCTTTTTCTGGTTTGTTGTTGTTGTTGTTGTTGTTGTTGTTGTTGTTCTCCACTCCATGTATCCCCTATTCCTGTGCATTGAAGACGTGCTGGAGCTGATTGTCAGTTAGTTGGTGAACGTCACTACCATTGGTTAGCGTCGAGCAATTTTATCGCGTGAGCTGATTGTCCAGGAACTGGTGGTGTTAGTGGACATACATACTGTAACTTGTAGCTCCTTGCTCCTTCACTCTGCTCTCAATTGAACACAAGATGGTTGTATGGTTATAATTATGTGTATTTGATACAAAGCAGTGCTAATTATAGCCATTGTGTTGAAGATTAGTAGTCACCTAGTGAGATTATTATTAGTGAATGAATGCATCCACAGAGTTGCGGGGACAGTCCCAACCCTCTTTGGTTCAGAACTACAGTCACAGTCCCCTGTGAGCATGTTCCAAAAACGGAATCTACATGGATGTGTACGTGAATGGTGAGAAACCGCGTCAACTCACTGCCACTATACTGCAGTACATCATTACATAAAATGAAGTATTGATGGAACGATAACTAAAATAAATAGAATCCCAGCCTGGGCTCAGCAAGATACCACGACTTCATGTCACAGAGACAAGGTGAGACATTCTAGCCTGTCACTTTCGCAGCTAAGTCAAAGCGATGTCAGTTCATGTCGCAATGTCAGCGACTCCAGCCCACGCAAAACAGTAATGTCCTTTTACACCATTGTCTTTGTAGGGTGGGTGAGATGAAATGAATGTTAGTTGGTGAACGTCACTATCATTCGTCATGGTCGTGCCATTTTATCGCATGAGCTGATTTTCCAGTAACTGGTGGTGTTAGTGGACAGAAAAGCGAAACTTGTAGATACTTATTACGACCCATTTCTCCTATCCAATCATCCTTGTCTATCCATCTAAGTCATATTTTACTCTTTGATAGGGATTGCTATACTAGTTTTTGACTGGCCCATGATTGAAAAAACAGAGGGTTGCATGTTCAAGTCCTGTTTGAAAGCGGAAGTATTTAATTAGGATCTCATGGGCTGGCATGGATGCAGCGAATGGTATTGTCGGTCTTTCACCACTTTGTTCATAGCTCACATCTACTCCCCTCCCACCGCTATAGGAGCTGCATCTGTGCCTACGTGATTACTAGTAGCTTGTGACTGGCGGTTTGAATGAGATAACATCGCAATACATTCCAGTTTAAACTCTTGGTGGGATGTTCAAACTCCATCCGCACTGAATTAATGTCAGGCCCTGGCATACAGCGCTGGAGATGACACATGTCAAGCACAGGTGTACAGTGGCGCTGGAGATGACAGTCGAACACTGTGCACCATTCATCAATCAGGCCATCTTTTGTAGATCTTGGCAAAAGAGGGCATACGCCCACTGCTGACGTCTAATCCCCGTGTATATTTAGGCTCAAGCAAGCAGAAATAGGTGAATTTGTTCTGCGCGTGTGTGTGTGTGAATATCTCAAGCTTGAATATTTATGGCATACATGTATTTTGAATGTGAGAAACCCTCACAACCCCAGAGGTCTGGGATTACAATATGTTTCAACAATCAACATACACAATTGAGACCTTCAATGAGTCGCGAGGCGCCAAATCAAACCACTCTAGTGTTGATTCTTATTCGCATGACTTCCGCTCCGAAGCCAGCTCAATTACAATTCACACTCACACTCACTGTTCCAGTCTCAAGGGGTGCTGAACTGGCCAATGTTTTCGAAGCTACTCGCGATACGTTGCTATAATATCATGTGTCTACCGATTATTCACCCGTCAAGGGAGTCGTGCTCTGTAGGCGTATTGGTGAGAGGTTTTACCACTATTAAAGCACGGTTCGTTGCTTTTGCTTTTCAGAATCGACTGAAAGCCATTGCTTGTAATTTCTTGCTGGTGAGCTTTCAAAAAGTAAGATTGTACTGTTAGTTGCGGGTCAGACTACTTTTGACTTACTTTGAAGTGAAAATACTTTTCCCTAAGTGCAGTCGGAGTTTGTAGAGGGCCTATATCCCCGAAAGGACGTGTTGAAGTTAACCGCCCAGCAAAACAATAGAAGGTCACTGTTTCGTTATGTCGCCAAATTACTTCTTACCCGCCATCATGTTGCTACTGGCAACGGCTGCTTTTAGCGTGGCAGATCCACTCCCACCGTCGCCAAGTTCCGCAAATATGACGTCAACCGGTAAGCGAAAACACATTAAAAAAAACTATGTCCACGGTGATTAAAACCTGGCACTTGCTGGAATTTGTAGGAAGCGATTGTCGGGGGAAAAAGTGGTCTTTCAGCGTATGATGTGATGTTTAGTATTATAGTATAGTTGGATTTCTGCTGGAATTCACAATCACAACAGTGTAGTAAAGTATTTATTCATATTTCTCTAGGGCAGTCCCCACAGACCTACAGTCTCCTTACGGGGTACCCTAGCCAATCTAGGATTGCGATACGTGTACAGTATTGACTTTTTCCCTCCCCCCCCCCCCCCACACCTCTCTTACATGTTTTTCATTCCACTCTTACCTTCGCTTTCATGTAAGTGCGATTATAGCACGTGTTTAGTTGCGAAATCAAATACCGACATACACATGCCTACATTCTGGGAAAAATTATGATTGATTTAGTGCCGTATTCGGTGCTGGCAATTTCTGTTTCTTTGCGTGGTATTGTAGGCGGTGAAAGCTGCATGGTTCGTTGGATGCTCCAGTCCGGCGTAGAGCTGGCGATGGCCGAGAAGTACGAAGGTGTGTTCAAGACCATTGGAATGACAGAAACTAAGCTAATTGAGCTGGACACTGATGTCCTGGCTTTCCTGATGGGAATGACGGCTGACCATGCCACTATGCTCAAGTCCTGCCTGGGTAAGAAAACCAATATTATAATCTGATGATCCCTGATCACGACACTATCATGTGAACGGACATACGGAGCAAATTGAGAAAGGGCATCACACCTTGTCGTTTCCCTTCTCGTCAAGCATACTACAGGAAGTGGAGAGATTCCTTAGATTCCATGAGTAAACCACTCGTGATAAAGGTGTTCGCAGGAGAAACATTGGAGAAAGATCTGATATAGCAGAGAAACCAGCACTTGTCTACTGGTCAAAACTAACCTCGTTCTACGATCTGTGATATTGCTCGCATGCATGCAATACTTGCGTACTGTCGCTCTACACTTAAACGGTATCTTCTAGCCTCCGGTTCTCCGTTACAAAAATTATTTTGTTGATACAGGAGGGACTGACTACTCTTGCTCAATTTTTTTGTCGTTCTGGCGTTAATCTTCTCTTTCCCCGTATGGTCACAGATCACAATCTTGTGGGCCCGCAACATGCTTCCAATTTTCGAAAATGAACTGGACTATGTTGATTTAGTATCTTCAAAAATCTGATAAAAGATTATTAGAGACTAAAACATGTGGATGAACATGTTCTTTCGCTCCTCGTATGCAACTATGCTGCGTGTTACAGATGGTACCAATCCTGTATGTGCTGATGCGTTCGACCCGTGCAACACGGAGGGAGAGTGTGCGTTCAACACTGACACTCGTTCATACATGTGCCAATGCCAACCAGGCAGAACAGGACAGTATTGCGAGAATGGTAAGTTCAACGATTTTTGCCTTGGTACTGATAAACAAAATTACCGAAAAACGGGTACCTTGTTATAATATATTATTTTGAAAGCTAACTAAAGTGTGAGGTCCAGTTTTCGGCCCTGTAGATTCATCGTCCTCCACAATATAACTGCGCTCTCCAGCTGAACTCCATACGTTACCATAGTATACCATCAGCAAAGCTACACATCCATTGCTACTGAATTTCGGTGGTTGTGTGCTGTGGCAACGTATCGAGTTTGGCACTGGAGAGCGCAGTTATGGTGTGGTTGTCGATGGAAAATCTTGTTAAGGTTGTAACAAGAAATCATTAATTTCTTTTTCTACATTGCATGACTTACCTAAGCCAGAAGAAAATGCTCTTGCCCTACGTGCTTTACCGTTTGGAGTGTCGTTACTCGTCCCGTTAACTCAGTTCCAGGAACATTACGTTGTGAAACGGTCTGCAATTGTACAAGTGCTGATCAGATCATGTGGTACTTCTCTTTTAGGAGTCATGAAGTCATGAATGTATCGCTGGTTAGTCCACTGCATGCACTGTTGCGCTTTGGATTATTAGACTCAACAATTGCAATGGTTAAAATTTATACATCGCAATCGCGTTTTTCAGTAACGCTAGATACCGTGGAAATCCTAAATATAACTCTTTGCGCACTCTAAGAGCCTTCCAACTTAAAAGGTCTTAAGTAATAGCACAATCTGTAACGCATTCAAGATGTGCTAGACCTGGTTTGTCAGTTAGTTGTAGAATGTCGACGCCGTTGGTCAGTGTCGTGCAATTTTATCGCATGAGCTGATTGTCCAGGAACTGGTGGTGTTAGTGGACAGTATTGTGGAGAGTAAAGCACCACGTACAGTTCCTTGGCCGTTTTGATCTCCTCTAAGACGCTTCTCATTTCTCTACTCATCATGTGCAGAGATAGACGAGTGTGCCAGTGCACCGTGTCAGAATGGCGGACGGTGCATCGACGCACTCAACAGTTTCACGTGTGATTGCTCAGTTGGCTACGAGGGAGACGTATGTCAAACACGTACGTATGCCAATTAACACTAACATATATCACGTATAGGTGGTTTCTGATTCCTCTTAACGCATGGATTTCCATATCGGCAGCCGAACACTGGTTTTGTGCATCCGTACGCCTGTGTGTTGGTGTTCACGGGGTGTGAATTATCAGGAATCCTTGTTGGCAACTAGACATACATGAATGCCAGTGGCCTGAAGATCCAAAGGCATTAAACTTTGGAAAACAAGAATTCTCAAGTTGGGTTCCGTCCTTCACGTGTGTTCCAACAATTGTTACGCAGCAGCAACAGGTGGTTGCTGGTTGTCGCGCTATTTCACCTAGAATCGTCCCTGACATGCTTGAATGCCCTCTCATGTGCTGATTCCGTTCGGCATCTGCGGGAAATTTAACTCAGCATTCTCCTGGATCAAGTGCGAATATGGACGTTATTAGTTGTATTATGTGATATGCGTTTACGTAGCGGAAAAAGCATTACCGGAATTGTCCTCGCTGTGGCGATGGTGATGTGAGTGCAGAGTTTGGATCGGCCAAGAGCGCAATGTGGTGGTGTGGTGTATTGGATTGCAACTGCTAATGCCTACAGTAAATATTTGTGCAACTCTCCCTTCTTCAGGTTGGCTCACACGAGATTTGTTTCAAACGCTTAACGCTAGTTTGGCGATGGAGAAAGCAAACGTCGACGTCCTTCAGTCGCAGTTAGCTGAAGCGAACCGTACATTGCAGGTATGGTAAGGCATTACTGTGTGCTTGAGCGTGTGTGTAATACTGGCAATCAAGATAGCGTTAGGACGTGATGGAACCTGATTGTATGTTTTTTGAGTGGTGTAGTGTAACAATACGAGATAGAGTTAGCGACTTCGGTGATGATTGAAAAAGGAAGGTGTTCACTCCCCACGCCGGAGCTCGCGCTTTCCAGCCGGCTTAACTTGATTCGTGAGTCAGTATCGCTCCTGGATGGTGAGAACTCTCGTGATATTTCTCATCATCCAGCGAGCAGCATTGACTCCCGACGCTATCCGGCATTCACGAGCTGTTTGACGCCCTTGAAACGAAACGTCTCTGAACGTTTGTATCCCTGGTGATGGTTTGGCCTGGAGGGCACTACAATATAAGTGGTGCTCTTCGGACCTCGAGGGTTATTTTGTCAGAGTTGCAAGGAACGATGGAATCGTATGTTATTGACAAGGTTCGAGGGCATACAATATTTAGAGAAACGTGATATCTGAAGTGAAGCAGCAGTTTATCTTGGGAAGAATGAATGCAAAAAAGTGTACTATTATTAATTACTTCTTGTGGGGTTGAGGTGCTCTTAGTGCCAAACAGAGATAGCATAAGGAAGTCCACGAATCTTTTTTAATGGTGAATGCGTCCAATTCGAGCAAGTCAAGTATGAGTCGGCTTCTAAAGGGTTGACTGGGTAAGGGACGGGAGTGCTGAAGTGAAAATACATTGCGTAATGTAATGCTTCATGAAAATAATGAAACTTGAGAATGAACGACGTCTAGTAAATTATTAGAACTGCAGCATCGCTGACCTGCTCATCGCTTTGGGAAAGTGTTACCCATTGACACTAATGTCTAACCAGCTATTCCATGGAGCTACATTGAACTACACGTTCTATTTTTCATTTCACCTTTTTGCTTTTTAATAGTGACTTTTACCTACAGTGAGTAGGGCAGTTTTACAAGCGCACCGGAAGAATGTAAGAACTAATTTGAAGTTCGGGCGCCGCGCAAACATAGGCAAGAGCGGGAAAGGAGGACAGCTGTTGTCTGAATTGTGTAAATTTGTTTTCATCCATGTTCTTCCCGAATATCAACCTGTTATAATGATTCTGTTTTTTCTGAACCTCGTCTCCTCCAGGAGTTACAACAATGCAATGCGCCATCACTCGGGTTCGCCTATACAGCGCATACAGGAAATGTAGGTGGAATTCAGCAATTGTCTAGCGTCCATGTCACCAAGAAGCGTGCATCCACACTTCTGAGAATCACATACTCAACCAACATTAAAACTACTGGACCTTTCACAGCGTCAGAGTGGTTTGCTAAAATTGACGGTCAAGAGTGTACTCAGCCATCAAGTATCAAATTCGTTCACTACCGACAAGAACCAGATGACGTAATTATTCCTGGATATCTAGAGGGTCTGTGCAGAGCGACAAGTTCGGGACCTATCACACAAGGCCGTCACGAGATCACAATTCACCCCGGAAGAGTTCCAGGGTACAAGCATCATGCTAACTCGGGGTGGAATTCACCATCTCTTCTGCAAGTCCGGGAGATCTGTGACCAATAAGCCATTTTTGTCGCGAAAGAGACACTGGTATCTAATTTAGAAAGTGTATTGTCCATTTTGACTTTCTCACAGGGTTTAACGTCACACTCCTCAATCTATATCTAGTTTGTAAATGTTTTCTGTTGATCGCTAAGTACGTGAAACTCGGAGCAAAAACACTTTTTTCGTCCTCTCATTATTGTTATTTCTATTTCTGTGCATTCCTATGTATTTATATGTACATAAATTCCTATGAGTTGCTGTCTGATGAATGATGATGGGTTAAAAACGGTAAACCTCAGACTTACAGCAGAAACGCTTTTGATTCCTCTCAGATTCCTCTCAAATCTGTATGTTTTCTATGTACATGTACCGGTGTTTTACACTTCTGTTCACAGCAGTGGCCAAAAGATTGTCAGAGAGATCCTTTTTCAGTTTTTATGATTCATTGTTCCTATGTGAACGCAGAACAATATTGAGTTTGGAGGTACATCCAGCCTCTTGAACCTCTTCTGTCCAGTGGACCCTCAATACTGAGCCAATTTAGCGTATATCGGAAGCAATTTATGTCGGACGTATATACCTAGGTGTATGTGTATATTATAACAAGGAACCGAGTGTACAATTGAGAAATATACACCAGTATGAAAACATCTCCATAATACACCACTAAGGTAAATTAGCAGTAGTTTTCGGCGAGAAACAAGCCATTAGGAGGCCACACAGGGTGAATATGGAGAGGTATAATAATTCATTATAGGGTACCTCACTTCAAACTCTCCAACTTAGAAAAGGTATAATTATTATTATAACAAAGGGAGAAAGGCCAAGGAATTACAAGTTACGCTATACTCTCCACTAACACCACCAGCTACTAAACAATCAGCTCATGCGATAACATTGCACGACACTGACCGACGGTACTGACGTTCTACAACTAACTGGCTAACAGCTCTAGCACATCTTGGGTGCGCACTCCAACAGCATCACCATGCGCTGATTGCTTAGTAGCAGGTTGTGCTAGTGGAGAGTATAGCGTAACTTTTAGTTCCTTGGCCTTTCTTCCTTTGTACAAATTAATCCTTGGCTCTCCATCTGAGTCCATTTATAACAAAGGGACATCGTGTATATCGAAATATATACACCAGTTATAAAAACCTCGGCTTCGCCTCGGTTTTTACACTGGTGTATATTTCTCAATTGTACACTCGGTTCCTTGTTATAATATATACTTATACCTCTCCATATTCTTCCCCTAGCTACATCTCATGTTTGGCATAAAGTGGTCTTTGTAAAAAAATATATATATTCACCCTGTGTGTCCTCCTAATGGCTTGTTTCTCGCCGAAAACTACAGCTAATTTACCTTAGTGGTGTATTTGGAGATAAATACACCACTAAGGGAGGGCATGACAAAGACTGTGGGTGGATATGGAGTGAGGTATAAGACCACATATCATTATTTTCCCAAAGCGATATGTTTTGGCTATGGTGTGAGGTTATGTCTTCCAAATATTGTAAGGGATGCATAGGCGAGCTACCTCCAAATGAATTGTTGCAAGTGGAAGTGCTATCCTTCATGCCCGTTTTGTCAACAAATGGGAATGATCCCACTTTAGAAAGTGTATTGAATAATGGCCTACGTTCATGGTATACTCAGGATTCAAATAATTGGTGTGTCAGTTTTTTTAACAAATTTGTAAAATGGCATCACACACTGGGATATTCCGTCATCAGTGTTCTGAAGTTGATAGATATCACTTCAAGGATTGCTACAAAAGGTAGTGGGTGAAAATTAATCTGTCAACTGCATTGTATGCTGCGAAAGCAGTGTTCTTGAGTTTGTAACTAGTGGCTGTGTCATAAGGTGGAATTGGATAGGTAGCATAGCATGGCAGCCATGTTTTCGTTCCCACAGAGTGCATGTGTTTCGTGCCCGTCTGTTCCTCTACTCTACCAGATAGTTAAAAACGAACGCAGCCCAAATAATTGCAGACATGAAATTCATTTCAGAACAAGAATATAGATCGAATCCAGTCATGTGTCAAGCTACCTTACTACAAATACTTACTATACCTAGAACTTAGCTATGGGCAGCGGACCTGGACCCTGTCGCTCCTGACATACACCTTAGGTAAGACTGCGCCGTAAAGACAAATTGTAAATGTCGTAAATTCAAATTGCACTCGTAACATGTATTCAAATATTGACAGTACAGCATTCGCACATATTGCGACGCTCCCGGCGAGAACAGTAACCCTAGAACATACATGTATACTCATATATTTAAGTTATCAATTGCTTTGGGCTACTTTGGCCTAAGGGACATCGTCCAACACTGGGAAATGTTTCTATCACCAATCCATTTGGTTTCCACAGTCATTTGGGTGAACCCCGTCACTCACAATAGTATCGTTCGAATTGGGTATTTTATGCGCCCGTGATCCCATTGTTCCCATATGGGAACATACCTCTAGCCCAGCTATCTTTGGTCCAAATTTTAAAAAAATTGACACATGAGCCGAGCCAAGCAAAAAGGTGGCTTAGGCATAATTTTTGGAAATTTCTTTTTTCATGCCAAAGCGATGTCTACCTATCCAACTTCCATCAAGGAAATTTTGGTGCCCATCTGAAATGTATATGTGCCATAAATAAGCATACATTGCCTGCACATGTCACAGAATGCCTGATATCAATGAAACTAAGATAATAATTATGAAGACCTACTCCAGAAAACATGGGACACCAAGTAGAGACAGAGCTTAGCAGGTGTGGAAGCAATACAAGAGGAACGAGCACTTGTGTTCTGATTAGAAGATCCAAGAAAGAAGAAATAATTGATCTATTCATCTCATGTCATTTCATCACGCAACACGAATTTTCATATCCTTCAATGATTTTGTGAGTCTGTGACTATATTTTTCGCTGGGCTGGGAAACGTCGCATCTTACCAAGGCAGTCCGTCATCCTCTCTCCAATCACCTACGCCAACATGAATTTATCCTTCCCTGTAGCTCGTAGTGTTGTGCCAGAGATCGAGCTCCATTGGTCCCTTGCACGTAGGTCCAACTGACTGCACATCGCTAAAAGGCGGCACTGATTCTTTGTCCGTCCTAGTCCATGTCATTCTCCTTCCCTGGTGTAGGTAGTGGTATAAGCACCAAAGGACGATATGCTAGCAGGTAGAGTCAATGCATCGTTTCGTCGTGTCGCGCTATTGTCCTTGAAATGAGGAATTTTTGGAGTACAGTACGCCACGTCATGAACATTTGAAGGTCCCCGAAACAAAGTGAAACATCGCAGCAAGATCCAACTCACTAGGGAGCTTGTCAGAGTGATGGCCGGACGGCTTGTAGACGTCTCCACATAGGTATACCAGACGCTCTAGACTAGTCATGGCCACGATGAGAACCATAGCCACTATGAATGAACGAGTTTTCCTCGTCAACTAGGGTTGGGCGCACACGGAGACAGAGTGTCATCCAGCTCGCCTCCGCATTCTCCAGAACGCTCCATTACGATCTCTGGCAGCGCCGAGAAATCCACTCAACGATGAAAGAGGGAACACTGAAGAAGTGTTGCTCAAAAATAAAAGGCCTCTTCCTTCTTCTCCACTTGCAAACTATTTACTTGAATTTGAAAGGATGCTCGAAAGTGAATATTTTCGCGACTGCGCTCGAGTAGAATTTTGCCGACTGTGACGTTTTGGTGATTTTCTCGATTTGTTGGCAAAACGCTAAGCCACTTTTTAGCTTGGCGCGGCTCACATAGGTTACACAACCATAAAACACTTGTTTGGAGAGCTTCGTGACGATAGAGCCTAAAATGGATCGGGATGATAAAGGTTTATCTTTTTTTTAAATAGTGAAGCCTCTTGTACGGGAAAAGCAAAACAAAAAGAAGAAGAGAAGAAAAACCAAACTAAAAAGAAGGAAAAACTAAACTAAAAAGCAGCACCCATTTTGTTAAGCCAGGGGCTGGCTCACGCCTGGCATGAAAATGAGAGATTGAGGACTTCTCAGAAATGAGACATAAAGGTTTATCATTGGGTTGTCCAATGTCTATACTTCAGCATTCTATACAGCATGCCATACATGGGAAGGCTAGGGGAATATCTTGGGCATAAGATGCTCCTGACAGGTGCTAGGTGCGTTGTCTACTAATGAACCGTACGAACCAATATCATTTTCAACATTTGTTTTGCAGAATCAGAAAAAAATATGTGTCCGGGTCTGAATGCACCCCCGTAAGCGTGTAATGCATTACGCACACTAAGTGAAGAGACGTGTATATTAGCATTGCCCTCGGATCAGAGCGAGTTACAGTTATTTGTCGTAAAGCGCATTATAGCTGGATTGCAAAATATTGTACCTCGAAGCAAGACCCTGATATAATTCAGGCAAAAAGTTAAGATAACGTGTGCATTCTCTTCAATGTATGTCCAACAAAATGATTGATTATTTACTGGCTACAACGATGTATTTTAGAGCAAAAGAGGATGCCTGAACTCGCCTTGTGTGGGTGAGGGCTGCAAGGCTGTTCATATTTCCTCAGGAAGGCGAGGTGGTGGGTGGTTCAGGAATGAGAGAGACAGGGAATCCTCAAATAAATCAGCACTGATTACGCTAGTTGGCGGGGACCCACCCTGAGTCGTAGTGTGTTCCACAGCCATACTATTTAACGCGGAACATGACGGTGGCCGAGAAGGTGGGTTTTCAAGAAATGATAGAGATAAGTGTTCCACAGCCATACCATTTAACGCGGAACATGACGGTGGACGCGAGGGTGGGTTTTCAAGAAATGATAGAGATGGACAAGCAACGAAGTCAACTTCGCTCCAGTCACGAGTGCGACCTTCACCCTGGGGACAACTGGCAGAAGCACCAGATGGCGCAATGACATGAGGTACAGCCCCGATTGGCTTCTGCTCTTGATCTTCAGGCGAGATATATGTGTACAGAGAGTCGATGACGTCACCTTCACGAATAAGGACTGTTGCGCCATGTGCGCGGCCTTCATGATGAGGTTGTTTGTAGCGACCTGTCTTTGTGGCACTGTGCATCTCACTGTCGTGACTGTAACTGCTTGCATGGTCACGTGACCCAGGCAGTGCATCTGGAAGGCTGTTATTTGTTTGGGATGAATTGTGCCGACGACCAGTGGCCAATGGCTGAGATTGAATTTTGGATGATTCAATGGTCTTTGGTTGAGTCGGTGATGGGATTGTGGTTTGGATCTGCTGCGGTACGGAGTCACCTTCAGCATTAGCTGCAGGGATGTTAAGGTCGTTGGAGGCATAATAGAGACGACCTGGTGGAACACACTTAGCTCCATCGTCGGTCAGTGGTTGTTCACCTTGTCGTATGGGGCACTCCAGGCTATCTGCCGGTTGTGAGCCCCAATACGTCTGTGAGTACTGATTCTGATAAGCTCCAGGCACCGAAGGTCGCAGAGTTACTCTTGTATCGAGTTCCTGGGATATGGGGAAAGCTTTAACCGGGGGTGGGTTGAGTTCCCTTCGGGAACGGATACGATAATTTACTTACTTACTTACTTTGGTTTAGTAGATTTTCTTCTTCGTCTTCGCATGACGCATAAAATCGCTATCACCAGCCATAGAACAACTGTTGAACTAACAACAACTGCCGGCAGAAGAACTGATTTACTGCCATCTAAAGTATATCACAGACAGAACAAAAGAGCACATTCCAAATACGTCTAAAATATGTAACATTGTTTATAATAGAGAGGTTCGTTGTATGATTTTCCATGTAAAATCTGTACAGGTGCTATGGATCTTTTGAGGAATGCTTCATAGGTTTTTCGGAACGGAGAATGCGTGAGCACTGGCTTTCATACGAACTACGTTCCGTGTGGAGATTTGGCGTCATCCAGTGCAGACAGATTTTCGCGATACTTTTGATACGAGGAACATCGATATTACGTTGGAAGTTTTGATTTTGGTACAAGTTTTCATATTAAAAAAGGTCATAACCCGTGAAGTGTTATTGCGATCGTGATAATATTTGGAATATGGTGTTATTGCGACCGTGATATTATATGTATAGGCAATTGTTTCAGCAAGGCAGGTAAAAAAATTGGCAACCTCTGTTTCGTACGACGGTTAACACATAGTAATTCCGCAATAAGTAACGGTTCCTTAACTAAAAGCGCTGCATAAAAAAAACCCTACCGCTTCTATGGATTTCGGTACTGAAAATAATCCTCTCGAACCTCTCTGATGACAGATGGCAGTGACATGGCTATGACTAGACCTCAACTTCTTTGCTCTTAGGATACCCGTATATCCACGAGTATGATGCACCCAAGAGTGTGCAACTCTTGATACCCTTTCTATGGCCGTGTATGGTGAACTGTTCACGGAGGGCCAAAACTCACATCACACGGTAGAATGCTCCTGTTCAAGTGTTGTGCCTTCCCGGGCCTCATTCAGCAACCAGTGGAGTTGAAGATCCATAGCACTCCTGACAGAAACCCACTTCGTGGGAGTTATCAGGATGATCATGGCAGATATTCGGACTGCGCACACGCTTCGTTCTACGTGGTGTACACCGTGCTTGGAACAAGTGACCTGAGTATTTGCCGTCGGGGACTCTATATTAAAATATCCACCTTAAACTTGGTATCGCCGTCGAAGATGTGCAAGGGATGCATGTGCTACCCATACAGTAGATACCAAGCCATCGGATAAGCGTCTGTTCCTCATTTCAATGCGAGAAGTGGGGTGCGTGCTTGGGGCAGACGTTTTGGTGGGGGGGGGGGGGTGGGGTGTTCTCTGAGTAGATAGTGCATTGCGGATTGGCTGTGCTGACCTACCGCTTGTAGTGTCCGGTGTCACTTGGCTCTCACACCTTGGACCAGTATAGCTAGGGGTGCAGAAACACTGGGCGGTAAATGCTGTCCCCACACACGTAGCATTGTTACGGCACGGTCCACTGTCACACATGTTGGTCATTCCTACGCAGTAACAACATTGGGTCGAACAGATATACTCGTTGGAGGACCGAGACTAATCAAAAAGAAAAGTTTTTCAGCTATCTGAGAGAACTTCCGTTGAATCGCAAAGACGTACATGATTGTGTGATTGATTGATCGTGAGAAATGCGCGCGATGGTGTAAGCTTGAGGGTATGTGTCAGAGTGAGTGAGAGAGTGAGAGTGAGAGAGAGAGAGAGTGAGAGAGAGAGTGGGAGAGAGAGAGAAAGTCACACACAGGGAGCATAAACTGAACCAGTCCCTCTCATTTTGAGTACATTTTGGACAAACATCATTCAAAAATCATTGGATCGGGTTTTCTACCTGTGTAGGATTGACGGAATTTGTTTACTAAGGCCACAGCTTCCAATCATGACATGCAAAGCAGCAGTGCAGCATCGCAGGCATGAATCGTGGACGTGGTGACGGGGTCTGATGTGCTCCACCGACCTAGGGTCTTGGCTTCACTGCACAGCAAACGCGTCGAAAGAACACGGGGGGCTAATAATTATCGGGAGATGGGGGGGGGGGGGAAGAAGAAGAAAAGAAGGAGAGAGAGTGTGTGTGTGTGTGTGTGATAACTGACAAACATACCGCAATATGTTTAGTTTACAGAAAATAATCGTTTGACGGTTGTAACATCTCAGCAGCCAGACATTAGTTCGTGAAATAGTAACTATGTGATCTTACCTTCTATACCAGGCCATACGACCAGAGAACCCATGAGGTACAGGAGAATATGCCTTGTTGCTTGCCTGCGAGCCGAGTCATCCATGATCACGCGTATCTAATCTATGTGGTGAGCCAACGCGAGCAGGTAAAACGCTTCAGGTCAGTGGAAGAAGGTCAGATGTGAAATACACCCATTTCTAGCGTTGCCGTATGATGTTATCTGCACTCTAGACTGCTAGGTATTGTGCTAGAAGGTCTGCATAGCCTCGTTCAGTCACTTTAATCAAGTATTCCTGGCTTGGCGGATCGAGAAATAGAGTAGCTGGTGATATCTGTGCCCGCGCTTCACGGTAGACACCTAACGTGCCGTGCTATGTCTCAGAGAAAGGTACCCTGCGTATACTGTTTGTAAGTAAGCAGCTCATTCAACAATTGCAACCTAACTTCGTCGCTTGGTTTCCCCTGATAGTGATTCTCTGCTTTCCGCAGGCAAGCCAAGCCTATAACCATCTAATGTTTTGACTCAAATGTAGCGTACCTACCCAGGATTGTCCGCTGGAAAGTTGAATCTAGCCCACCATGAAGCCGAAACCGGCGTTGTAAAGTCGGCTGAGCCCTACACTAGCAATTCTTTTGCTCCTCGACTCTCGAACACTGACAGTAAACAAGATTGCAGCCTACCCTATGGTGGATGGACAGTACACAGTCAGTGTTGCAGAATTCTAAGCTGACAAGCGCCCCTCAAACAGCTCTAATTTTTGGTATACATCCTGGAGGCGAAATGAGCACGTTATGTGCCTGGACTATCTCTGTCACTGTTAGTCTGTCAACACGTGACTGGGAGATTAGGGGACAACACCACACTTAGTGACCAACCGTTTAAGGAGAAGGTACTGTGGTACTGTGCGTGCTGAAGAGGACACCTTAGCAACAATGAAGTCCATTTCAGTTTCAGTATTTATGTAGTATGTATGTTGCGCTCTCAACATTTTCCTGTTTCCTGCTTCGTTCCCCAATCCGAATGAAGTCACTCTACTGCCTATGACGACACACTGCTGCCAATGACCGTACTAGTAACTATTATTGTGCCTTCAGTTTTTTTTCATCACTCCACGACACTACACTACACACTCTTCAGACCTTCTCTTTGCGCTTATTGATGTGTGAACCCAGCACGTGATGATTAAGTGCGAGTGGGTACTTGTGCTACCTGTTAACACTAAACAGGCATCAATCACGCCAGCAGCCCCACTCAAAACTAATGGCAGTATCTCCTGAAAAGGAGAGAGCTAGAGAGTAGAGAGCGGCAGGTAGATAGACACCAAGAATGCAGGTCAATAATTTCAAGCTGGTAGTGAGACTGCTGGGTACGTATGGCGCGTAGCTGTTATGTGATTGCTGACCATGATCTTCAGGTCTTATGCTGGCATGCAGGTTCACTAGGAAAACAGTAGTCATCTCCATTACCCCGTTGGCGGTCAGTTGGCTAAAAAATGACTGTTCGCAATCCGGCCATGATGTGTGTGCAGGATTGTAATTATTTCCTGCTACAGTACAAAAGGTGGCTCGATGCTGAAACATCGTTTGCAGACATACATACATGTGCATGTACATGTACATTCGCGGCCTTATACAAGGGTGTTTCCAATATGACCTTTATTAAACAAAGGCCTAACCACACCCTGCACAAGCCCATCAGGTTTGATCAGGTCCCCTTTTGACCGCTCACGAAAACATCAACGTGATCACCTGTACATGATGTACTACCGGCCCTAAGCCAGGCCTATCTAAAAAAATAAAATTAAAAAAATTCGACCGGTTCGCGTACCGGGCAGGTCAAGAACAGGGGAGTCGTACAACTCCCTGGTCAAGAATCACCTTTTCCGCTTCCGCGGGACGCCACCACCCCCATGTACCACCCCATGATCAGTTGCCTATCTAATACCATGCACTGACACGTGTACACTATGCACTCGTTTAGGACCTGCACACATGTTCATGTACATGCACATGTACAATAATTTGTTTACCTTAGCTCGGTGGGCGGTGGGTGCGGTCGAAAATACGTCATGTACTTAAACTATCGGACTGCATAGCATCCTGGACAACAATTCACAGGTCACCATTTACGGCTTTCTTCATTCAGCTCTATTTCACGCACATACCTAGGGTACCCTGTAAAAAGACTCACAGTCTGTGGGGATGAATAATAATAGTTACAGTTCGTATGTCTCTCATGGAAGGATCCATGGGCGCGTCTGTCAACGAAATCCAGGCAGAAGAGCCGACAGAAGGCATCTCATTATTGTTATAACGTATCTGTGGGGATTGCCCTAGTAAAAATAAATACTACTACTACAAGTACTACAAGGGCGTTGGGCTTACGTCATTACTCGTGATATCGCCTTTAAAGTATACAGTCATGTTTGTTGACTCCAGCCACGTGACCCCCTATTTCAAATCACTTAGGCCCAGTTAGGGCCTTTCTTCGGGGAGGGTCACCCCGATCAGTGACATGGATCAGTGACATGGATCACCAAATATCCCCACCAAATATGATCACCAAATATGGCTCATGAGCAAACAGGGGCAGAGTACTGAGAAAGTGATAAGAAGTAAGAAATATCCCCACCAAATATGATCACCAAATATGGCTCATGAGCAAACAGGGGCAGAGTACTGAGAAAGTGATAAGACTGCCAGTGTACGTTCTTGGTGTACGTGGTGGCTCTGAGATTGCCAATCAGAGGCAAGCTAAAGCTGCTACTGGTAGCACGACCGTTTTTGGCTTCTTTCTTCTTCTTCTTCTTTTGCTCACCTCGCTCGGAATTGCTCGGCTGCATAATGCAATGCTTTGGCTGTGCTGTTTTCTCGTTCTGTAATCCAAGGAGGCTCCATTCCATCCATTTAATCACCTCTTTCCATTACCGCCTTCACCACAACCGTCTTTCACTGTAATGGCAACTTTGTCCGGTATACCCATTCTCTTCACTTTCTTTGCCCGCTGCTACCACTCGATATGGCATGTTCTCCATTTCTTTCCTTGGCGCTGATAGGTGGAATTCTCTGCCTGTCTCGTGTCGTCAGGTTGAGCATCTATCCGTTTTTGTTTCGCTCTGTAAAGAGCACTTAGGGTTCCCTGTAACAAGACGGCAACGTCTGTAGGGCCTTCCCTATCAAAATAATAAATTCTACTACTACTACTACTACTACTACTACTACCCTATCCTTGGTCATGTACATACCGTGAATTATCCCTTCACTGTGCATAGTTCGAAACTCCCCCTCCCCCCCCCCCCCACACACACACAATCGGTGCCTCTTTGCTTTGTCATATCACAACCATTCAACGCGGTGAACCCCTCGATAGGCGATTTGCCTTTGGGTCATCCTAATAAAGTTATTATTATTGCGATGAAGTACTCTCAAAATTTCAAAATGCCTGCCTCAGTTCTTCACCAGGGATTATACATGTAAGAAAAATCAAGCTGGTTCAGCTGCAGTACTAAACATGTAGAGAATCAACGCTATGTGAAATACCATGGGGGTGAAGACGCTAAGCCTAAACAGATACTTTCTCCCTATCATGGTAAATTTCAGTAGCAGTCTTGCTTGTCATGCTACCAACTGTACACATAATTATTCTTTTTGGGTTTTGTTGCACCAGGAAACAAAGAGCCTTTCTATTTTAACAGCATTCTGGAACGCCTTGCTTTAGACCACAATTTTAGTCCATGTTATCTTTTTTCCAATTAGGCTGTTAGGTAGTTCGTCAAAACCTCGTTAGTTACATGTTTGTCCAGTGGTTGTCTCTTGTTGTCGCACTACATGTCACGCTTATTGAGTTTTCTCGCACTTGCACCTTTGTGTCATTATTGCAATTTTCGCTTGTTTACTTTAGCTATCTTCTTCTTTGCGCTGTTTTACCACCTTCTTACTGTATTTAATCCACTGATCCTGTTAATTTTTTCTTGCCTGTATTCCACCTGACGAGAAGGCTTGAAAGTATACGTGTGAAGACAAAAACTTTCAAGAGGTTTGTAATGAGCCTGAAGTGTGTCCTTTTTATGAGTATTATCGCATTTTTGTCTCAGAGGAAACTGTATCTTTTTTCCCATTATAGAAAAGAAAAAGGACCAAGGAACTACAAGTTACGCTATAATGGCCACTAACACCACCAGTTACTAAACAATCAGCTCATTCGATAACATTTCGCGACACTGCCCGACGGTACTGACTTTCTATAACAAACTGGATACTAGCTCTAGCACGCCTTGGATACTAAGCCCATGAACAATTTTCTGAATGGAACCTTGTAACTTGCATACCCCTTCAAAATGGCCGAAATATCACAATATTAAATTATGGGTCTACAAACGAGTCACGCCACAGCGTACGCGAACAAGCTACGAACAAAACTCAGCTCATGTCATCGACATGCATGTACTGTGCATCCGCCAAAGTCCTTCACAGCTTAGACTTTCAGCTCGTGCTTGTCTTGGTTGCGCTCACCCGCCCGTCCTGTGTTATCATATTATAACTTAGAACCAAACAATAAGAGGAGAGAAAAGTGATTTGATTATGTGTTTTACGCACTAAGCGATCATCAGAAAACAGTAATATTGTTTTGGTGTTCTAATCATTCGCCATGCCACTGTCAATTGTATTCTGTTTGCTCGTAAAAGAGGCCTTCGTCTATCTTTTATAAATTGAAAAAAAAAGAAAAAAAAGAAAAAAAAAGAAAACAGTAATGAATAAATCTGGATCAGTACTGGTTTTTACACCCATAAAGCAAAGTGTAAGTGACTGCATCATGGCACAAATCTACAAGAACTAGCTCTGCCTCTCGGTATTGAGCACTCTCTTGGACAGCTTGAAACGCTCTGTTTCATAACTTACAACCTTTTAAAGTTGGAAGGCTGTTGGAGTGCGCATCCAAGGCGTGCTAGAGCTAATAGCCAGTGTGTTATAGAACGTCAGTACCGTCGGTCGGTGTCGTGCCATGTTATCGCATGAGCTGGTTGTTTAATATCTGGTGATGTTAGTGTACATTATAGCGCAACTTGTAGTTCTTTGGTCCTTTTTCTTTTCTATAAAGGGAAAAATGGGATTTAGGCCTTTGGCCTCTGGTTGGTGGATCTGATCTATCCTCCCCCACCGTTTAGGAGCCGCATCTGATGCCTGATCATGGGGTGGTGGCGTCCCACGGAAGCGGAAAGGTGGCTCTTGACCAGGGAGTTGTACGACTCCTTGTTCTTGACCTGCCCAGTACGCGAACCCGTCGAATTTTTTTAATTTTTTATAAAGGGACTGTATAAGATCTGGTTACGTTGGTGGACAGTTATAGTCTGTTTCAAAAAGATTTACAATCAGGTTTGGGTCTTAAAAAGTATGAAGATAAGGCGAGACCAAAATAAAATCGAGATTCCCGGGCAGGACCCATGTGAAATTGGTGCGGGGGGGCGAATTTTTATTTTTTAATTTTTTCCTATGACTGTGTGTATGCGCATATGCGCATGCCATGCCGAGCTTTTTTTTACAGTATTTTCCAGTAATTTTTATTTTTTTATTCAAATTTCACAAAAAAAAACAGGCACGCGGTTTACCCGTTCAATTTTTCTGTATTTCGGCCAACGATGGTCCTGATCTGTACATCAGGGAGTCGTGCAAGCCCGTCGGGTTTGTGTGACTCCACGTCACAGATCTACTCACACGATTAGTACTGTACATGTATTATGAACTGTTCAAAAAAGAAAAAAAATTGGCCTTGGCTCCAATTTGGTGCGGGAGGGCCCGGGAATCACTAATTTTTTTGGTCTCGCCTAAGGGAAATTTGGACAACAAAGTACATAGAATGGCTTGTTAGGACACGGCAAATTGTTCTGTGAAGGTTTCGGA